ATCACGTCGCGGCAAACCAGATGGCGCAGGCTACCGCCCAACGCACTACGCCAAACTAGATATCTATCCATCCGGTAAGTTTTTTATTTTTTTTATTGTGATTTCATTTATTCAGTTCGGGATTACAACGGCCGCCGAGTGCGCTTCCTGCCAGCTAAATGGGCCGCTGGGGCCTATGGAAGTGTCCGCTTTTTACCTTGTGTAGATTAATGGGCTGGAGCTTAGCCCTATAAATGCAAAGTTCAGCGAAAAATATTTTCCCACGGTGGTTTTTAGTAGAAGCCACCTTCCAGAGCAGGCTCGAGCTTAGCCCTAATAATGCAAAGTTCAGCCAAAAATTTTCCCACGGTGGTTTTTAGGAGAAGCCAGCTTCCAGAGCAGACTCGAGCTTAGTCATATTAATGCAAAGTTCACCGAAAAATATTTTCCCACGGTGGTTTTTAGGAGAAGCCAGCTTCCAGAGCAGGCTCGAGCTTAGTCATAATGCAAAGTTCAGCCAAAAAAATTTTCCCACGGTGGTTTTTAGGAGAAGCCAGCTTCCAGAGCAGGCTCGAGCTTAACCCTAATAATGCAAAGTTCACCAAAAAATATTTTCCCACGGTGGTTTTTAGGAGAAGCCAGCTTCCAGAGCAGGCTCGAGCTTAGTCATATCAATGCAAAGTTCAGCCAAAAAAATTTTCCCACGGTGGTTTTTAGGAGAAGCCAGCTTCCAGAGCAGACTCGAGCTTAGCCCTATTAATGCAAAGTTCACCGAAAAATATTTTCCCACGGTGGTTTTTAGGAGAAGCCAGCTTCCAGAGCAGGCTCGAGCTTAGTCATATCAATGCAAAGTTCAGCCAAAAAAATTTTCCCACGGTGGTTTTTAGGAGAAGCCAGCTTCCAGAGCAGACTCGAGCTTAGCCCTATTAATGCAAAGTTCACCGAAAAATATTTTCCCACGGTGGTTTTTAGGAGAAGCCAGCTTCCAGAGCAGGCTCGAGCTTAGTCATATCAATGCAAAGTTCAGCCAAAAAAATTTTCCCACGGTGGTTTTTAGGAGAAGCCAGCTTCCAGAGCAGACTCGAGCTTAGCCCTATTAATGCAAAGTTCACCGAAAAATATTTTCCCACGGTGGTTTTTAGGAGAAGCCACCTTCCAGAGCAGGCTCGAGCTTAGCCCTAATAATGCAAAGTTCAGCCAAAAATTTTCCCACGGTGGTTTTTAGGAGAAGCCAGCTTCCAGAGCAGACTCGAGCTTAGCCCTATTAATGCAAAGTTCACCGAAAAATATTTTCCCACGGTGGTTTTTAGGAGAAGCCAGCTTCCAGAGCAGGCTCGAGCTTAGTCATATTAATGCAAAGTTCAGCCAAAAAAATTTTCCCACGGTTGTTTTTAGGAGAAGCCAGCTTCCAGAGCAGACTCGAGCTTAGCCCTATTAATGCAAAGTTCACCAAAAAATATTTTCCCACGGTGGTTTTTAGGAGAAGCCAGCTTCCAGAGCAGGCTCGAGCTTAGTCATATCAATGCAAAGTTCAGCCAAAAAAATTTTCCCACGGTGGTTTTTAGGAGAAGCCAGCTTCCAGAGCAGACTCGAGCTTAGCCCTATTAATGCAAAGTTCACCGAAAAATATTTTCCCACGGTGGTTTTTAGGAGAAGACAGCTTCCAGAGCAGGCTCGAGCTTAGTCATATCAATGCAAAGTTCAGCCAAAAAAATTTTCCCACGGTGGTTTTTAGGAGAAGCCAGCTTCCAGAGCAGACTCGAGCTTAGCCCTATTAATGCAAAGTTCACCGAAAAATATTTTCCCACGGTGGTTTTTAGGAGAAGACAGCTTCCAGAGCAGGCTCGAGCTTAGTCATATCAATGCAAAGTTCAGCCAAAAAAATTTTCCCACGGTGGTTTTTAGGAGAAGCCAGCTTCCAGAGCAGACTCGAGCTTAGCCCTATTAATGCAAAGTTCACCAAAAAATATTTTCCCACGGTGGTTTTTAGGAGAAGCCAGCTTCCAGAGCAGGCTCGAGCTTAGTCATATCAATGCAAAGTTCAGCCAAAAAAATTTTCCCACGGTTGTTTTTAGGAGAAGCCAGCTTCCAGAGCAGACTCGAGCTTAGCCCTATTAATGCAAAGTTCACCAAAAAATATTTTCCCACGGTGGTTTTTAGGAGAAGCCAGCTTCCAGAGCAGGCTCGAGCTTAGTCATATCAATGCAAAGTTCAGCCAAAAAAATTTTCCCACGGTGGTTTTTAGGAGAAGCCAGCTTCCAGAGCAGACTCGAGCTTAGCCCTATTAATGCAAAGTTCACCGAAAAATATTTTCCCACGGTGGTTTTTAGGAGAAGACAGCTTCCAGAGCAGGCTCGAGCTTAGTCATATCAATGCAAAGTTCAGCCAAAAAAATTTTCCCACGGTGGTTTTTAGGAGAAGCCAGCTTCCAGAGCAGACTCGAGCTTAGCCCTATTAATGCAAAGTTCACCGAAAAATATTTTCCCACGGTGGTTTTTAGGAGAAGACAGCTTCCAGAGCAGGCTCGAGCTTAGTCATATCAATGCAAAGTTCAGCCAAAAAAATTTTCCCACGGTGGTTTTTAGGAGAAGCCAGCTTCCAGAGCAGACTCGAGCTTAGCCCTATTAATGCAAAGTTCACCAAAAAATATTTTCCCACGGTGGTTTTTAGGAGAAGACAGCTTCCAGAGCAGGCTCGAGCTTAGTCATATCAATGCAAAGTTCAGCCAAAAAAATTTTCCCACGGTGGTTTTTAGGAGAAGCCAGCTTCCAGAGCAGACTCGAGCTTAGCCCTATTAATGCAAAGTTCACCGAAAAATATTTTCCCACGGTGGTTTTTAGGAGAAGACAGCTTCCAGAGCAGGCTCGAGCTTAGTCATATCAATGCAAAGTTCAGCCAAAAAAATTTTCCCACGGTGGTTTTTAGGAGAAGCCAGCTTCCAGAGCAGACTCGAGCTTAGCCCTATTAATGCAAAGTTCACCGAAAAATATTTTCCCACGGTGGTTTTTAGGAGAAGCCAGCTTCCAGAGCAGGCTCGAGCTTAGTCATATCAATGCAAAGTTCAGCCAAAAAAATTTTCCCACGGTGGTTTTTAGGAGAAGCCAGCTTCCAGAGCAGACTCGAGCTTAGCCCTATTAATGCAAAGTTCACCAAAAAATATTTTCCCACGGTGGTTTTTAGGAGAAGCCAGCTTCCAGAGCAGGCTCGAGCTTAGTCATATCAATGCAAAGTTCAGCCAAAAAAATTTTCCCACGGTGGTTTTTAGGAGAAGCCAGCTTCCAGAGCAGACTCGAGCTTAGCCCTATTAATGCAAAGTTCACCGAAAAATATTTTCCCACGGTGGTTTTTAGGAGAAGCCAGCTTCCAGAGCAGGCTCGAGCTTAGTCATATCAATGCAAAGTTCAGCCAAAAAAATTTTCCCACGGTGGTTTTTAGGAGAAGCCAGCTTCCAGAGCAGGCTCGAGCTTAACCCTAATAATGCAAAGTTCAGCCAAAAAAATTTTCCCACGGTGGTTTTTAGGAGAAGACAGCTTCCAGAGCAGACTCGAGCTTAGTCATATTAATGCAAAGTTCACCGAAAAATATTTTCCCACGGTGGTTTTTAGGAGAAGCCAGCTTCCAGAGCAGGCTCGAGCTTAGTCATATCAATGCAAAGTTCAGCCAAAAAAATTTTCCCACGGTGGTTTTTAGGAGAAGACAGCTTCCAGAGCAGACTCGAGCTTAGTCATATTAATGCAAAGTTCACCGAAAAATATTTTCCCACGGTGGTTTTTAGGAGAAGCCAGCTTCCAGAGCAGGCTCGAGCTTAGTCATATCAATGCAAAGTTCAGCCAAAAAAATTTTCCCACGGTGGTTTTTAGGAGAAGCCAGCTTCCAGAGCAGGCTCGAGCTTAGCCCTAATAATGCAAAGTTCAGCCAAAAAAATTTTCCCACGGTGGTTTTTAGGAGAAGACAGCTTCCAGAGCAGACTCGAGCTTAGCCCTATTAATGCAAAGTTCACCGAAAAATATTTTCCCACGGTGGTTTTTAGGAGAAGCCAGCTTCCAGAGCAGGCTCGAGCTTAGTCATATCAATGCAAAGTTCAGCCAAAAAAATTTTCCCACGGTGGTTTTTAGGAGAAGCCAGCTTCCAGAGCAGACTCGAGCTTAGCCCTATTAATGCAAAGTTCACCGAAAAATATTTTCCCACGGTGGTTTTTAGGAGAAGCCAGCTTCCAGAGCAGGCTCGAGCTTAGTCATATCAATGCAAAGTTCAGCCAAAAAAATTTTCCCACGGTGGTTTTTAGGAGAAGCCACCTTCCAGAGCAGGCTCGAGCTTAGCCCTAATAATGCAAAGTTCAGCCAAAAAACTTTTCCCACGGTGGTTTTTAGGAGAAGCCAGCTTCCAGAGCAGACTCGAGCTTAGTCATATTAATGCAAAGTTCACCGAAAAATATTTTCCCACAGTTGTTTTTAGGAGAAGCCAGCTTCCAGAGCAGGCTCGAGCTTAGTCATATCAATGCAAAGTTCAGCCAAAAAAATTTTCCCACGGTGGTTTTTAGGAGGAGCCAGCTTCCAGAGTAGGCTCGAGCTTAGCCCTAATAATGCAAAGTTCAGCCAAAAAAATTTTCCCACGGTGGTTTTTAGGAGAAGCCAGCTTCCAGAGCAGGCTCGAGCTTAGTCATATCAATGCAAAGTGCTGCTTTTCACTGGCTAATTCATGTCAGGGAAGATGCACTCAGAATTAAATTTTTGCATTCAATTCAAAAGTTTTATTGATGGAGTGTAGTCAGCGTAGCATGTACCCACCATTTGCTTTGCCTCCAGCACCTGCTCCTTGCCTTCTACAGGGCTTTGGCTGTACATGCGACGAAGCAGAGAGCTCAAAGAGGAGAGCTCACGTTCGAGGCGGAGCATCTACTGAGTGCTCAACCCACGAGATTGGTCGAAAGCTTACCTCAAGGTTGCAGAGCGTAGGTCGACGGTCAGTGTCGAATTGGGAATGCTCCGGCATCCTTCCACCACGACAGATACCGTACACACTTTATTTTTGTGGAAAACATTTATTTACACAGAAAGAAGCAGAACACTGTCTTCTACCTATAACAATGTGCAGCACAACAAGAGTCAGGGCTGGCGCACGGCCTTCAGCATCCTCTCCAGCATGAGCGAGAGGAAGAGGTCGAGGGGGTCCATGCAGCCGCGCTGCAGCCACTTGGGGATGGTGACGCGGGCGTGAGAGAAGCCCAGCTTGTGCAAGATGTAGTCCACCCCGTAGGGCTCTATGCCCTTGCCCGCCCAGGAGAGCAGCCGCACCGTAGGCTCCAGGTGCCACGTGTAGCACTGGTAGTCGCGGAAGTCTCGGTGCAGGGGCTCCAGTGGCTCCACCACGCTACCACGCTTGCGACGCTCGCTCTCCGGCGACTGGCTCTTGCCGCCCACCGAGGCTGTGCGTGAGAATCCGACAAAGGGGCAAATTTTTCACCACGCTACGACGCGGTAAACTAAAATGCGTTTCAGCCTGTGGAAAGTACAGCCAGCATTTCACCCACTTGGAGGGTTCTTTTAGTTTAAGCACTGTTTTAGAACATCTGAGCTACTAATAGATGCATAACCATGTGGTAGACACTTCCTTTACATCCCGGTGACAGAGTGGAAGAGTAGAGAAGATACTGAATTAAAAAGCGCAAAGGACAGACATGGACATGAAGTAGACAGGACAACGCTATTTATTTAAATTTGTGCTTTTTAATTCAATATGTTAAACCAACTAGCCTCCTTAATATTTGAGCAGAGAAGAAAAATGCAAGAATCCACTCACCACCATCTTTCTCTCGAATGTAGGACACGATCAGGTCATGCAGGAAGAAGAAGGCTTCCGCGTCCACGGCCACAAAGATGTGGTCGTCAAACTCCGTCACAAAGCTGCACTCCACGACGGGCCGGGAATCTGCAGAATGAGGCCCCCACAGTCAACAAGGATCGTGACTCGACTGACAGAGGCATTCCGCTTTTTGCGGCAGGTGTCGCAGTGATATACCACACTTGAACAAACTACTCGCACGAACAAACTTGAGAAATTCTCCAACAAAACCCCGTAAGATTCATTCAGCCGATAGAACTTTCCCTTGAGCAAATGTTTTCTCAAGGTCCCTGGAAGTTTGTTCAAGTGGTACTTCACTGTACGACGTAGGCAGGGGGTCAACAATTCGCTGTCAAATACCCTCGTTGCTTTCGACGGTGGAGGAGTCTAATAGAACACCTAACCTCGGCTGAATTCCTCTTCAGTTCTCGAGTTTCGTTACACATAAGCAATCCCAGTATATAAACATTTCTATCACTTATCACCCAGGCGAAAAATGATGAGTCACTAGAATATGAACGTATGCATATAATATTTTGCAAAGGTAAGCTACTGCACATGCTCAGAATGCACAGCCCGGTAGATGGACGAAGATGGCAGTGAGCAGAAGGCGATTAGTGAAATGGTCTATAATCTCCTCTAGTCACCAACTTTTTTTTTAAGGCAGAAATGTTCAGTCTTTGGTGGAATGGCAAATATTAGGTCAACAAATAGAGCCGGGCAATGCGTTGCCCTTTGACATCAGATCTCTTTGCAGAACCCCCCCCCAGTCGAAGGGTCACCATACTTCCCAAGCCCAACCTCTATATCTGGCCCCGTCGAGACTCAGATGGAGCATTTGGAAACACTCTCGAACCCGGGCACCCTAGCGCCGCAGCACTTACCGTCAGGACCGGGGCTGTGCTCTCCCTGCAGCTGCTCCGTCTTGAGGTGGAGCTCGAGGCTGGGGAAGGCGAAGATCATCTCCATCGTGTGGCCGGCCTCGGGGCCCCTGGTCGGCGTGGGGCGCCCTTCGAAGGCCGGGAAGCGGCCCACGTCGTCCAGCTCGCTGCTGGCAAAGGCGTAGTGGAACCACTCGTTGACCGTCTTGAACTGGGGCGGGAAGAGCACGTTGCGGCTGATGCGGCACACGGTGGCCATGCTGCCCGCGCCCGTGCCGCCGGTGCCCAGCCGGAAGGTCAGGTGCTGGACCACGTGCGTGTCCACGGCCGCCTGGGGCCCCAGCACGTCCTGGGCCTCGGTGGCGAAGTGGATGCTGGGCTGGCGCAGGCTGAACAGCGCCCAGGCCTTGGACCGGAAGCTCACCCCGTGGAAGCACGCCAGGGACACGTTGCCACCCTGCACGCCCACACCGCCCTAGTCAGGCTGGCTTCGGGACGCTACGCTTCGTTTCGCCGTAAGTAAGAGCGCAGTGAAAGGCTAGAAGACACACGAGCACACATACTGAAACCGCTATGTCACGGCACATTCACCGAACGGTTGGTTTAGCCGATGACAGCGTGCACAGAAACACGAGGGACGCCGATGCATACTCTACTCGGATGCACCCCAACTTAAGGTGGACGCTAGGCCTGCAACTTTTCCTTCGTGTCCCAGGTTTGGACACTCCATTTAAGTTTGTTGTAAAGCTTTGTCTCAAAGAAATAGCGCAGCTTTTGTTTGGGGACCAACATCACCGTGGCTTAGGTGGCACCATTACGTCAATGTTGAGCAGATTCAGGTACACTAGTATGGGATGATGGCGTAATAACAGGTTAAAGGCCTACCACTCGCGACTGCTTACAACCGAGCGCCTTACAACCTCTTGTGATCTCTTACGACAAGAGAACACCCTGGCACCATCTGTCAGGTAGGCGTGGAACACTCGGCAATAAATGATTGTTTCTCATAGATAGACACGCATTTGATAGCAAAACTACCGCAAAACCTTCGCTCTAGTGAAATGCAGATCTGGGGCCACCTTGCGGATGGCGCCAGCGTGCCATGTGCTCTCTTGTCACGAGAGATAAAAAGAACTCGGTCAAAAGCAAACTTGAGCGTCTGACTGGGCCTTGCATAAATTCCAGATGCGTCTACAATGTCATCTCTTGTTTTGACGCTATTAGTCTCAGGTAAACGTCGGCTCCTAGAGAATTTTTGTCTCTCTAAATCATCTTTTGATCCAGGTAACGTCCCATTCCCAAAATTTCGCGTTCTGGCCCTACCGCCGGCGTCACGTTCTCACGAAGTTGGAGCTTTTTGAGGTGCACGGTTCGTTTACACGGGCTGAGAAACAAGGTTCTCTTATTTCGGGAACGCCGTGTACTTGACGCAGACGCGGCCGTGGACGTCTGGGCGAAGAGCGAGAGCCCCCACCTGAAGGTCCATGCTGCCTCCGACCAGAGTGCCGTGCAGGGGAAGCCTCAGGCCCCAGCCCAGCTGGAGTCCAGACACCAGGGACAGGGCACCCTGCGGGGGGCACAGAGGGATGGATCACCCAAGCTTCCGACCCCCACCTGGCACTTGACGCACACGAGGCTCGCTGCACAGTTCCACGTCCTTCCAGATAGTTGCTATGGTCACCGACATCTTGAGAAGCACAGGGTGTGGCAAATCCCGAGCATCTCATTATTGTTTCACGGCCAATCAGGTTGCAGCATTAGCCGATAGGAACACCAAAGAACCAATCGCAAAGCAGGAAGCGCAAACATGATAGGCCATACCCTTCATTCCGCTTTTCGTAAAGCTTGTTTTTGATGGCGTACTATTTGTTGGGACCTAGCCAATAAAAATGACCAAATCTAGATGGCAAGACATCCTAGTAAGCTCGAAGCAATAGAAATACATGGGCACTATTTTCAGTTTGGGGGGGGGGGGTATAAGTAAACCGGGACTTGTACTCCGGAAAATATGGTAACCGCTTTTTTGCGCATGGAACATCCGCCTTGAAGGGCACTCGCCTGCCAGTGGCGCTGCTGCGCGTGGCGGCTGGGGCCCTCGTCGGCGCCCCCGCGGCCCCTGGGCGCCCGGCGGGCGTGCCCCGCCAGGCGCAGGGAGGAGAAGACCCGGCGGCTGCTGTGGAACTGCTGCGAGAAGAACTCCTCCAGCTTGGAGCCCATTTTGGCCAGGTCGGGTGTGGTGGACTTAGAGAGCAGCAGTTGCAGTTGGTCCCAGTGCACCTGGCAATGAAAGGTCGGCCAAAGAGAGACGGGCGCTCATTTGTGCAGTGGCTGCCTTGGGAATATTCCGCAAGTCGCGCGCAGTTCGATCCCCAGCGAAAGTTCCAATTAATGAGGAACACACCGACATAGCTACTGCACAAACTTCAGTTTTCAGGTTTTTAGGGGCAGAGTTCTCGGCTGAAAATCAGTTCACTTGCAGCTGGATTATGGAACTCGTCTTGGCTGGATACAGCTGGGACCAGTTTCGTAATCTAGCTGCGGGTGGACTGATTTTCACCAGGGCTACCACATGCAGTTACATTATAGCCTGTGGAGCAATTAAAAAGACAAGGATGAAGCTTCTATACACCTCCACCCAACATAGAAGGCAGTGTAATGCATACATAAATCTCGTGCGTGAGATGGCCAGCGTCAGTTTTTGTTCTATTCGGTGGTGCATAAGGTCAGTTCTGTGAGACCGGGTCCACATTACAATAACGGTGCACCAAAGCATGTTACAAGCTGAAGACAAGCAAGTTACTGCCTCATATCTCTCCGCCATTTGAAGAGCTAGAACCTATGCGATGTCTCTCCATTGTTGGCAGATAGGAGCATTACGGCAAGAGCGTCAACCCGGGGGCAACCGGGGAGGGTCGGGCTCACCTGACCGTGGACGAACAGCAGGGCGGGCCGCTTGGTGGCCTCGCAGCCCTCGCACAGGCGCCACTCATCTCTGAGCTCGAGGGCCAGGCGCGAGACCCGCCCCATGAGCACGCTGCTGCCCATGTAATCCAGGCGGCTCTCCGCCGCCCACAGGGCCAGGGTCAGCGTGTGCACGGGCTCGCGGCCCCAGCTCTCCTGCAGACCCACTACGGGGAGACCGCCGTCGAGTTAGAATCTCCCGACAGATCACTGCAACGAGCTCATTCGTGCAGCCAGACTACTGTAAGCGACTCAATGGTCGCAAGGACTTCACTTTCATAAATTTCACAACCTGAGAAATATTGCAAAAAGTTTATCGTGCGAATGTAACCCCCCGTGGTAACAAATATGCAGCGTTGCAAAATATTGTGCCCAGAAAATATTCCCTAGTCGACACTTTGCAAAATCTGCGAAATATTGGGCCCGCGAAAATATAGACTTTGTAATGTAATGGCAACTGACTTTCCATCACTGCTGAGCTTAGCGCTATTGTTTTGCCCCACTGTGCTCGTTGTTGTCACTCCTGCACTGCTTTGGTGGTGCACAAAGTCAGCAAGCAAGAGCCTTCATAGTATGTGTGGTCTACTTTTCTACAGACAAACGCACACCGAGGAAAGTCCTTGCTCCAAAGGCAGTCGCCGACTGTACGTTCCACGTTGTACGCTTTCTCTACGCTACGTCGCAACGAGGGAAATGAAAACGGAAGGGTTGGCCCTATATAGACTATGCACTTAAAAACTGGCTCACTGTGAGTGTGAATACGGCTGAGTTCGATGGCCCCGCCCACGATGCCGCCCTTGGCGTCCAGGCTGGAGCCATCCAGGTCCACTGCCAGGCTCATGTCCTTGTGGCCTCGGCTGTCGATGGCCAGCCGCCCTTGGGACCTGAACCCCTGGGTGAGCCACCTGCGTGCCATGCCCACTCGCCGTTTCATGCCGCCACACCTTTCAAAGACTCCTCGTAGCTACCGCATTATTGAAGAATAAATTTCTAGGCATGGGGGGGGGGGGGGCATTGTGAAAAGAGACGTAACGTCACAAACAAATATAGTCACTGATAAAGTGTGCATCGTCACACGGCACAATGAGGTTACAGTGCCTTATGACACGGTGACGCCGTGTTACCTGGTTGTGTGACCATATGTCACCTAGCATAGGGATGTCACAAGACCATGTGTCATTAGGAGGCACTCGTCGGGACAGAAGTAAGGCGACATCCATTCAAATGGGTGTTGGTCTGGTCAGATTCCCCATTCGCTGGAGTTTGGTTGGCGGCAGCTCATTTCATGCAAGTTTTCACCCGCAGAACAGTCGAACTAGAATGTCCTCTCTTCCCTGACAGTACTCCTAAAAATGCACTAAGGCTCACGCATGACCTAGCTCCTCATGATTCTGGGGTGCTGAAAGCACAAGCGAGCAAGCGAGAGGGTTAGAGGTGCTCGAGCACTCACGACGTGTTGCCCATGACGTTGCCCATGTTCATGTGGACGTTGAGCCGGGACAGGTTCAGCGCGTAGAGCAGCAGGGTCTCCCACGCCTGACCCGGGGCCCGGGCGGGAGCCGGGCGCTCGGGCGGAGCTGCGAGAAGTCGGCGGGAAAGCCGTCGTAACTGTGGACGAGCCGTGGGAGGATCGTGCCCGTAGGCTTATGGTGCCTGCAACGCGTCTCCAAGTGGCGTGTTTAGCATCCTATTCTGCCCATACATCCAAAGTGGCCCCAAAGTGGCAAGAAATTGCGTCGCAGGAGGCGGTGTGTCGTGCCGTGACGTCGTAATCCTCACGGTTGGTCGTAGAAGATTTTGAAAAAAGCATGAGAGAACGCGAGTGCTGCCGTCGTCGCAGCGTCCCGACTCCCGACTGCCGCAGCTTCCGCAGTCTGTCGATCTGGACAGTGATTTGCATTGCAGCAGAAGAGGCGTTTGCTACGTCCACCTCCACCACCGTGCCACCGCCAGGGTCGTGGCAGGCGACGGCACAACACTTCCGCGACGTCGTCGGGAGGAAATTGAGGGACCGCTTTTGAAGAAGCGCAAACACACCATATGGAAACGTGTAGCTGGTTCCGGTGAGGGACCTTTCGTTGCCTGCTGTCGACGTTTAGGGAGAGCCCCCAAACGGGGCCGGGAAGTGCCCGAGAGGAAGGGACCCACCTGCGTCCTCCTCGGGAGAGCCCAGCTCGAGGCTCCCGAAAGGGAAGGAGTCAGCCCTGCTCGGGGACAGGGTGCCACTGCTGCTGCTCGTCTCTGCCGCCGAGTCTTCCGCTGCGCAACCGTTGCAGAGTCTGGCAAATGTCGAGGCCTTCCCCGAAAGACGGGTCTCGCAAGCGGCAGTATCGTGACACGAAGCACCGCCGAGGCCGGTGGGATTGTGCCAATCGTAGCACGACCAAAATATCGTACGAGGTTGATCGTACTGACAAAGACCAGAGAGAACAATATGTGTCCCGCAGAAAGCACACTCCATGTGTAGTTTATGCTGGATTTTTTTCAATCTTTTTATTAACCTCATTATTTTTTATTTGTGAATCCTATTCTTATTTTCTTATTTATCTTTAATTTTATTTTTATTTGTTTATTTATGTATAATTATTATTATTATTTAATAATTTATTACACTCATTTAAGGCCTCTACTGTTGCCGGCACATTTGCATTCAGTTTATGCAACACGGCACACGGACAATGTGCCACTTCCAGAATCTGCCCCAAAAAACATTTGTGTTGGTCTCCAACCTGCAGCTACGTAACTGGAACTGTGCTACAAAAAAACGTGCTAAGGTGTTCTAACCCCGTAGCAGTTAAAATGCCTTTGCTCACGTCTGCTCAAAACCACAGACTGTTGCACACATTACGCACTGCACCAAACAGACGGTCCATGAACTGGCACTTGAGGGTGTGCTGTGTACCTTAAATTTTTACACGGAGACCAGGCACCGAGTGTCAGACAACGTGCAGAGTATGCACTGTAGTACGGAAAATATGGAACCAAACATACCCGGGTCCCCGAAGGCGGAGCCTGCGGTGGCGGGATCCCCCAGGAACATGCGGCGAGCGATGCTGCGCCGGTACCAGGCCTTGGGGAAGGCCAGGATCTCCGTGAGGCGCCGCATGTCGTACTTGAAGGAGGCCGAGCCCACGTCACACAGGGCCGAGAAGCGGATGAGGGCGCGCCCGCCGTCCGGGCCCAGGTGGCGGCTACGGCTCATGTTCACCTGTGGCGGGCGTCGGCGGCACATTGAAGGCCACTCTTGGGGTCGCGGCAATTATGACAGCGACTACTTTCATGCCAATGCCAACCAGAAGACAAAGCATGCACGTTAACGCCGTCAGTGGATCCAACCCACCCCCCAGCGGAAAACAAGCTAAAGCTGAACGAGAGACTAGTATCGCACTCGACTAGCCAGCCAAGCACGTCGACTAGCCAGCCAAGCATGAGGCTTCGTGTGGGCTTTGATAAACAGCTCGCGACTGCATCGTCTGCCCTTGTCACGCACGCTTGCAGACGCACTGTGTCACAAGGCACACACCTTGACAAACTCCACCTGGAGGGAGAGGGAGTCCTTGCGCTCCGAGACGGCCAGCGGGGACGCGTCTGCCGCCGAGGAGGGCATCTTTTTGGCGCCGCCGTAGGGGTGGAAGATGTAGAGGGAGAAGTCGGCCAGACAGCCCGTGGCCGAGAGGCCGCCCACGGGGCCCTCGTCGGCCCGCTTGGACGAGAAGGCCAGGTCCAGCGAGGGCAGCCGGAGCAGGCACTCCACCCGCGACACGGGCAGGCAGCTAAAGCGCAGGATCGACGGCTGCATCCGGAAGTACACGATCACGTCCACTGGGAACGAGCTGTACTGGCTCTCCTCAAACACCAGGGCGCCGTCTGCAAAGTCAGAAGGAGAACTCTTAGGGGGTTGACCCGGGGATCCTGAATTCAACCCCCCCCTACTTTTCCATCTGGATGAGCATGGCACCAGAGCGCAGTCATGTATCACTACCGCGTGATGCACATTAAAGACCCCACGCTAGCAGTAGCACTGCACCAGCTAACTTCATCACCTACAACGTAAACCGGTGTCGCCATAGCTCAAAGGCAAACCGACCTTGTGCTATCAAAACACAAACGTCTAATTTGGTCTTGGTTTTTTTCCTGGGGAGACGTCTGCCTTCACCGGAGAGACACATTCTCATACGACAAACTGGTCACACAAAAAAGTTCTTTGTAAGGAAGCATGCTATATAAAGTATCGCACTAAAGAAGTGTTACTTTTTGTTGAAGAAGAACAAACATGATCGATGGTCTAAAATTAAAATACAACAGTACAATATTAGTGGCTTCCTTCTGCTTTATGCCAAAGTGTGAACGTCAGAGCCACAGCAACTTCGGCATCAAAAGTGCATGTTTCCTATCACAAAGTAAGCTTGTTATTGATAGTAGCAAAGGTCCACTAGAAACAGCCTAATTTTTGGCTGATAGCTAGCAACAAAAAGATACATACAGCAATTTAATGTAAACATTTGATCCCTTTTTTTCTAATTTTCTTTTTCAGCTCACATGCTGTCATTTAAATTTCTAGCAAGAAGACCGTGTATATGTGGCACACCAACACAGGCAATGAAACTTGACACTTGATGCTAATCTTTTTGAAAAAAATTAGACCAAAAATGTACATGTCGTTTTCGCGATAATTGGGTCACACAGTGTATCGAATAAAGACTGGTTCCCTCACTTGCAACTAGTTCCAACCGTGTGCATTATATTAAAACCTCATGGTGTAATACGGACAAAAACAAAGAAAGAACTGGACAGGACTGGTATTGTCCAGTTCTTCCATCGTTTTCATCCGTGTTTTTTGGCATATTACACAATGTTGAGCAACCAACTCGCCCAACTAGCCATCCCTATTCAAACCCATTAAGATCTCTTCAACGAGACGCATCGGCGCCATCTATTGAGTGGCCGGAACACTCTGAATTTCCATATATTTATTATTTTTTGCACATCCCTCGGAGAACTTTCAACGATGTTACAAACAACCATTTCTTATAAATACAGTAAAACATAGAGCCATTCCTTGATAAGTGCCCAGCTCTCAATTTTGTAACATGTGGAAAATACACCAAAGACATCTTTACACATTGTTGATCTAAGAAGAGCCCGTCCCCCAGTTTTAAGTGATTATCCCCAAATTTTGAGTGGGCCTTTGGTGGGGTTTTACGGGACATACTATTGATCTTGCAGGTACCACAAAACCTTCGCTCTAATGAAGTGCAGTTCCAGAGTCGCCTCATAGACAGCACCAGCACACCGGTGTGTCTTCTTGTCATAAGAGATTGTAAGAACTCCCTCGTAAGCAAACCCAAGTGTGTGAATGGGCCCTTATACTTGGAAGGTGGTTTCAAAGTAAGAGCACTGTTGCCTTTCACCTCAAGAAACAATGTAGCACATATCCTATGTTTAAAAATCAATTAAATTGAGCTTGCTCACTTTCCCGGATGCAATTTATGTTTTCAGTAGACCTCTCTGTTTTGAATCATTGAATATCGTAGAAAGACAATTTTTTTTCATAATACCAGACCCCAAAACCCAGACCCAAAACCTAGAGCAAACCCAGACCCTAGTGAGCCAGCATAGCAAATGAGGAGAAATCTTTTAGTGTAGATGCACTGGGGACATGCAGCGGTCTCGGGTACTCTGACTCACCCAGTGATGCAACGGGAGAGGCCTTGGATGCCTGCTGCAAAGGAATGGCCTCCAGGGCTTGCTCCAGGAAGTCCAGAATGTGGGGGCTGATCACAGTCTCCTGCCAAGACAAGGAACTTCCATTAGCTAGGGGGCCCTCATGAGGTCCGATTTCGGTCCCTGGTGAGCGCTAGAGCTTCTTCGCCTGACGGTTGGACGTGCTGTGGTAGTCTTTTGCTAGGCGAGCATTATTGACCAATGAGGAATATTTTATTGGTTTGCGAATCCAGGACCGGGCAGAATTTTAGTGAGAAACATTTTCTCGCCTACACACGAACGGGGAGAGAAGTCTTATGATGGCAGATGTGCTTGTTCCGAGCACTTCTTTATCCACTGGTGGATGTGAGCATGTGTACAGCAGCCTTTGTAAAATAGGAAACGATCCCAATTTCGGCGTGCATTCAACATTACTTTGTCGTAACACTCACCTCTCAGCAGACGGGCCACCTTTTTTTTATTTGTAAGCAGATAATGCACAGGTGTTTCCTTGCTTTAGTTTTCTCTGCAAATGACACCTTGGAGCCCACGAGTCATCTGCTAAAGATGTCTTAGCTCGCTCCGCAAGATCCCCAAATTAGATCCCGCTCTCATTCTCACGGAGACCAAACCCGTACCCCTTGCCCTGTGCACCCACCTCCGGAATGCTCTGCAAGGTGATCCAGGCAAAGAGGGTGGCCTTCTTGAGGCCACCCTTGCGGGCGGGTGGCTCCAGTCCCACAGGGCTCTCCCCACCCACTGTCCACGAGTTGTAGTGAACCTGCGGAAGCAGAGCCTGCCCTGTACACCACGAGTAACCTTCCGGCATTCCAACCTCACGGCATTCGTCAGTTATCTCATCACCACACAGATTTGCTGCAACTGTAAAGCAATGAGGAGTGCAAGCTCGTGTGCTTCTTTTGGAGGTGTTGTGGTGATGTCAGAATGCCGAGCTCTGATTGAAGGACTGAAGGGATTGAAGGGATTGATTGATTGAAGGGATTGAAGGGATTGATTGATTGAAGGGATTGAAGGGATTGATTGATTGAAGGATTGAAGGATTGAAGGGGGTTGACCTCAAAACAAGTTGCCTTGAGGTCTAACCACTATCCTTCAATCTGAGCTCGGTGTTTTGACGTCACCACGACTCCTGCAAAATAAGCAGACAAACTTACGCCCTGCATTGCAACTGGGTTATTGGAACACGAGGGTGTTCAGCAGCCTTACCAACAGTCTGTCCAAAATACTTTTAGGGAAAAAAAATAATGAGAATAATTTGTGCATACAAAGAGGAGGTCAAGAAGCCAGATGAGTTGATCATACTTTATTCAATAGCAGAATAAAAAAAAAAACTGTTTTCTGGAGACATTATCGGGTACTTAGTAGGCAAGAGCAAATAGCGGATTTTGAGTTGGAAGTGAATTTGAAGCAAATAGTAGTTTTGGTAGAATATTTTCAAATTGAATATTGAAGTTTCTCCAAGGCTTTTCTACTGCACCATACTTAAACAGAACCCCAGCTAACTCGTGAAGGTAGTTCTTGAGCTTCCACTTGTCCACTTCTAAGCTCAGTTAATTTTAATATAACCTATATGAACTGTGGCATGTAAACAACAAATTTGTAGCAGCTATCCTAGTCGAGGGAATTTCTAAGTCTGCTTGCTATATCCAAATATTTTTTATTCAATTTAAAATTTTACGCAAAAAAATAGGCACAAATGATGAACGCAAAGTGTGAAGATATCGATGCCCAACATACACTTTTGCACAATCGCAGCAAGCTAGCTTCATTGAGTGAGCTTCTCATCGAGCATCCGTGCACTGCGGGGAAGCAATACCCGCGGAGCCCACGAGCTTCGCGGGTATTGCTTCCCCCGCAGTGCACAATTGCTCGGTGAGAAGCGCACTCAACGGGGCTAACCCACCGCGATCAACAAGTATGAATATTGTAGTTCATCTCAAAGCGAACATCGAATAGCACGTTATTCAAAACTACTCTTCAAAAATTTGAATATTCACACAGCACTAGTACTTAGACATGGCTTCAACTCTACTGCGGGTGCCAGTTTTCAGCTTTCTCAGATCTGAATGAGTCCAGCGGGTCTGAGGTGCAGTGAACGATCGATGCCCACCATGGCCTAAGAACACAATATTACTGGGAATTGACATTCTAGGTTGAAACTGGCTAATGGCATGATTCCTTTCCTTCTGTGTCCCAAGGACGAGGCGGTAGGTGGCCAAGTCTGTTAACACACCACAGCTCAGAGCACGTGGAGCGAAAGCTCACACTGCAGGACCCAGAGATCTTGGGCTCAATCCCCACCCCTGCCCGTTTCGATCTGGATGAGCATTGCACCAGCGTGTGTTCATGTAATCACTACTGCGTGATGCACGTTAAAGACCCCAGGCTAACGGGTGTACTGCACTGGCTAAATTTCTTGCCTAAAGAAGAGACACCAGACGGCCACTGGGGCCGACTTTCCGCTGTCTAAACATGCACCCAACACATTTTGTCTTAAAGGCCAACCTACAGAATCGTTTTCTGCCAGGCAGAAAACCGCTTCCCAGTTCCTTTCCCAGCTCCTCACTACAGAAAAGAGGAAAATAGGCCGCCGAGCAGCCAAAAAGGAGGAAACTCTCCCCAATTCCTCCTCTCCATTCAAAAAAGAGGGAGACAGTCCTTCTGCGGGGAGTAGCTCAGAGACCCACTCCTGTGGGGAGAGGAGGAGAAAAGAGTGCAAGAGGGAATCAAAAGAAGGAAACTGGGAACTGGTTTTCTTCCCAACAGAAGACGATTCTGAAGGTCGGCATTTAAGGACGCTGAAGAGATGGAGAAGAGATGAAAAAGGGGTTGCCGAGATCGAGCAGAGGGCTCCAACGCACCTTGACGTCCAGCCCCGGCACAAGGAAGATGGTGAAGTCTGCCACCTGCGTGGTCGTGGCCGCGGGGGCGAAGCGCATTCGGGAAGACGACGGGTGACTGCGGGGCCCGCTCCGGCGCCGTGTGGGGGAGCCCCCCTCGGGGAGGCCCCCTGAGAAGCTGCGCTCTTTGCGCATGGGACGTGCCCTGCAACAGGATGTGCCCGGGAGCTCAGTGAGAACCTAAGCAGATTGTCATCTATTCTCACCGAACGTCTGTTCTCGCAGAGCATCTCACAGAGCATCTGTTTCCGCAGAGAATGTCACCGAACATCTGTTCTCACGGAGCATCTCATGAAATATCAGTTCTTATGGAGCGTCTCACAGAGCATCTACCCCCTAGGACAGTGGTTTTCAACCACTGATGTTTCGCGGACCCCATGTGGATCGCGGAGCTGATGAAGGACCCCGTTCCTGGGGGGGGAATGTATAGGTTAATTATGATAGTGATTTAATAAATGGATATAACTAAAGACTAGTGTGAAGTATACTTCTCTCATTGACATATACACGAGAAAACTCGCCAGAAAATTGAAACATTTCTTCTCAATCTGAGAGAAGACAACTCTTATTAGCAGGCTTGACTGATGGGGCTGGGCTTCGCAGACTTCTAGAATGCCTAAGCGGACCCCCCGTTTGAGAATCACTGCTTTAGGACAACCTGACCACAACGGTATTTCCTACGCCTCTCCCACTAACACCTCCAACAATAGAGATAGTACTGACGGAAGGCTTTGACAGCAGCCCGTGTTCCACAAATATCTCTACTCCAGTTACTTATTCAGAGAAAAACAACTGTGAGAACCCCTCAAGATGGCCACTGACATTTCTATTCTCATTGACAGGGTAAAAACAACAGGGCATCTCTTTCAGATGCCTGGCATTCAGCGCATGCTGAATGCCAGGTGCGGTGAGGAGTTTAAGTTGTTCTGTCTCCAGTGCAAGCTTCTTACCATCAATTACATTTAAGCGTCTCATGATGCGCGAAGCTCATGAGACACTAAAGTGTAATTGATGGTAAGAAGCTTGTGCTGGAGGCAGGACAACTTAAACTCCTCACTGCTATTCTCGTCTTGTCAGTGACTAGAGTGAGACGGCTCCATACGGGCCTCTAGTCACGTTTTACAATGCGCGGCTTCCTTCTTCCGAAGTCGGTTTGGAAAGTAAAGGGTTCGTGCCCACCCCATACCCGAGCATCCATTCTGAGCTGCCTCTTTCACAGGTTGCATGCATGCTACCACAGAGCTGACCTTGGCACCCCAATAAACCATTCCAAAGACACGCCAGAAGGGTGGCAGAGTCCCCCAACGCACATCCTGAGGGCCTCCTCTTCCCTGGCGGGGTCCCTGGTGTGCAGGACACACTTCCCGCTGTTGAAGAACACCTTGATGTCCAGCTCGAAGTCGATGCTGGGCTCCGCCTGTTGCCGGCTGCCCTGCGGGGCAGTGGGCGGGCTCTGGCCCCCATGCGCATCACCGGACCTGTGAGGGATGGATGCAGGTTCGCTCGCACGTTTTAATGCAGAATGTTTTCATAGGCTGTGTTTTTGGTTTAGGGAGTTGTAAAGAGTTATAACAAAAACACGATAAAACGGGCACATGACGATCACGTGGTGCACGTGACACATAACCCATAGTGGTGCACGTGACACATAACCCATAGTGGCGCCAATATGGGACGCCATTATGGGTTATGTGGTCCCGTGAGTGACATGTGACCATGTAACTCGACGTTGCAGCATCACATGATGTCATCAGACGTCCCAGTGTCACGTGACATCACTCGATGCCACGTGACATCTGATCTGATGACATCATGTGATGTCCCAATGTCACGTGACACCACTATGTAAGTGACGTCACATGACATCATCATGGGGTTGGTGTCATAGAACCCCGTTGTCGAATGTAGTGGGAAAACGTCATATGCCCCGCTGCAACACCCCCTCAAGTTCGCATTGTGCGTAATTCGGTACATAGGATTGAGGTGATTGATTTCTCTATGAGCGAGGAGGGGCCGGGGCTCACGTGGGGACTTGGGGGACCTCGTCCTGGGGACTTGTGGTCGGCTCAGAGGGCTCGCTCGTTGGAGTCGGCGCACCGCTGTTGCTCACACTTGCCGTCGTCTGCGAGAACACACTGTCCAGGGACAGCTCCCTGGAAGAGGTCGTAAGACGTCTTCGCTTGTCCGGCGACCACACATGACCAGCGTGTGCTGGCTGAACCACTCGTAATCACAGTGAAATCAAACCAATACCTGTGCTTCATTGCTGATACTTTCTCCCTCATGGCCTTGCTGCAGTTCAACCAACACAAGCAAGCAAGGGTCGTCAGGGGTTCGCACATTAAGCCATCACTTCAAAGTAAACAGAGCAAGGGACGCGGACAAAAATCTTTCAGCCTTTCCACTCTGGCGAAGATCTTTACGACATCTAGGACGATACCTAAACGACGACCTCAAGGACGCCGCCTAAAGGACGACGTCTAGGACGACCTCAAAAACGACTTCTAGACAACCTCAAGGACGACCTCAGGGATGACGTCTAGGACGACCTCAAGGATGACTTCTAGGACGACCTCGAGGACAATGTTTAAAATGATTTCAAGGACGACTTCAAGGACGACCTCTCGGACGACGTCTAGACGACCTCAAGGATGACTTCTAGGACGACCTTGACGACAACCTCTCGGACGACCTCAGGGATGACGTCTAGGACGACCTCAAGGGTGACTTCTAGGACAACCTCGAGGACAATGTTTGAAACAATTTCAAGGACGACTTCAAGGACGATCTCGAGGACGACGTCTAGACGACCTCAAGGATGACTTCTAGGACGACCTTGACGACAACCTCTCGGACGACCTCAAGGATGACGTCTAGGACGACCTCAAGGACGACGTCTAGGACGACCTCAAGGACAACTTCTAGGACGACCTCGAGGACGACTTCTAGTACGACGCCTAGCGATATTCAGCCTTTCCACTCTGGAGAAAACCAGAGTGAAAAGGCTGGAAAGATTGCCGCCATCGCTGATAGATGGCGGTAGCTGTGCAGAGTTTTGTGTCGACATTTGTTTGCCCGCGGACACGATACTGGGGAAACTAGCCCTTAACAGCTACGCTGTAAAAAGGGGAAACCAATACACCAAAGTGCGGCAGTGCGATCATCTTCTCTTTGTGACCTCTGCACCGTTGGCTTTTAATAACACCTCGAGAGAACAGAGGGAGCCCCAGCATCCTTGCCTGTGCACGAGGGGCCTCCTGGGGGATGCAGGCAGGTCTGACATGTCGAGGGAAGCCGTGCGCACATGCACTCCGGCCTCCTTGGCCCCCCCGGGGGATGGGGGGACCCCGCCCGAGGTGGGGGGCGGCGCCTGGCCCTGCTGGGGGTGCCCCTGCCGGGTCTCCTCCTCGGGGGTGCCCGGCACGAGCCGTGACATGGGGCCCAGCCCCAGTTTGTCCTTGATTGAGGCCGCCTGGAGACCACGGAGCAGACAACGACGCTCAGCCAAAAGGAAACGTTCTTCTACCAGTCTGAGCTTACTTTTCCAATAGAAAAGCAACAGATTGACTTAAACTATACTCCATTTCAGCGTAACTTGACAAACGATGAAGGCTACAGTCCCAATGAGCAAATCAGAGCGTCAGAGAGAGGCACAAAGGAAACGTTCTTCGTCTATGGGTCTGAAGCTTACTTTTTCGATAAAGAAAAGGCATACTGTTCTGAACTATGGTGCCAGGAACACATCTCCAACTGGTGTGTGGACAGCGCTTGTCCTATCTAGTCCTCCCCTTTCTTGTCCTTGTCTCTTTCGCGCTGTTTTTGCACAATGAACTCGCACTTGCCCAATTGTCCATTCTACCAAGTGTTATTTCTTCTACAAAAGGCTCTTTTATATGTCAGCGCTTGTCCTTGTCTCCATCTTTTCTTGTCCTTGTCTCTTTGGCTCTGTCTTTTCCATGATGGTGAGTTCCGCATCCTCATTTGTGGTTCCTCAATTTATGCCTGATCATGTCACAGATGTGCCTCGATCCTAGCGGTGGCACAGCGATAGAGGCGGGAGCGGCGAATGCTTGTCCTGTTGCAGCTCGTTCTACACCTAGACAGTTCACGGAAGCTTCAGCAGCCAGGAGTAGGGGCACCACGATGACGGCGACACTTGCGTTACTCACCTTTTTTGCCTCAACTTCCGCGACCAACAGCCAGGATCATAACATCTGTAGCGGCCCCCAGCGAAGCGGGAAAGAAGTAAAAGAAGTGCCCGCGCGATCACGGCCTCTCTCGGAGCTCGAGACAGCACAGAGATCGAGGAACAACTGCACCCACACAAAATCGGCTCGTCACGTCTCAGATTTAACGTAATGTAAATAGTGTAAATAAATTAGTTGAAGCTCAGTACGCTTCAAATTGGTGACCCGGCTCCTGTGACGTAATTTGTTGCCACTTTGGGACCACTTTCAATGCATGGGCAACACAGGAGGCCGAGCACACCAGTAAAAGACGCTTTCCAGGCACCATCTTCTAAACTAATGTCAGTTCTAAATGAATTGATACAGTTTATCTTTCTGCCCTCGAGGTATATCTCTTGGTTGCTAGCTAAGGAGCAGCCCCCAGTCGCAGCACTGATGCTATAGTAAACCTACGTAAGCAAAAATGCCCATGCTACTACTAGGTGTTTGGCTTGTAGTTATGCAACAATGGCTGACTTAGGTCTACTAAAATAGTGCCTAAACTTAAAAAAGAGTTTACTCGGACAAAGGGAGAGTAAAGAAAATTTAGAAGCAGGGAAACCCCAAGTTCCTAGGAAACCACATTGAAAAGCTATGGTTCAAATCTACCATGACAGGGGCCTTGCAGAGAGAGCAGGTAGGCTGGCCTCTCCAAAGCACAAAGTTGATGTAATAATCTAGAGAGAAAATTACCAAGCATTTCAGACGGTTTGAAACAACGGGGCACGGACGCAAACATTGGTGGTCCCCTATGTGGTGCCGATCTGCCCAGATCCCTGGCTACGCTTTGATATATACAAAAAGATAAACACCACTTGCAAGGTAGGTCTGTATTTAATGTTTTTCTAGCTTTATATTGCACAAAAACACCGACACCGCGCATTGCATAAAATAAATAAAGTTGACGAGCACTCGAACAGCTACAACTCGTCGCGGCAAAACGAATACGCCTAACCTATTGTCTGCTTTCTTTCTCCGATCTTCCATTGCTCTCTTTCTCACTCTTTCTTTCGAGACCCCTGACATCAGCGCTTATGATTTGACGCGTTCTGCTCCTGTTTTGATCCCCTCTGGGGACATGTAGTGGCGTCTGAGCATACCTTGACGCTCTGCCTGCGCAGCTTCTTGATGACGTCACGACGGAAGTCATTGAAGACGGCCGTCTCAAGCTCTTTGAGGCGGCGCTCCTCCTGCTCGATGGTGCTTTGGCTGGCCCCCAGGAAGCGTAGGTCGCTGATGATCTTGGCCTGCTCGTTCATTTCCTTTTCGATCAGCCGGGACCGCTTTTTGGCATCCAGGGCAGGGTCCAGCAGCAGGCATGCATGGCGCAGGGTCACAGGCTCCTGCAACAAACGCCCGACAGCCACACAAGCACATTTGAATACTTAGTATTTGCAGTAGAACAATAAATATGTGCTATGACTAAGTTTCGAATACGCTCATCAAAAAAGCAAATTGGGTGTTTGTTTAAACAGCATAACGTTGATCTGCCTCTGATGTGGTGACGACATTCGTTTACGCTGTAGACAAGATATTTAGTCACTGCTGTGCCACTGCTCGCCTGAAGTCTTTAATATGCATCACGCAGTAGTGATTACACGAACGTAAGCCGGTACGAAGCTTATCCAGCTCAAAACGGGCGGAGCTGGGAATCGAACCCAAGATCAATGGGTTCTGCAGCAAGAAATTTCGCTCCATGTGCTCCGAGCAGCAGCATGTTAACACACTTGGCCCTTTGCGTTCGGTTGCAACTCTTGTTTAATCAGTGTTCAACACGAATCCCAGCCAAATGCTCACGCAGAAGGTGGTAGAAAAAATCCAGCACCAAGGCCTTGTTATATCTAGGAGCTGTTGAGCGGTGCCTGGGTGGTTCTGGCTGCTCAAGAAACACATATCGAGACGAGGGGTATTTCTAAGGTGCTCCAGGAACACCCTTTAAGACTAGGGGTGTTCCTGGGGAGCTCATGATACACCGTGTGAGTAGAGGGGTCTTCCTGGGGAGCTTAAGGAACAACCGTTAAAACTAGGGGTGTTTCTAGGGGGCTCCATTAAACACTTTGAGACTGGGGGTGTTCTTGGGGAGCTTGTGGTACACCTTCTGATGCTAGGGGTCTTTTTGAAGAGCTTCAGGTTACACCCTCTGAAACTAGGGGTGTTCCTGGGGAGCTCCAAAATCACCCATTGAAACTAGAGCTGTTCCTGGGGGACTCCTGGCATACCCACCTGAGCGGCCTGCTCCTCGGGGCTTCCCCCGTCATCCCCGTCCCCTGTGAGGGCCGTCAGGGTGCGGAACAGCGCCGAAAGAGCCTTGCTGATGCTCGTGTCCACGTGGATGTCCACGCCCTCCATCTGCCACTGCACGTTCAGGATCCACTTGGCATTGCCTGCGCACCGGGAAGACATGGGGACATCACTGCACAGAGATATTAAAAATAGCGCAAAAGAGACGGGACAAAAAGACGAAGAAGCACACAGGACAAACGCCTCTTCTTCGTCGTTTTGTCCCGTCTCTTTTGCGCTATTTTTAATATGAATGTCCACTACCAACTTGCCCAGCAGACTAAGCTTTTACTGCACAGAGAGAGTCGTTGCTGACACCCTTACTGCCGGCCTGCGCCGCGATGGTCCGTGAGCAGATCTCGTAAGTGCCCTCTGAGACCACGCACAGGTTGGTGGTGCTTGAATCGCTCGGGTCGGGCTTCCAGTCGTCCAGGGAGACCTCAAAGTCCTCCGCAAAGCGCAAACACAACCCTGCAACAGGAAAACCGCCAGTTGACTCAAGTGCTTCGGTTTTTCTGTCGGACATTACTTTAGTATTAACAATTATTTATTTATTTTACCCCAAGGACACGGAGGCATTACAGAAAAAAGTGGAGAATAAAAAAACACTAGAAAAGAAACCAAACAGGAGCAACACAAAGAATACTCAAACAATAGGGAACTGGAAGTTAGCAATAGCTCTACAAAAGAAAGCGTAGTCAACAACTCAGTGGCAGGTAAGCAATTCCAGTCATTAGTAGTATAATGGGACCCTAACAGTTAGTGTGATCTAAAGAACCCATAAGCAGAATCTCGCGACCATCTGCCAATGTCCTTGCACGAGGCAGACAAAGCAACATCTACCCACCTGTGAAACGTGCCTTGCTCACGAGAGATCCGCAGGAGCAGGCCGAGATGCGGGTGTTCTCGAGGGTCACCACCACTGCCGCCGTACTGTCTGACTCGTACAGCCGACTGTTGGTCAGTGCCTGCAAGTCAGTACACCACGTCAGCCTAAGCACATCCGCTGGGGCACAGTCCTCGTCACGTTAAAGAGCTGCGATGCCTGGAACGCGTCTCCAGCCGATGTCTCTACCGAGTTCTCAAAAGTGGTCTCTCGATTTCTGCCACGACATGGAAGTGTCGTGCTGCTGGCCACCATAATTTCGACAGTGCCACAACAACAGAAGCACATGCAGTAGATGTCTGTTCTGCTGCACCCACCCCCTTGCTGATGGGCATGCAGATGCCCAAGTCTTGAACTGTCAGCTGCAGGAACAGGGTCCCAAGAGCCTGACTGCTGAGCTGCGAGAACTGGGGCACACGTTCAAACACCTGCTGCGTAGCCGTCAGCACCTGAAACAAAAAGTGGATGAAGTTGCGTCGTCGGACGGCCCCTAAAATGGCGGCCGCAATCGAGCGCACCTCTTTGTTGAGGCTGCCCCTCTGCTCGTTCCAGTATTCGTAAGCGTTCTTGTAGTTGAGCCACACCAGGACGGCTGGAATAAGAAGAGTGATCTTCGCTCACTAGGAGCGACTCAACGAGTCCTATCCTAACAAAACTGCGAGGATGGCATGCCCTTCATCTTGTTCACTGTAAGGGTAGAAACCGAGGGAGACGAGAAGACGACAGCATGCGGGGACATAAAAAAACCGAGCTTTGTTTGCAATGATTAGAAGGTAGACGCAAAGATACCTGCCTTTGTCACCCCCACACTCGACGAACATGTTCCAATGAAAACTCCAAACACTGACGTTTTGCGTTCTAACGCTTTCGACGAATGCAATGGAGACAAAAGCAGCTAGCTTTGCATCTACCCACTGATCATTCCAATCAGAGGTTGGCGTTCCGACGTTCCCACTTGCTCTCGTCTCCTCCCCTCCCTCAGTCTCCGCCCGCATACTGACAGAAACAGAAAAGCAGGATATCTCTTTCAAATGCCCAGGCTCCAGCCCGTGCCCGTTGCCTTGCGCCACGCTTTGGCTGCAAATGCACGCTAAAGAATTGTGAGACGCCAAAGCGTTATCGAAGATAAAAAGCTCGTGCTGGAGGTAGGATAACTGAAACTTTTCCCTGCCATTCTCGTCTTGTCAATGAACATAGACGCCATGTCCTAGATTTGTTGAGTGCCCCTCGCACGGTGCGCCCACCTTTATCCAGGGCCACTGGCTGGAAGTAGATCATGGGCCGGCTCAAAGTAATGAGGACCGCCTCCTTGTCGTCGTACTGGCTGGAGATCATCTCGTCCTGTGGCCAACGAAAAGGGGGCATCTCAACCCAATGACAACGTGCATTTTACCCGGCCAGGTAGGCTCACCTGCAACGCGTTGCGCAGGCAGATGCGAGTCTTGAAGAAGGCAAACTGCTGCAGCTCCGCCTCTTCAAACAGAGTATTCTGCAAACCATACAGTGCCCTCAAAACCATCAGTGACTAGAGTTGCACAGGAGCAACTCAAGCTTTGAGGGGATGCTCAAATATGCCCGAGAGAACAAACCAAAGTGACCGTCCACAACGACGCTTTCATGGTCTCATGCTCTACTTGGCTTCACAGGAAGAGCTGTAGCACTTGCGAAGCTTCCTTGCCATAGAGACACAAAAACTGCCACACCACCAACTTTTCTGGCTAACTGATTTGGAATTACAGAGGTTTCCGATTGCAGTAGACGTTTTGCAAAAGTACCTAAATACCACATGTGAAGCAAACAATAAATTACAAGAACGTCTTTGCACCTGCATCATTTACCCCATGACATTGGAGAGAGTGAAAAAGTGTGAAGTAGTGCAGCTGCTCCCTCACTCATCCGCCTGCGTATCCTTCGTCGTCTACTCTAGCCGGTCCTCTACAGGCTGTTACAAACATTCTTTTCGGCACTTCAGACACTGTTTCACGCTTTGCAAAAGATCTATTAACAAAGGTAAACATGAGGGAAGTTGAGGGGACCGACTAGTGATACTGGCTTATTTGGAATCCTAAACACCTTTAATTTCAGCACCTCCGAGCCACGAAGAGGCCACCATTGCGACATCGGCGTGGCAGCGGCCAAGAAGCATTGCCCTCACCTTGAGGAGCTGTCCCAGGGCGAGGCTGAGGTCAACCTGGCCCTTGCCGAAAAGCTTCATGGCCGAGACGGCCCGGGAGGCGTTCTGGACGCGGTTGGAGAGCTGCAGGTCCAGCGTGCCCGTCTGCAGGCGCACGGCGCTGGCCGTTGGGGTGGTGGCCGTGAGGCGGATGCCCCGCAGGCGCAGCTGGAGCGAGAAGAGCAGGCGGCCTCCCCCGCCCCCCGGGGCCCCCTCCCACAGCCGCAGGGGCCGAGTGCCCGACATCTTCTGCACCACCTCGTTCACCTCCTGCGAAGATGCGGGACGTTACGCACGGATACCGTGAACAAAGGGGCCTGGGTGCTACGCGCACTCCAGCCACGGGGACGGCTGCTGCACTAACTTTAATGTTGCAAAAACACCTTTCAACCTTCGAGCAAAATATTGAGGAGAACAGAAAAGACGAGGAACTATGATAGTCTTTGCACTCTGTCTTCCTTTTAGAGCGCAGCTCTTAGGCGCCCGTTTCCAACTTGAGCGGCGTCGCCGTCGGCGTCAGCGTAACTAAGGTCACCCCAAGGTCACGTGACCCCCAAGGTCACCCCAAGGTCATGTACCCCTCCCAAGGTTAAGCGACCCCTCCCAAGGTCACATGAACCCCTTCCAAGGTCACCTCAAGGTCACATGACCCCTGCCAAGGTCACCTCAAGGTCACGCGACCCCCAAGGTGACCCCCCAAGGTTACGTGACCCCGAGGTCACGTGGCCCCCTCCCCGAGGTCACGTGACCCCCCCTCCCACCCAAGTCACGCGACACCCCCCCCGAGGTCACGTGACCCCCTCCCCCCGAGGTCAGGTGACTCCCCCGGAGCATATTAAAGAATGAGGGGAGGAGGAGGAAAAGGAGGAGGAGGAGGAGGAGGAGGGGTCTACCCTCCCCTCAGTACCCTTCCCTCCTCCTCCTCAAGAGCTGCACTCCGATTCGGCGTTACAGGGAGTTGTAAACGGCTCTCACTTTTTAATTTGTGAACAAGTCATTGAGCCAAAAAGTTCTCACCTTAACTCAAATTATTTTTTTGGGGGGGCGTGCACTTAATTTTAAAGTGGTTCTGAAAAGGCAATTGATATCCCATTTTAGTTTGTGCTGTTTACCTAGCTTCAATAGTTTGCTATTCAGGTTTAAAGTAACACAATTCTTTCGCAAGAAGAGCTCTCACGAGAACATAGCCATAGAACCTTTGCACAAGTTTGTACGTCACTCTCTATAGGGACCGCCTATGACCTGTCGTATGTATTTTTGCAACAGGCAACCAAATAGCGCTATTTCTTCACTGGCAACTGCTTTCCTTTTTTTTTTCAGTTTCCAGAGCTTTTTTACGTTGGAGAAGTTCCCATGCGATGTTATTTTTAAACCAATGCTTTCGTAACTGAACGTTCCTTGGTGGTGAAGAAAAAAGAATTCTCTTCTGGACGAAGATGAAACCAATTGTAGCAACGTGGCAACACTGGCCCGGAGAGCCCACAAGGGTGCCCTGGGAAACTCCTGGGGTCGTAGGAACCCCGTTTGAGAACTGCTGCAGGGTGCCCAAAAGAGGAGCCCACAAAGGGGGCTGGGAGGTCCCCACCTTCATGAAGACCTTTTGAACGAGCACCAAGTGGTTCAGCAGGTCCGTGGTCAGGCTGTGCTCAAAGGTGCCAATCTCAGCCAGGGCGCTCAGGTAGCTGCCGCGACGCAGCACCACGCCATCTGCGTCTCGCTGCGAAGGACCCCCGGGGTCCTGGAGGTACTCGGCCGCCACCTGTGCCATGGCGAAACACGCACCTACCCCGTAGAGCACGTCGCATGATAAAGTGCACAGAAATTAAGATAGCTGCAAGCTTGGGTCCAGAGCTAAGACCTTTAATGCCACCTAGCATTAATCAAGCGGCGGTGTGCACTCTTGAAACGACGAACGTAGTGCAATTCATTACCAGAATCGCAGCAAGTCCATTAACCGGAATGGCACAAAGCAAGGATCGATGTCTTGGTTAAGTTGTGGGAAGCTGTCAAGAATCTAAGCAAGTACAACTACGAGCTGTGGGTACTCGTTCGATTCGCTGCTCGGATCATGAGCTGGCGTCCCGCTTAAACCTGCTGATCCGGCGGGTTAATACCGGCTTGGTGGGCTTAATAATCATTCAGTTATTAAGTGCATTATGACCCCAATACATGTACAAGGATGGACGCTATTGTACTTAGACTAGGCTTGTGTCGAACCAGCAAAAGACGACAAAGTCGGTAGTTACAATCTCATCTTCGTGTGTCAATCCTATAAAAGCAATATAATATGTCTCAAGTGTTAGTTCTGTAGAGGCACATTCTATGTGTTGCTCAAAGGCTGCCTAGATTCAGGCGCCAGGACGTCGCCTGCATACAGCGCACCGACTGACCTGGACAGGTGGTAGTTCCACGCTGGCCCGGGATGGTAGGTTGGCCTCGCAAGCCGGGGGCACCTGCAGAGGGGATGGTTTGCATACAATGGTCGTAAACAAATTGTCCGGCGCCTGGAGCGTGTCTCTGATCGGTCCGTTTTCCGCGTCCTTGAATGTAACCGTGTCCTTGATTTCAGCCCGATGACGTTGTAGAAGTCTTCCAGCAGATGCCCGTTCTGCTGCAAGTCTCTCGCCAGCTTGACAGTTCACCGAAACTTTAGTAGCCAGGAGTAGCCACTTCATAGGCCTCACTAGCCAGGAGTAGCCACTTTAGTAGCCCCGACGGCGACACTCGCACTTACTCGTGCTTGTTGCCAGAACTTCTGCAACTGACTGCCAGGATTGCTACATTTGACAGTGTGGCACTCCGGCTTTTGCGACAATATTTGTTGCCCCTTGGAAACAACTTTCCATGCGTAGGCAGGATAGGACGCCAAATACATCGGTCAGAGACACGTGCCAAGTACCGTACCGGCGCCCACCTTGGTGTTAAAGCTGAGCGAGTGCTGGGGCAGGTGCACTGTGAAGCGGGCCTGGGCCCCCGTGCGGCCCGTGCCCGTCAGGGGCCCCATGTGGTAGTGGGCCCGCAGGGAGGGCAAGAGCGAGGCCCCCGTCGTCAGGCCCTCCAGCACCAGGTCCAGGCGCACCACGGGGCGCGACGTCCGCTGGTCCGACCCCAGCGGGGTCGGGCTGCCCTGCACGGTCGAGGAAGGGTGCGTCAGTGCCACTTCGGCCAAACCGGAACCGCATGGCACAAAGAAAAAATATTTGCCCTTTTGCTGCACCACCGTGGATAATGCAATGGTAATGGAGAATGTAAAGAAAGGTTCGCACATTTGAGTTTGAGTGTGCCAACATTATTAGATCAACTCGGTTGTAGAACTTTTGCGAAAGGGGAACCCCACCTTTTCCCCCTTAACTCGCACCACGTGTCATTTAAAGTGTCACCTAGAGGCTGCATTTCAAAACTCTATTCTTTAAAGATGCTGCGGCAAAGCGCCACCTAAATGCCGTCCACCCCATAAACGGTGGTGCATCGAACGACGGGAGGCGAACTTTGTGGTGGGGGGGGGGGGGAGGTGCTGTTTGTGAAAGTGTCATCTATGGACAGTACCAGTCCGTAACCGAATTAATCTAATCAGCGTTTCTGGTGTCCACAATTTGCTCTTGAACATGAACTGCAAGAAGGGGTTAGGTCCTGATGGTATTCCTAATTAATCTCTTTGGACATTGAGCTACTTAACCGTAATCTTCGAGAAGTCTCTCTTCTGAAATCATACCTAAACTTTAGAAATCAGCCAGAGTTATTCCCGTCTTTAAATCTGGTAACAGAGCCTTATCAATTACAGACCAATTTTATTGACTTCTTCTAGTAAGCTCCTCAAACGTATAATTTACAGTCATATTTTTTAATATCTCGAAAGCAACTCTATCATATGCCCTTAACAGCACGGTTTTCGTCGTCATTTTTCAATCACCGTGCAACTCCTGGAATTCACTCATGACATTGCTTCATCTTTGAATAAAAGAGGGCAGGTTGATGCAATATTCATAGATTATTCGAAGCATTCAATAAAGTTTCGCATTCTAAACTACTTTGAAGTTGAAAGTTATACTTAAAAATCCAGTTTTACTTGACTGTATCACTGATTATATAAAAAAGTTTGTTTCATTTAGTAATGCTCTTTTTCAGAAGTTACGGTCAGTTCAGGTTTACCGCAAGTATCGGTGTTAGGACCTCTTTTATTTCTTCTGTATATCAAATATTGTAGAAAACACACCGGTTAAAATTCGTCTTTATGCCAATGACTGCATTTTGTATAATAAGGTTAATTCGGTTAGTGATCAACTGTTACTTAATGAATCCTTTGTGCACTTCTTTAACTGGAGCAAACAATGGCCAATGGAATTCAACTTTGAAAAGACTATGTTCATGAAGTTTACAATTAAGAAATTGCCTTTGGTTTTTAGCTACGGCATTGATAAGATAGTCTTGAGGGAGGTTTACCAGATAAAAGATTTGGGTATTATATTTCATCTAACCTTAAATGGGACGGGCACGTTGACCTTATTTGCTCTCGCACCCTCAAAAAATTAGGATATGTTAAACATATGTTCGAATGTTCTTCAAAAGAGGTCAAATTAACCGCTTTTAAAACCCTCGTTAGGCCGATTATGGAGTATGGTTCTGTAGCTTGGAACGTTTATCTAAAAAAGGACATTAATCTTGTCGGCTCGTTAAATACATTTCCAATAGATATGATCGACACTTTTCACCTTCATCCACTATGCCAGAGTCCAGAGTCTTTTAAGCAAACTGTCGAGCAGTTGAAAATGCTACCTAGAATTGTTAACGAAGATAGTGGCATTGAGTGCATGAAATAGGTTTCTTTTTCAGACATCACGCGCACTAGGCAATCCCATCCTTTAAACGTTGTACACTTTCAGGTTCATATTGTTTTAAAAATTCCTTTTTTCCGCACATATTTGAGTTGCGGAACGGTTTTATTGGATCTACACGTATGCTTCAGTACGACGACGTCGTTTTAGAAATAGTGAAAATGAATTTTGTTTGATGTGTGACTGGCGAATCATTATTTTGTATATGTTTTTGTTTAATGTTAGCACTACTCATCTTTTTCACCTGTGTATTCCACTCCTGCAATGACCTCAATTGAGGTTGCAGTATGTTCAAATAAATAAATAAAGCGGAGTGTGTCAACTGCATTGCAGTCCATCGTAACTGCGTAACAGGCTGGCACCATTTATACGGTAGACCCGAAACTCTTCAGATCTGCGTATTTCTTTACGCATCAGTCTTTCAGTGTGGGCTTTAAATAATTCTGACAATATTATGAGAGACCATTTTTCGTAGATAGAACATAGGTTTGACCTCGTAAATATTGCAAAACTTTCGATCTAGTCATGCGCGCCTAGAAATGATTCCAGGGCCTTCTGGTAGGTGGTGCCAGTCTGTTCTCTCATCACTAGACGTCACAATTGGAGACAAACGTAAATGTGTGAATCAGCCTTGACGTGCAACACAGCCAACTGGCAGTTGGCCCGCCTAAAAAAGTACACCCGATGTCTCAGAGTTCTCCCCGACAATAGACAATTTCTTTCAAAGGTGCGCACCACCTGGTGGCTCCTTCGTCCATTATCCGAGTCTGCCGTTGTTTGCGCATGCACTTGGAGAAGGCATTGGACACAAGCGTCGAGTCGGCGTTCGGCAAAAACTCGGATTCAATCGATTCAATCGGATTCAACCCGGGTAGCGAGTTCGAATCCCGGCCGAGGTGCCCGCAACCTGATGAAGGCTCACTGCAGAGAAGGCACCGCATAACCGAGATTTTAGCTGCACGCCAAGAGATTCTTGGGCGGTTGAAATTAATCCTCAGTCCTCCGCTGGGGCGTGCCGGATGCACAGATGCCCTTTATTGGTTTGCAATGCAAACCCCCCCCCCCCCTCTTCCATTCCATGCGTGACGTCACGTTTCATGCGAGCATTGTGGTTTGTTTGAAATTCCCAAGCAAGGTCATGTGACTGTGACATCATAACCCTATCGACCGATCCTGGATTTTACCGTCCCCCCGACGCCGACGCCGGCTTTTCTGCGACATGAGCTTTTTAAAGCTATTGTTTTAAAAGTAACTGCAGCGTCTCTCACACACCCTGAAGGATGCTGCAGAAACGCATTCTGTACATATCGACTTCATCCATGGCATCGAGGGAAATCAAGCATTGTGGTTAAGCGAGTCCTTTTTACCTTATTTCTCGGCCTGACACTTCTACTGGGTTCCACCTCCATCTTTCATTGTTCAAAGAGATTAAGAAAATATTTCGTACGACTAGATCTTGATTTTAATGACAATAAATTTTTGTTAATAAAGTGCAATTGTGTTTTTCTCAAAACGTCAAGTAGAGCCAGAGTGAAAAGGGCGGACTGCGGCACCCACCAGAGCGGCCTCCTCCGCGGGCGGCCGCTGGGCGGAGCGCCCGGGCCCGCTCCGGCGCAGCTCCTGCAGCGTGGTGGAGAGCTGCTTGCTGGAGCGCGTCACCATGCTGTGCAGCACCACGGGGTGCTGGGGGATGTCGATGTGCACTGCCCCGATGGAGAGCAGCGCCGCGTGGTGGGCTCCGCGGCTCGAGCCCAGGGCCTGGGACTGCCCCACGGCCATCGTGACCACCATCTGGTGGTTCGGGGGCTGGCCCTCCAGGAGAACCACGCTCGTTGGGCCCAGGCGTCCCGTCGCAGAAGACTCGCTCTTGCGCAGACCCTCCTCAAGGGTCTCCTACAAAGAACACAAGATCCCAGTCACGTCGAGAAGTCGCGAAGGAGGAGGCAAGTTTAAAACATTTCATCTATGTCGTCAAAAGGCGGGATCGTCCTCACAGAGTGAGAGCGTCCCCCCAGGGCTAGTGTGTCTCACAGGTAGAGAGCATCTTCGCAGAAGCACTCTCACACGTGGGTTCTCAAACTGCCTGCTTCAGTCGGTGCAATTTTTTGAGCAATTTAGGGGTTGTTGGCGAATTATTCCCTGTAATTCCCTAGATGCTTTTGCTGAGACGCAAATTGCCGGGATCGAGTCCGGCTCGAGAAAGGCGAGCAGCTCCAACAACTCGGAGACTTTTGAAGTGGCAGTAGACGATCGGAGGCGCCATATTTTTGATGTGACCTTTGCTGCGGTTGCGATGATAATAACTGGACAGGGGGTATAACCTGACGAGTTTGATGAGCGTTAAAACTCAGTACGAAGAAAGTGCAGTCTCCGCCCCCTGTTTGTGTTTTGCTTTCTTCATATTTGGTATAACTTGGTTTTGGTTTTAGATTGATTTTGCAACTATAAATGGTGTCGAGGAGATAAGATAGTATTCTCAACACCATCAAAATATATAGAAATACATTACTAATGTGTAAATTTGTGAAATAGCACAATATATTTAAAATTTTAATGATGATAATAACAAACGCAACAATCTGAGCTTCGGGAGCTGCTGCGTGTGAACAGGGGTGGCCTGTGTTGCTGGCATTGCGATGTCGAGACGTTGGGGAAAATTGCCCCGTCCGAAGTGGGCTAAAAAATGTACGGTTATCCCACAGTATATGTGTCCCACGAGCTACAAAATATTGTCGGCCATCCCTGCCTCTTCTCCAGTTTAAGCACAATTTTAGCAGATCTGAACCACCCATTGATGCCTAACTAATATGAGTCAAACACTCCAGGAGTACATATTATTGTTCACACAGCCTGTAGGCTTGTTTACTGCTTTACTGCTTACTGCCTTATATGTCTCATTGTTCAGTCGACCTTCAAAGTCCTTGAGCGGCAAACACATTGGCCACACAAAGCCAGAAGCCAAAACGTTTACGTAACCACCCAGTGGATGACTAAGTGACAGCACATTGAGAAGGATGACTCAGCACACTAAGAGGGATGACCCAGCGAGTAAATCACGTGTCTGTCTTTAATACATGGGCCCTAGCGCTTGGGCTTTCATCTTCAGGTCGTCTTAGGGATAGCATAAGAGACCCTGTGAATTTTTGCATCAATGCCCAGACAGGGCTAATTGCTGAGGGAGATAAGGGTTCCTCAAGGTCGGAAGGTTTGCGTGTCCCTGCCTCACAGACCCAGAGCATTCCCACAGGACGGGACCAGTATCCTCACGGGGCAAGAGCACCACCCACCTTGTGAGTGCCGCTGACTTGCAGTCCCGAGAGCTCCGCCTCCAGCCGCAGTCCGCTCAGCATGGCCAGCAGGCGAATACGCTTCACGTGGCCCACCGCAAACACCGCCAGGGGCACCCGCTCCGCTAAACCCCAACAGGGGAAACACTCGTCTCGGCGGAAAACATGCCACCACCGTACGACAATGCACCGATCTCACCAGCCATGTTTGGCTACGGCACCGCTGCCCCGATGCGTCGAGCGAACTTTAAGCCGCAGTCACACAACTAATACGTCACGCAAAAGACAGCCTGCAGAAACTGTGTGAGGAGCGTTTCACATTCGAAGCGTACATACGTAGGAAGCAAGCATGCTTCGAACATGTTCGAGGCATGTCCGCACATACTCCTGTCGTCGTGTCTGCAGCGGACGACGTGCCTTTTGTACGACATACGAGCAACGCGACTATGGCTTAGACTTCCCGCACGTGTGACAATCTCGCCGAAGCTCCGCGGACGAGGCGGCACGAGCCGTCTCGTGCAACGCCGCCAAGCTCCCGTGAACTAGTGAGGGTGGCGTAGTGCTTGCGCCGTACGCTCGGTGAGACTGGTCTATTTTAAAACTGGGAGAACCCGAGCATCCCACCCCCAGAAAACGAGTAGGAAACGGGTTCTCACGGATGGCCGCGGCCCTCGGTGCGTCCCTGGGTGCCGGCTGTGGGTAGGGCGCCTCCATGTCGATGCGGTGCTCTTGCAGGTGCTCGTACTTGCCATTACCTCGGTAGCCCTCGGAGGCGTCGCACTTGTGCTCGGTGCCCACCGTCACCGTGAACCTGCGTAGAACCGTCGCGCCGGACTTCACACAAAGGGAAAGCTACGACGCTCGCCGCTTTGGCCGCTCGGGCGAGGGTGCAGGCAAGCTCCTCTGCGTCAACGTTTTCATTTGCTCCTTTTCTGAGCGTTCTCTCGGCCCGAGATAGTAACTCCCCTAGTGTCGCATATAAAACGGCAGACGAAAAGGTCAAATACCCCGAATCATTCTCAGTCTACGACTGGAGTGCAACCAAAGAAGCGACGAAGCACGAAACAGCCTCTCGACCGACGCAACCGTTACGCCTGTACTCTCCTGCCCAATGGACAATTGAGAGGCAAGAAGCTGCCGCCCACCGGTCTGCCAGGGCCTTGGAGGGGGGCATGCTTTCGTACAGGTCCAGCAGGAAGCACATGGTCTTCCAGCAGCGGGGAGTGTCCTCCACTTCGGGCGCCCTTCCCGCCCCAGCCGCCAGCGACTCCTGGCTGGCATGGCGCCTCACGGCCACCGAGTCTGCCCGGGGCCGCCGGCAGCGCAGCTCCAGGCGCGTCTCCTGGACGTTCTCGTACATGCTCGAGAACTGGTGCAGCAGCCGCAGCAGGGGCATGTTCACCTGCGACGCACCGGCCGGAGTCGTCAACCTTGTAGTCCGCTTCGCTTGCCAAGCAGAGTACTATAACAGTCTCAAAGTTTTCTTTCAAGTATTGCAGGAGAAGCAAACTTCACTCTGGCAGAAGACGCGACGGGCACGATGACACAAGGCACAGTTCACCATGCATGCGCCGTTGTGCGTCTCCAGAATCCCTCAAAAACGCATGTGCGCGCACTGCGTTGTCGGTCGCTGTGTCGTCTGCTTGAAAGCAGCCGCTTTGAAACAGCAATTGTGTTATGAAAAGACTGCAATTACACCTGTCTAGGTGGCACACATAAGGTCCCAAGGGTAAGATGTCTGTTAGTCAGACTTCAGTGCAAGATCTACATTTCGTGAACGCAGAGCAGAAAATATGTCCTGCCCCAAACCCAGCGCTCCACAAGGCCGATTCCCCTCAAGCGTGAAAGTCAAATTTAATGCATGTGACCCTTTCTCTGCCAAGGAGGAGTTGGCAGCAAAAAGAACAGAAAGGCGATACTCTGGCTGTGCCATTTAGTTACTCTAGGCAACCTCAACACTACTGTAACAGTGTTTCCAATAACTCTCTTGCAGTGTCTCAAAAATACATTTATTATCTCTCGTTCTCTCCTGCAGCGACCTTTGTGTTAACCTGCCAGAGTAAGGTATGCAAAAATCACCCAGAACTCATTTCACGGCAGGTTTCTTTTCTCGAGGAAACATTAAGACTCTGAGCTCTCCAAAGATTTGCCAAGGCTTCTTTTTGACACGATTTTCTTGCCAGTTATGGTGGGCAGTCACGGGGGTACATATAAGAACTGGCTCTTAAGAATGCTTCCTACTTGCGGCAACGTTTAGTTGTTTCCTAAACCTCGACCTAAACTAAACAATGATCCAAACTTGCAGTGTTCAGTTTCCTACAAAGCCTCGGAGTGCACGTCCCACCTGCTGGGCGACGTACTGCACGTCCACGGCCAGGTGTGCACAGGTGCGAGGTGTGCCCGGATGGCGCACGTCCAGCTCCAGAGTGAGCCGGTCACACACCAGGGCTGGCGTGTCTGTGCTCGTGTCCACAAACAGACGCTGACCCGGCTTGGAACGCCTGCAAAAAAACACTCTCTTGGTCGAGAAAACACAGCCCCGTCATCATCTGTCCGGTCCCCTGATGCGGTAATTTCTCCAGCCTTAATCTTTAGACTACCATCCTGTTATTACAGATCGGCATCTGTTTTTCCAGACCACCAGGTGGTGTGGCTCTCAAGGTTGCGGGCATCTTGCAAACTGGCTGACAAAATCAATGTCTTGCCGTTCCTTTTGGTTTGCATATTTTCTAAGCTAGGGTAATCCTATACTTTCCTTGCTCTGAAAACCATTTTTAAGTTTGAATGTTGAACGTGTGCGGAATATCCAATGTGGAGACTCGAATCATTCCCAACCGTGTGTACTGCACAGTAAGGCACGAAAGAGTCACAACCACATGAGCAGACTATCATACAATAAGGAACGAATCACAACAGTGTGAGAGGCCAATCGTACGGTGAGACACCAAACAGTCAAACCTGTGTGAGTGCAATATCGTACGGTCAGACAAGAAACGGTCCAAACTGCGGGAGCGGACTATCGTAGAATGAGACATGAATCAGTCACAACCGTGTGAGAGGCCAATCGTATGGTGAGACACCAAGCAGGCATGAGTGGAATACCGTACCATCAGACACAAAACAGTCACAACCGTGCGAGAGGCCTATCGTATGGTGAGACACCAAACAGTCAGACCTGCTTGAGCAGACTATGTACGGGGAAACACGAAGCAGTCCCAACCGCACAAGGGGCCTATCGTACGGCAAGAGGCATAACAGTCAGAGTTGTACGAGCTGACTACCAAACGGTGAGACATGAAATGGTTTCACCCGCCACGCAAGCAGGGTACCTGCGTGGTCCCTGGTCGGGGCCCTCGGACTCCACCAGGTCCACACGGAGCAGCTCCACGAGGGCGGAGAGGGCCAGGCGGGGCCCCGGAGCCTGCCCCGCCGAGGCGCAGGCCCCCAGTGCCGACAGAAGGGGTTCGAAGACGGCCTGGGCGTCGGGGATGCCCCCCGGGGGAGCCCCGGACTCCCTCGGGGGTGCGCCGGGGGAGTCCAGGGGCGAGGGAGGCCCCCTCTGCCGGGCCATCCAGTTGTAGAGATCCTCGTCGTCGTTAGCCGGGTCCAGGGACGAGCGTAAGATGGGCTCCACGCTCGAGAAGCTCCAGGTGGCCAGGCTGTGGCGCGAGCCTCGCAGGCGCCCACTGCGTCCACGGGAGGTTGCCCCAAGGGCCACTACGTAAGCTACGCTTCGAGCATCGTCGCTCCATTCCCCAATTATCCCGTAAGCGCCAACATTTTGGTGCCTAGTGCACAGCGGGCGCAGTTGGCGACAGTTACGATTCGAAAACGCAACTTCGCAAGGTTTACGTACGGTCACAAAAAAACTCGGGCGATACTGTTTTTTAGGATTGTGCGAATATTCGAATTTTAGAATAGTACTTTCGTATAATACGCTACTCGATATTCACTTTCATATGAACTGTGATAATCATACTTTTCGAGCAAAAAAGAGAACTCCCCATAAAGCTCCCCCAGAACTTCCCATAAAACTAACACAATTTGCATGAAGTTTGTTATATAGGTGGGCCGCAGTTTGGTAGGCTACAGCCACCAAAACTCACAGCTCCTAGAGGTGATGAGGTGAAGCAACCGGGGAAACTGACGCGTCGAGAGGCCCACTCTCGCTCCCAGAGAGAAAAATTAAACGCTGGGAAACTGAATGGACTGGAGCCGTCGAATCGGGGAGTCACGATGCAGGAGAAAAAGTGTATGCCACTCCACCTGTTGGCCACCATGCAAGAGATGCCGTGTTCCAGGGTCTTGCCCAGGTACAGCATGCCCCCGTAGTGCAGGGGGGAGTCGAGGGGGGCACCCAGCAGGGGGAAGGCTCCGGGGCGGCCCCCCTTTGGGTCCTGCACGGGAGCCCCGGCAAACGGTGAGTAGACTTTCCTCTGCACTTTCTCCAGCCTGCCTGATTCGCTACGGACACGGGTTAACATCTTAGTGTGGATACTGCTAGTAAGCAGAATGGCACATTTCCTATATGGATGGTAGTGTCACTCAAGTAATATCTATAACACTACGGTAGACATGTTTTCAGAAAAAATAGCTCACTTTTCCATGTTGTCTGGGACGAAATCAAATCACTAAGGTCAGTACAGATCCTCCATTATACTAGAGTGCACTGGTCAATGCCCCTGCATCTGCATCGACTTACGCTCAACTAGTGAGAATATACGGTGGCTCTGGGCTCAACGTTTGGTCGGACCGTTTTGGCCATGTGCAACACGCGAGCCCCTTTTGCAACGCTCAGGAGCCTCGCTGCATCGGGTGCACAGAAATTGTGGAGTTGTTCCGCGCTTGAACTCAAACTCAAATTCAAACTCAAAGTAGTTTGTTCCCGGTTAGGAACCCGAGATTTGGCAGCAAATTATTAGAGGTGGGTGGCAAATTTCATGGAGGCCGGGCTACTGTATCAGGACTGGATGTGCCAATGAGAAAAAGCTCAGCGCTGCTTGCCTCTTGCAGGTTCCCTTCGACTAAGCCAGTTCAAAACTCGTGGATTTTAATCAGGACCGCGCAAAACTTCATATGAAGAGACAAGTCTAAAAAAGAAAAGGTTTCTCTAGAAAGAGGAATTCCCATACTGAGCAGTTTGTTAACATGTTCAGTCTAACAGGCTGCATAGCAAGTAATATAAAAAAAAAACAGTGCCAAACACAAGGACAAGAACTGCTTGTCCTTCTCTTTTGTGCTGTATTTTTTCCACTATGTGTAACCAACTAGCCTGCCAGATAATTTTAATGTATATCACCACCCAAACTCAAAAAGGAATAAAAACAAGTGTTGCTAAACAGCACGACAGGTGGCACAAAGAGATCCAATGTCAGACGGTGGCTTCCTTTGTGAATTCCTTGTTCCGTATTCCAGACTTCCGTCTGTCAGACAGCCGGAAGATTAGGATGCAAAACTATACCTTCACACAATGAGAGGACTAAGTTCTTCCGACAAGCTAAAGGCCCCAGAGGTGCCAATCATAAAAGGCTTCTTAACCCGGTTTGTCTCGAAACCTCTGACTGAAAAGAGAATGACATGAGCTACGTGTTTTGTTTGTTCTTTACTTTGCTTTGCTTTGCTGCTTCATGACATTTCGTTCTCTATTCCACAAAAGCCTATCATATCTCTCCTTTCTTACCCGCAAAACGATGTCGCATCCCCAATGACACTTTTCCAGCTCCTTCATAACTGTGAAAAGAGTGACCTAGACTTATTTTGTCCCCTCTTAACATTTCAAAGACGCTTGTTGGCCACCCAATGACATGTCTTTTGTCTGTCCTACCTTAGATTAATGTTTAATCTTTACACTGTTCTGCTTTTTTGTTTTTCTTTTTGCCTACCATGCACACAACTAAGGCCAAGAGCTGTCTGTGTTCACAGAAAACAGAACAATAAAGAATGAAGAACTGACCTGCGGTGACTGTCCTGCGGCCCCATCCTGAGCCAGCAGGCAGGCTGTCTCCGCCTCGTCCGGGGCTGCCTCCTCCTCCTCCCTGGGGGGCACCCTCGTCACAGGGGGCGCCCCGGGCCTGGAGGGGAAGCGGGTGAAGCCCCAATGCAGTTCTATACGACCAAGCACCCCAGTTTGCAGTCCGCCTCTTCTCTTCGTGGGCAATAAATGCATGGTGGTGAGTAAAAGGGATGATGTACTTCCGTGTAACCTGTCTGTGTCTAAACACAAATACAAAATGATCCTGCAGAGTACAAACCCCCGAAGACAAGCAACACAACGCAAGACTTCCCTCCACAGTAAGCGGTAGACAGAGCTACCGATAGTGACACAGACACCTTTGATACGCCAAGGCACCGAAATAGTCCAAAATAAATTTTTGCCACAGTGTGGAAAGAAGTGACACTGATGGCTGTCACTTCTGTCAATTTTATGCATATTCACTCTTTTACTCGATCACACAAAACACAGTTTTGTGGTCACTGAAGCATGTGAGAAAGGGAACACACTGCACACACAGGGCAACGTCCCTGCCTAAGGCCAAACCGAGAAAGCTGCCGTCACGAATGGCGGGCTGCTTTACATTTGACAGTACACGCAAATCGAGCTCTACGATGAGGAATGTGTAGTGGTGACCCATGCCGAAGTAGAAGACAGAACCATAGAAAAGTAGAAGATACTGTCTGTAAACGTGCAATCTCACTTTGAACGCTTTGTTTATCTTTGCTCACATTTTTCTTTAGCGTTTTTGCTTTGTTATGTTTTGCCGTTGTTCTTCTTTTTTTTGCTGTATGATTTTATGCCAGTTCTTTTATTTTTGTTGCTCACTTGATTATTTTTTTTTTATGGATGAACGAAGAGCTGCTTTGCCTTACGCTCCCGTTCTTTCAGTTTTTTTTTTTTTTCTTTTCATGTGCAAATAGTGTATTTTGAGTTTGAAGCAAATTTGAAGCGAATTAGAAGCGAAGAGTAGTTTTGACTGAATATTTTCTAATCAAATATTAAATAATTTTTCCAAGCTGTTCACTACCATGCACCATGCTTAAACTAATATTCAGCTGAACTCATGCAGGTTGTTCCGAACCTTCAACTTATCCACTTCTGAGCTCAGTTATTTTGTAATGTAGCTATATTTGTTAACTACGGAATGTAAACAACAAAATTGTCACAGCTATCTTAATCGAGGGGATTTATAAATCTGCTTCCTATATGCAGATATTCTTTCTTCCACTTCAAATTTTACAAAATATACAAGAATGAATGATGAGCACGGGTTATCAAAGCAACGCTGTCTAACACATGCTCTTGCATAATCGTGGCGGGAGAGCACCGTTGATTGTGCTTCACACCAAGCACCTTGGCACTGTGGGGAAGCAATACAGGCTCTGCGAGCATAGCTTCCCCGCAGTGCACATGTGCTTGGTGAGAAGTGCACTCAACAGGGTTAACTCGCTGCGATCAACAGTTCGAAAAGTATAAATATTGCGGTTCATCTCGAAGTGAATATAGAATAGCGTATTATTCAACTCTACTATTCTAAAATTCGAATATTCGCACAACACTACTTTTGTTACTTTTTTCGTGTTCCATCACCCAAGCCGCTGAAGTCACAGCCACATACACACACAAGCGTGGCGAAATGCGTGCGCGAGCGGCGGCGCCCGCAGTTCCCGCCAACCCCACCTGTCGCAATCTTCATTATTAGCAGAGATGCATGGACATTTTAAATGTTAACATACTTTTGTATATAAAAAAAGTAGATATATCAAACTATTTTACGATTTTTTTGACGTCAATATATCCGGATACAACTGAATAGATGGCGTGCACTTTTGAAAAGGGTCTCTTTGCCATACGTGCAAGCGAAACAGAGTTTTTGCCTGGCACAACGCCGAAGCTGCGAATGCAGCTGGGAAGTCCCTATAGCAACTATAGCTGTAGAATGACGCCCTGCAAAGAGGCCCATGTGAACATGCATTTGCGGCTGACTGGCCAATACCATCTGGGAGACGAGGCCTCTGCCACTGCTCCCTAAACATCATCACTAGTGGATCTACGCAACACTGCCCAGCTTGTATCAGTATTTCTGCCAGTGCATCTCGCAACATCCCTCAATGAGCGCGATGCTAGCATACGGCGACGCCAAGAAGGACTTGGCTGCCGCTTTGCAGCTTCTCTCGTCAACTTCAGCGTGTTTGCCGCTTCGGGCAGGTCGGGGATCGACTGTGGATGATGTGATGCACAGGCCCCGTTTTCTAGGAGGTGTTGGACTGGCCCAGGATACCTGTTGGCTCTGCGCAGGCGAGCGTTGTGGTCCACCAGCAGGGGCATGTAGAGCAGGTGCTTCCATTGGCGGCTGAGGGCCAGCAGGCCCCGGCGGAGGGTGCCCAGCGGGGGCAGGCACTCCGGCCGGAGGCTGCTGGCCGGGGAAGGGGCCCCTTCGGCCAAGAAGCGGCACAGGGCACTCAGCAGCTGGCACGAGGGCTCGTCCTGCAGGGCCCTGGCCAGGGGGCTTAGGCAGCCGTACAGCTGCTTGCCCTGCACGGGGGCAGAGTCAAACGAGAAGTCAGGACGCAAACGAGACGGTCAAGTTTAGACTTCACACATCCCCGAAACTGTGGGTAAGCAAAGGACTAATGGTGACCAGCTCGAGCCAGATCCGCTTGCAGATCTCGAGCGCTCCAAAAGCGCTCCATTTGGAGCGCGCATATTCCACTCGCAGATCTGGCTCGAGCTGGTCATCTTCCGCTCCTAGATCTCTGGCAACGCCCGCTGCCTCAAACCCCGCCGAACTTGCTCTGCGGGATTTCACAGATCTTTCCGGAAGTTGACAGAGCGGCCCACGTGATTTCCTTCTAAATTGGCAGTGCGCATGCGCGGCGAGGATGGACAGGTCGGCGGGCCAATCGGGCCGATCGGGCTACGGTCGGGTCGTTGAGTTGAATCTGTTCAGGTGCGTCGGTTGTTTACGTGGGATTGTGACGGCTCGAACGCTTCTACCTTGCGTCAATCAGCGATACAAAGCCGGGACTGTGGAGCGTGGTAAATTGTAAGCGCTGACATCTGTGATCATAAGAGGAAGAACGAGAAAAAGAACGACAGGAATGCCGGAGGCAGACGCAAGGTTAGGCCTGTTCATTCTGCAGCCAATGATTGTTTACCTTTTTACACTGCATTCCGCCGGCGTTCTCCCGTGCAATAAAGCAAGAAGAGATTAGGCAACGACCGTGCAAGTGATGATTTGTTACCTCTGTGTTTATTAAAGTCGTACCGGAAATCGGAACTCCACCGCTGGCAATCGCTGTCCGTGCCCCGCCGCTTCGAGGCGTCCGAAAGGTATGTGACTGTGCCGAACGCGGACGTCTTTGTTATTTGTGACATGGGCGCCGTTGTACGTATAATCTCACCCGGCCTGTGTCGCGTGTTATTTCTGTAGCTAAGCAGTGACAGTTGTCACTGGTCATTGGAAAGGTCAGTCGGCTGAGGCGTTGGTGGGCTTGTCAAGTTCGAGCAGCAGCCATTTTGAACGGCGGAGGGGGAAGCAGTGGGGAGGGGTGTGGGGGAGGTCGCTCCAGAAATGCAAGTTTATCTTCCCCTCATCTATTCGGAGCGGGTCCCACAAAGCGGCATTTTGCCTCTCTTGCGGATTATGGAAAGCGCTCCGGATCTACGAGTGGAATTCACTAATAGACGAAGTCTCAAACTGAAGCTTTTTGTGCGAGACTGCTTGCGAAGCACACGAAAAGTCTCAAAATTAGACTTTTTGTGCGAAGACTACGAGACAAACACGAAAAGTGTCAAACTGAGGCTTTCGCGAGTGTGTCATCCTTCACTTACCTGCAGTCTCAGGGACAGGGCTTGAGGGTTCCGTTACGCCCGATTCGCATAAACCACGTCAATTTGTCTCTAAGAAGAACCGTCTGCTTACTTGTTCATGTTTGGTAGTACGGTGCATGAAATGCATCTTCGGATATCGCCACCAGTAATGTGACAATAGCAGGCAGGAGCCTCAGTTGTCCCGCCTACAGCACCAGCTTCCTACCTTAGACAATGCGTCGGCGTCTCGTGCATCTAGAGCATGTACGCAACCAAACTACAGCAGAAGACACGGAGCACGTGCTGGATACCGAGAGCTAGAAAGACGTGCCCTGCCGTTCACATTCTATCTGACTATAGTGTGTTTGCCATCCTGTTCCACTTATGTATCGCAAGTAGTTCCAGAGGGGCAAGAAATTGTGTCTCAGGAACCAGCATGTCATGCTGTCAGCCGTCACAATCTTGGCAGTTGGGTCGTCAAAACGCCGACAAAAAAGGCGAGCGCATGCAAGGGTCGCTGTTGTCATGGCATCTTAACTCCTGGCTTCCAAAGCTTCCATGGACTCTCCAGGCGCCTGCCACATTCACTGTTGCGACACTGCCAGAAAAGCGGCAGGCGACAACATTACGCTTCTACAACGTCGTCGGGCGAAAATCGAGGAACCACATTTGAGCGTGCAGTAAACGGTGATGCATTCCAGGCTTTAGGAGCGCAAGTGGCCCTTACCCTGGGCGGCAGGTGTCCGCCCTGCGCGTCCATGGCCTCGGCCATGAGCCAGGCAAGCACGGCGCACAGGCGGCGCTGCTCGGCCTGCCGCGCCCTCCGCAGGGCCACCAGCAGACGGTCGCAGGGCTTCAGCCAGGCGTTGATAGAGGGCGTCATGGTGCTCAACAGGTGCCAGTCCAGCCTGAGATGGGCGGGGCCCTCGGCCGTCAAGGCGGACAGGTCGTTTGGGAATGCCGCTATAGTCATTGACAGACCGGCTAAATTTATCATCTACACCACCGACATCCACTAACTTCCCGCTGCCCAACATGCACAGATCACAATTACGCGAAGTAGCTAATGTTGGCATGCTCCGGTTTCTTCTACAAGAACAAACCCAGGTAAAGATCAGTCCACTTGCAGCTGGATCATAGAAGTGGTCTTAGCTCGATACAGCTGGACTGTCTCATTTCCGGCTGGATTCAGCTGGGACCAGCTCCACGATCCAGCTACAAGTGGACCAATATTCGGTCAGGGAAAAAAAGGCTGACCTGGTAAAGTCGGCTCGGTGCGAGTTTGTGGTGCGTGGTGGTGCGGCGAAGTTGAACCAGACGGCCCTGAGCTCGAGCAGGAGCAGTGCGTCGCAGGGCGGCTCTTCCTCCGGGAAGGAGAGCCGGGACCCCTCGGTGCCGTGTCCCCCGTGGCCCACCAGGCGCAGGCTGGCCCCCTCCAGGCCCCACTCTGACATGATGAATCCCATCTTCTCGTCCTCGCGCACCTTCTCCCAGTCCGGGCACTCAAACGTGAAGCACACCTGCACACCGACACTTGAGAGTTCTCGGAAAAGCGCGAGACCTTTGCCCTGGTAATGGAATGGCAAGTGTATCCCACAAAGCTCTCTGCTCACCATGATTCCGGGTTTCCTCCTTTCCGGCGTTCGCTCTGCTAAAGCAACACCACCCAGACAGAAGGTTTTTGAGCTGGATTTTCCTGATTGCCTAAAAGAGGCGAATTTGGGACAAAGACCAGACACGACTGTCTTGTCGGCGTTCGTCGGGGAGTAGCATTCATCCGGCGAAAATTCGAGTCCCAGCCAAATGCTCATGCAGCACTCATGTTCAATCTCCAGATACAGAACTACGGCCTATTGTGTAGGTGTTGTTACTTTAACAGAGCAATAGACAATGGTCTGCCGAGATTCGAGAGTAGTTCCAACTGCTAAAACGGGATAATGTGGACTATGGGTCGCACTTGCAAAGCAAGCTGCGAGGAGGCGGCGAAAGCATTGAACATGTCCCTGACTTGCTCGGTCTCTCCGTTCACTATCCTCCACGCCATGAGGCAATGCACGCATGCGTGTGGGCAGCCAACTTGGGCAAGAGGTGTCCGCCATTACATTGCAAACGCCCTCCATGATTTGAGTTGTTTCCTCTCTCAAATATGGGCACTCTAGCAAGTAGGACAGAGGTGGCACCATCTCTGAGCATAGACAGGAGAACTATAAGCTTAACCACAGGAAGTGCTTGGAGAGGTTCTAATTGCTGTATACAAAACCCACACAACATGGACATCACAACATGGCCCTCTGCAGTCAGATACAAGTTAAAAACGTGCCAAAGGCTCCTCTTACACCCTCGTCACTGCCAGCCAATGTTCCTCCGCGATGCGCGAGTACTCCACTACCGAGGCGCAGCTATGAAAACATTGCGATGACATCGCCTTACTCGTCATATCTACTGCCTTTCCTAGTTGGCCTGCAGAGCGATTCGATGCCGTGGCTGGTACATGGTGGTGTTTATTCGGCACATTCTTAATTTCGACCTGACCATGGCTGCCATCCAGATACGACAAGACACAGGAGCAAAGCGAAAATTCAGTGTAGTTCGACAGGGGCAATAATTATCCCCGTATAAAAATGCATCATCTCCTTCGATTTCAGTTATACTTCTTTCACCCATAACCTGAGAGTGGAGTAGGGGCTACGCCCTTGCCAGACCAATCAACCATCCCTTTCATCACCTGACTCCACTCCCTGCACATGGGTATGAGCGAGCATGACTGGTCTAACGAGCATGTAGCTCCAAAAGCACTGTCATCTTAAAGAGACACTAAAATTTAAAAAGAAAAGTTTCAAAAGCCGAGATGGGACACATATTAGAGTGCAGCTCTTAGGCGCTCATTCCTGTCTTTCACGGCGATGCTGTCGCCATTGGCATAATTGTCCACGTTGCGTTATGGGACGTCACGTGACCTCAACACCAATTCAATTCGCTGCTAAATTCAGCAAAAAACTAAATTGGTGTGTAGGTCTGCAATGTACCATAAAGCAGCACTGCACATTCAGTTTCCCCGCTAAATTTAGCGGGGAATTGAATTGGTGTTGAGGTCACGTGACGTCAAATTTCCCGCCAAATCGAGCAGAGAAACTGAATTTGTTCATAGGTGACATGACACAAAGTCGTGTGTCATCATTTTCCCCGCTAAATTTTGCGGGGAAACTGAACTGATGTTGAGGTCACTTGGCGTCAATTTTCCAGCTAAATTTTGCGGGGAAATTTTGAGAGGAGGGAAGGTTATAGAGGAGGAGGAGGGGACGAGGAGGGCGAGGACGAGGGGAGGAGGAGGGGGAAGGGGAGAGGAGAGAGAGGAGGAGAGAAGTGCCCTCAATACCCTCCCCTCCTCCTCCTGCATACCCTCCCGTGATGGTATATCGCAAAATCAAAATACCTCAAGAGCCGCGATCTAATTTCACATTACAGAGATTTGTAAACGTCTTTCAATTTTGTTTTTATAAAAACAAAGGCTCGAGGTACACCTAAGCACTTCTTATGAGTTGTGAATAAGAAAGCATGCACGTCATTCTTTCGCTCCCTTATTTCGTCTGCAGCGTATTTGCGTCGACGGCAGAGCGGCGCGCTCTGCCGGCGAGGAGAAGGCGCCTCTCCTCACCCCTCTGACCTTGAACGATTCATGTTAGTGGCCCGCTGACGGACACGCAGCGCCATGGGGTGGCCGTCGTTGAAACTGACGCACAGCAGCCAATGGGACCGAAGCCTAAAATCCATCAGCTTTACTCCGCTCCTTTGGGATCGGAGAATTTAGATGCTGTTGGCTAGCTTTTCACGAGGTTTCATAGCTGGGAGCTGGCTTCACTTGGAGAAAGGGTTTAAGGTGCCGTTTGGCGCGGTTTCAAAGCTGATGACGTCGGCTCGCTCCATGAGACAGATAATGCCTTTTTGCATTAATATATTTTGTGCAAAAAATAATGTTTTTTGCACAAAACGTAAATTGCGTCTAACAACATTAATGTTGTTAGACGCAATTTAGGTGGAGGTAGCCCCGCTCTAGGCCCCACCTATAACGGAATAGCAGACAGATGTGAGCAATGGCAAATGCCAATGCACTGCTATCATGGCCATGTCTTATAGGCCTCTGAGGTGGTGGTGGAGCGTTCTAATGGCAGATGATGCCGTACACTGCCAAGCATCAGCCCACATGACTAGCAGAAGGTGCCAGAGGGCAGACTAGACGCACTGGATGTCGCAAAAGAGAAACATTAGGCTCGCGAACGTGCTCAGCCGAGCAGATAAGCCAATGCAGTAATAATGGGCGGGACCACTGTTCTGTGGGCAAGAACTCCATTTAAATTGAGCCTAGCGTCGTAAGAATTGCACGAAAAAAATTTCTTGGAATATTTCGTTTTGGAAAATAGGTGTGCTATCTAAGCACTTCAAAAAACAATTTTTTATTTAATTGTTTTAGTGTTTTTTTAAGGGTGAGCGGAGATAGCGGATGCACGATGGGGGTTTGAGCACCAACTTTAAGTTGCGATGTTCTCATACCATTCCGGCGTTCAATAAAAAGAAACCATGTCCCCGGTTTCATCACCTTGGAGTGGTGTGGGGCGACGCAGGTCACCGTGGCCTCCTTGAGCAGGGAGCTGGTGCAGTTGCGCAGGCGCCGCAACTGCATGTGGGCCGCGCCAAGGGTGAGAGTGGCCACGCCGTGGCGCTGCCCAGCCACGCTCGTCTCCACCAGCAGGGGGGGATCCGAACGGCGGCCCAGGAGGGGGCTCTGGCCCCCCGCGCCCTGCTGCTGCTGCGAGGCCTCCCTCACCACCTGCAGGCAACACTGGGCCTCCCGACGCTCCAGCACCTGCAGCTGAACCTGCGTACGCCCACACGCGAGAGCGTGTCAGCTTCGGGAGAGGACTGCCGGCGCGTGGAGACAAGGAAGGAGACCCCCGCATCCTGAAAGCACCCCAGGGGCCCCAATTTTACATGGCGGAACCAAGTGGGGCCAGGACATTGCCGCCTGCTGCGATTAGTCAGCTGGACTAAGCCGACCAACCGCAGCAGGCGGCGATGTCTTGGTCCCTCGGTCTCGCCGAGGGACCACAGTGCCTGGAACGCTTCTTTGACTGTTTAACATCTGATATTGTAGTCCATGCATCGATAGTGGTCCTGAGGTGGCAACAAATGACGTTACGGAAGCCGGAGCGCCGTGCTGTCGGACGTCGCGATTCCGACGGTTGGTTGCAGAAGTTCCAGCGAAAAGGACGAACGAACGCCAGTGTTGCAGTCGTCGTGGCATCTTAACTCGTCGCTGCAAAAGATTCCGTGGACCGTCGAGCCGACAGCGGGCTTCAGTAGAACGGGTGTCTGCTGCATCCACTTCTGCTACCATGCCGCTGCTAGGATCGCGGCTGGCAACAACGTGACATTCCTACAACGTCGCGAGGCGGAAATCGAGGAACCACGTTTGAGGACACGGTGAACGCACTCGTCGGGGACGCATTCCACGCACCGTATCGAAAGTAGTTCGGGATGGCAAAGAAGGAAGGCACCTGGTCTAGGCAGAGTGCGAGCACCGAGACGCATGCCAGGTCCTTGAGGTTGTCGAGGGCCGAGAAGGCAATGAGCTCCTCCACCACCGAGCACTGCAGGGCCATCACGTTCACACGTGACACCTGGAGCCACAGCTGGGTCTGCAACAGATGCACGGACGAGGCCTCAGTGACACCCCATCGGGAAAGGAATGCAACTAGGGGTCAACTATGCGCAGCTCTGTCCCGCCACCCGGCTGAGGAAAACGAGAAAGAGAACCTAAGGCATGTCGCAAATATAAAGCAATCTCATTCATTTTTTTTTTTTGCCAATTCACCGCGGCATCCGAGGTACTATCGACTACGAATGAAATTAAAATTGAGGAGCATGTTGAAATTTCGTTCCCAGTGTTGGAAGACGAAGTTGAGTGGACTGAGACGATGAAGTGACGATAAAGGATCCATCAGCATGAAATGCAACGACAATGTAAATACTATATAAAAATCCTTGTTTATTCGTAGAAATACACGACCAGTCATCCCCTAACATTATAGAGCATGCGGCTTTCGATACAAGCTGCGCTACCTGGAGGCCCCTGGGAACTAATAAAATTATGGAGGCTGAGAGGGAGGCCATAAAGGTGTGCGTCCTATGTAGGCTACACACCCTCGACCCCTCCTCTCAACTCTGCAGTTTTATCAGTGCACAGAATCTCCAAGAAGCGCAGCATGTATCGAAGGCCCCGTGCTCTGCCATTCGCATTTCATTCGTACTTGATAGCATGTACCTTGGCTGAACAGTGGCATGGTGATCAATAGAGCACATTTGAAAATCTCGAAAGGCTGCATATGCAAATGCTATTTGCTCCCCCCCATTGTGCACCATGTGACTCTATCCATGCGGCACTTTGATACCCTTGAAGCTAGTGAAAATGCTGCGTGAATGCCTGGATTTCCTGGTGTATTTGCGTATCGGCGCTTCGTTTCCTGATTGTCTTGTCAGTGCCGCCATTTTGGAGCCACAATTGACGATCGTTACGATTCAAAAACGCGACTCCCTGATCTTTGGATAAGGTGTCAGGGACCTCAGGCGCTATTGTTGAGCTCTGTCGCAGAACACGTCTCTACGTGTTCTGCGATGTGTTCTGTCTGTTCTATGTGTTTGAGGGGCTAAAGCCCCTAGATGTGTTTGTCTTACAAGTAGCATCAAATGCACTGGTGCTCGAGACCCGTGCCTCGTGCAGTCCTTGGCAGTAAATGGCCGGCACAGCACTAAAATGAAAGGCACTAGGAAACAAATGACGAAGGAGCTCACTCGCTCGAGGCATGTGTCTTGCGCACTCCCGCGAAAACGGTTGACGGTACTCGTGGTGAAGCGTAGCTTATCCAGTGCCTTCAGTAACAACCACTTCCCACCTGGTCCCTGCGCGTCTCCTGGTGCCCCGCACTGGGGGCACTCCCGGGCGCCCTCTCCCCCAGCAGTGGGCTGCTTCCCTGCACAGCCGACCAGCAGCGTCCCAGCAGGCGGCCCAGCACAGTGGCCGGGTGCTGCTGGGCCAGTGTCGGGGTCAAGGCCTCCGCAAAGCCGCGCACAGCCTCCAGCAGGGGAGGGGACACCAGCAGGTGCACGTCGCCCTGAGGTCGGGGAAGGAACAAGACGCAAAACGCGAGTGAATATGCTGGTAGAGTGAGGCATTCCCCGAGTTTTTGTCATTTTATGGCGATAGCTGTTATAGAAACTTCCCAGCTGCATTCGCGGCATTGGCGTTGCGCTTGGCAGAAAACTCTAATCCACCCCTCGGCTGAGGGATGGCAAGCACGCTTGCAAGCTCACGGCCCATAAAGCCTTTTCATACGTTTGTGATTTTTGTCGAGAGACTTTTTTTCTTTTTTTTTTCTTTATTTGTTTTGCGGAAAGTTCTGCGTGGGAGGCAGAGGTAAAGGCTTGGTGCCTGACAGGGCCTTTGCCAACCTCCCCCGCCTCCCCCCCATATATACCAGGCAACTCTCAGCCGAGAGCAGCTCGGCATTGGGCCTGCTCTATGCACTGACCCAATGCCGATGGCCATTGGAAGGTGGAGAATAATAGCGGAAACTACAGAGAGAGGGCTAGAAAATTGGCTGCTGCTTGAAAAAACCCCGAACACCCTAGCACCGAAAAACCACCTCATTCAAAACGAGGAGCCACAAATATCCTCACAGGCAGTGCCGCGCGTCTGGTGTATGCCTTGAGAAGCAGAAAGCAAACGCCTGCATTGCAACGTTCGTACAGGCTTAAAAAAAATATTTGTGTTTTCAAGGACTTTTGAGGGCCTGTAAAGATATTTTCAAGGACATCTTCCGATACTCCATCCAGTAAATTTATAATATAACAACTTTTAGAATGCCCTGCGAAAATTCTTAATTGCACAATACCTAGGAAAAGGAGCGTTTGCCAAAGAGGTGCTAGAAAAGGGTTCAGAAGAGCTACTGCAGCCTTTTTAATACGAAAGATTAATTGTCCTATGGAGCGAAGCTGGCATTGTCTGTAGCAGCGAAACGGCACCTAAATTCCCATTGGCTGCGACGCATCATGTGGCGCCATGGCAACGGCGTCAACGTTGCTAAGCAGCCAGCCAAATAGTAGCACTTTGAGCTCTTAGGCCCGCTTCAGACAGGGCAACTTTTCCAGCAACTTTGAGGTTGCTGGCGGGTTGTTCCCTAGCTTTCCCTAGATCGACGCGAATTGCTGAGATTGGGTCCGGCTCGAACAAGCGAGCAACTCGGAGCAATTCGAAGACAGTTGAAGCGGCTGCAGCCAATCAGAGACGCAATATTTTCACGTGACACCCCTGTGGTGGTGATGATGACAGCTAAAGACTTAGTTCTGGTTTGGAATGGATCGTTTTCGGAAATAAACAGTTTCAGAAAAATGAGTTATTCTTCTCAACGCCGTTCAAAGATATAAGAATGCGTTTTTAGCGCGTAGCTGGGCGTCTAAATAGTGAAAGAAGAATCAAATTTAATGATGATGATGTCAAGTCGTAGCAATTCGGTTGCTGCGTGTGAACGCGGGCGGCCGGTGTTGCTGGTGTTGCGACGTCAAGTTGCTGGGTGAAATTGCTCCGTCTGAAGCGGGCCTTATGTCAATAGCCGGTACCCGCAGCTAGGGCGATGATAATGATGAGAGGACATGTGATTTCAGCCAGCGTCGTGCCGAGCTTCGCACTCTCGGTGCCGCGTCGAGCTTCACACTCCCGCCGCTGCCTGACCCAGCGGTGCAGCAGTCACCAGGAAGCCAGGGCGGTCTGCGCGGCGCACTGCCCCACTCATGCCGGCGCTGCGGCCGCTTCTGCTCTTCTCGGCACCGAGAATGCTTTAGGGTTCACAACTCATAAGAAGTGCTTACGCATCCTCGGAATTTTTTTTAATTTCGTGATTGACATATAGAATTTCTTGCATCTTGGTTTTCGCCATTTTCCTTAGGCTGTTCGACTTGACAATATAGGTGATGTCACCTCTTGCCTCGGTTTTCTCAGCGAAGTGATCGACTAAAGCAACTAAAGCTGTCAGATCAGCGACCGTTGTGGCCAGCTGCTTAACAGGCATTCGCTAAATCTGTCTAAATGTGCCATATAAGAAAACTTCCTCGTTGGAATTTTGAAATTCAGGTTAAAATACATGTAAAAAGAATAATTATACAGTCGACTCTCATTAATTCAAACTCTCTTAATTCAAACTTGTGGATAATTCAAACTAACATGCAGGTCCCATCCTATGCGTCTCTATGGGAGGAAACTCCTGATAATGAAAACTTTTCTTTATTCAAACAAATTTTTGGCCCCCCTCAAGTTTGAATTAACGAGATTCAACTGTATTTTATTATTGTTAAAATATTCATTATTGCAAAAAAAATAAAAATAAAAGACTATTGAGAAATTCAAGGGTTTTCAAGCACCGCTAAAAATTCCAGGGCTTTCAAAGTCTGCAAAAGGCCGTTTTCAAATTCAAGGGTTTTCAAGATTTCCAAGGACCAGTGCAAACCCTGGGTTACTGAGCTTTCACTGTCCCTTCTTGACATACAGTGTGGCAAAAATCTGCGGATTTCGCTCCCACAAACAATGATCACCTTGCGTGACAGAATTGCTCATGTCGGTAATGAGTAATCAAGAGTTTAAGTTCTAAACTTGAGTAACATAGTTAGTCATGTTGCTGATGAGTAGGCATGTGCAAATAGTAGATTTGAAGTTGAAGCGAATAGTTGTTTTGACCGAAGATTTTCTAATCAAATATTGAATAGCTCCTTTAAGCCTTTTACAATCATTCACCATTCTTAAGTGCAAATTCAGCTGAACTCATCAAAGTTGCTCCCAACCTTCTACCCACCTCTAAACTCAGTTAATTTTAATATAACTGTATTTATAAAATGTGGCATGTAAACAACAAATTTGTTGCAGCTAAGTTTAGAGAGGCAGACACGCTACCGGGTAGGCCATAGAAAGCACGCTTACACGGCTAGGGAACAAGTGAAGTTCATATGTATAAATGTTTTGCTATCGCGTTCCACCCTTAAAGGCCAAGTATCCTCCCTTAATTATTATTCCAAACCACCATTCGAAATTTTGAATAGTAGCGCCACCCTACTAAGATTTTCAGGTTACTCATGAACATTGCCCACCTGCACTCGCACAACAATGGCGCTCTTGGTCGAGGCAGGCGGGCGGTTCTGGGGCGCCGGGGTCGCTTGTGGCTCTCCCGCGGCCCCCGCTCTACCCGCCGTGCCGCTGGCCCTCGCCCCGGTGGAGGGGGCCCGGCGTGGGCGTGGCAGCATGCGCACTTCCGAGAAGCCGGGGCCGGCCCCGTTGTTGGGGCAGGGGCTGAAGCGGGGCTTCCAGCAGCTAGTGGCATGCAGGAAGGCCGTGGAGGCGGGGGGGCCCCCGTCGGGACCCCGGCCCACCAGGTGGGGCAGCGGGGCACATGCCTCCTCCCAGTTGGTCACCTGTCCAGGAGCGGGGGTAAAGGCGGGAGCAGAACGCAGCAAATCCTAAGCGCTCACATTGGCGGTTCCAAGAGAAAGAACGAGAGAGTGACACAAAAGTGGAGAAAGAAAGCAGACGATAGGTGAGGAGTGTTCGTTTTGAGGTGACGATTTGAAGTGATTCGAGTTCTCATCAATTTTATTTCGTATTATAGAACGTGCCACATCGGTGTTGACTGCATAGAGGTGGAAAGTTGTATCCGAGCATAGACATGGCACGAGGTGACCCTCAAACCTCGAAGTGAAAAAGAGCTATAAGCATGCCAATGTAGTTTCAAACAAGGAGGTCAAACCACAGGAGTTAGTGGGCCTATCCTCTGTTCATGGAGAGATCTGTGGCAGGACTTTTTTAAATTGACATTCATTTTCTCTCCCTCTCCCTTGCCTAACTGTGTCTGTCCCAGTTTACTGCCCTCTTAATCCTTCACGCGGTAACATGTGTGTCTTTAGAGCTCCAACCAATGACCGCCATGTACCTTTCCGCAAGAAAACAAACAATGCTCTATCAATCAATCACCAAGAGATAGAGGGAAGTGACTGGCACTGAAGAAAGACGGGATTTAAGAAACCAATTAGCAGGTGCCTGGAATGTCAAATTCTTTGGCAATTTCGGTCTTGGGACAGCCACTTTTCTGAACCTCGCAAATCTAAGCGACGTTCGGTAAACTCTCCCACTTCCCCATACGACGCACGTGTACACCGCAGGCACGCATGCGCAGGCACGTGCGTCGGAGGCTACCAAAGGGATGATCTTCTCCAGGCTCCATCAACTCCATCAACCTCTCGACCCGATTCCAACAGGAGTCAGGCAGTGTCAACCGCGGGCGCCGCGAGTAGCGTCGAAACGTGGACGCGGCTCCCTACCTACCCACGTCAGGACATCGGCATCAGAAGTGTTTCCCTCGATGCCGTTTGCCTCGGTGGAAAAGGGGGAGGGAACGCAAGGGTCTCCGTGCGCCTCCGTGTAAGCTTGCGTGCTTTCGGCACCTCGGCCTTTGCAATGAGCGTGGTCGGCCACCGATACACTTTGAATAATCCAGTTCAAAATGAGTACATTTTGGCTGGGACCTCGTTGAACTTACTTAAAAGCGGTAATCCGAAAAAGCGATTTAGTTATAATGAGTGATTACTCTACACTAGCTGCCAGACAACTCGATGCAGCACGAGGCAGCGTGAAGGCCACCCCTTTGCGGCGTTGATTTGAACGCCTGCTGGCGAGGCGTTACCTGAAACTGCGACAGGTGTGCTCCGTAGCAGGCCATCAGCAGTGGGGACTCGGCGATGGGGCGGTCCATCTGGTGATGCAGATTCACCAGCGTCACGTCCTCCTGCAAGAGGGTCGCGTCGGGCGGTGAACCAAGGTCCTCGAGACGGCCTGGTGCGTCTCTCTTCGAAAAGGAATGTCTCGCTTCGCTTCCACTATGGTGCTCGGAACGCATCTTCGACTGGTGTGTCTAGGGTCCTATACCGCCAACGCGTCCAAAGTGGTCCCAAAGTGGATACAAAATATGTCGCAGGAGCCGACGTGACACAATGTCGGATGTCGCAATCCTGAAAGCTGGTCGTAGAGGTTCCAACAAAAACAACGAGCGAACACAGGTGTCATCGTTATCGCAGCTAGGGATGCTGTATCGTAAACTTGCGCCAAACGTTTTTTGGACTTTTTTCGGCGAACCTTCAAACTTTGTGCAAAGTTCGACGAAGTTCGACTTATGGACGGTGTTGCCCAGCTTCTACACAAACATTTCAAGTTTTTGGAAACAAAAAAATTTAGAAAGTAGTTTATTTAATATTTTATAAAATAACTACAAATGTTTACGCAATATAAAAGCCAAAATAGGTATTGTTAATGCTTTCGTTATTTAGTAATGGAAACCAGCGAAGCAATACATCCAACAAATATTGCAGTTTTCCTCCGCAGGTGGTGTCAGCTCATTTCCAAAATTTTGCGCATGTGCAAAATAGTTTAACCAGTCGAACTTTCGTTGAATTTCACGTTGGAAGTTCGACAAAGTCAAACTTGACCAAACTCGAAACTCAGCAGCTTTGCTACATCCCCAGTCATAGCACCCCGACTCGAGGCTACAGAAGCTTATGTGAACTCTCAAGTTGAAAAGCAACAGAACAGGCATTTGCTGTATCCCCATCCCTTGTTATGCCACCACCAGGATCGCAGCAAGCAACGGCATAACGCTCATGAAAAGGCAAACAGCACTAGAATAGACCAAGTAGAAAAAGGACAGAGCACACACATGGCACAATGCCTTGTGTGTCAACTGAGCCACCCTGTTCCTTCTGTTCTTCGACTATTTTAGTTTTGCCCTTTTTATTCTGACGTCGCCCGATTCACACCCTCTCGTGTGCATGCTCTCTGTTCCTTTTGCCTTCAATCTATTTTAGCACCGTTTTGTCTTTTCTTCAATTTGTACCAACTAGCCTGACTTAAGGCCTTACAGCAAGACGCTCGTATGACCACATCAGGCACAAATCGAAGGACCACACATGAGGACGCGGTAAACACACAAGTCGAGGAAGCGTTCCAGGCACCATACTTCCGCCAATGCCTGGGCCCTCGGAGACTGACCTGGGACGAGACGGCCGAGAGGAAGGACGTGCTCGAGACGGAGTTGGAGTCCCCGTCCTGCTCCTGTTCCCGAGCGGGCCTCCGCCGATCGAGGCTCGAGCTGGCCGAGGTCGAGCCCCGGACGCAGAACGAGAGCCGACGTCGGTCCGAGTTCTTGTCGGCCTCCTCGGCCAGGCGCGCTGCGGCGGCTGCAGGGTCTTCGTCTGCCGAGAAGAAGGCCTCCGACGAATGCGTGGAGTCAGTCGAGATGGCGCGCCGCACCGATGCGCCGTTGCTGCGCCGTCGCTCGGCAAAGTGGTCCTCCGCTGGTGGGGTGCCCCTTGGGCGCCCGTCAGGCCTGGGCAAGAAGCGGGATTTTGTCGGTACCACTGGGTCGATAACTCGGCTCTTGTTCTGTTGTCACGTCGTATGTGGTTCTTGAACAGTGGTTCTCAACCACTGATGTTTTGAGGACTCTTTGGGACCCCATCTACCGGAGGAGAGGGGGGTTATTGGTTGATTACAATGACGAAGAGTAAATAAAAAAAACTAAATGCATGCAAAGCATCTTTTTAAGTTCTGAAATGGAGAATTATAAACCCTACTCACTTGGCACAGATGGTTTGGTCTATTGAGCTTTGTAGGACAGCCAGCATCAATAAAAAAAATGTTTTACTCGTCGACTTGACTGACGGTTGAGGGCTTCGAGGACCCTAAGTAGGCCTTCAGGGATCCCAAAGAGTCTGCTGATCCCCATTTGAGAAAACCTGCTCTAGGAAGGCATTTTCAACAATCTTCTCCCATAGACTGTTTTCAAAACCCCCTCATGCAACATTGGTAGTTGCAACTGCTTGGTCACGAAGCATATAAATTGATCTGAATCCTCGCCAAACGTTGACGCAGCGCTCATTCCCTACACATGCTCAGAGTTACTGCCCGAGCAATGGTGGAATCGGTGGAAGCTGCTAGATTACACACAGTTTCAAAAGGGTGTATTAAAGTGCTGGGAGCACAATATTCGCTGAAACCAGCAACTCACATCCGTTTGGAACTTTGGCTAGCTTTAGCTTGCTTGCATTCTGTGCTTGACATCTTAAACAGAGTTACTTCTCGATCGAATCCCCTTTCCCATAGAACTTCCATTGAGTGCCTACGGGAAATAGTGGTATGCAGCTCCCAAAGACAGCCCCCATCTTCTTCTCCTGTGCTGTTCAAGGTTAGTATCTTTATTCAGCTTGATGGGAATGAATACCTGGACATTAGCAAAAATAAAGTGGTGGCACAAACCATACCTCTAAGAAAAGAAATATAAGCAATGGCACGAGTCAACTTGTACCATTATCGCATGTATTCTAATCGTAGAATGAATTAGAATGAATGAACATGCCCCACGAATGCGCCACATTTCTGCACGGGTGCCACAGGCTTTGCCCGTGTGGGTGACCCGTGGCACCCACACGGGTCACTCCTGTGGGTGCCACGGGCTTCGCACCTCACACCGAAAAGATGCCAACAGAACATCAATGAGGGGGTTTCATAGAAAACTAGAAGCAAATTTGATCTGTGGTGCACTGTCTCAAAATTTCTTAAGTTATTACTAACTGATGAAGGTGAATCGCAAATAAATTAAAATGCCGAACAAGATTCGATTCAAATCCACAATTCAAAGCGCCCACCCACCAAAGCCTGGCAACCCGTCAGCGAGCCCGATCGGATGCCACAAATCGCGGTGCTTCGCAGACCTTTGCCAGGTCTCGAAAGAACGGGGAGCGAGAGCTCACCCGTCGCAGGCTGAGGCCGAGCGGGCGAAGCTCACGGCAGCTGGCTGGCGATGACCCGGGCTGCTGTACTGGCGGAAGACGCCCTGGCGAGGTTCCCCCTGGTCGTCCGAAGCACCGCCACCACCCTGCACCGGATGGCACACCACCCCCAATTCTCACGACCCTTCCAAACAGCAGAGGTTTAGGAAACGGTAAAAAGACCGCTCGCCGGAAATAAAACGTCTGGAATGCATTCTCAATCGGCATGTTTAGCGACCTGTACCACTCGTCTGTCGAAAGTGGCCTCAAGGTAGCAACCACTTACATCCCAGAAGCCGGCACGTCATCCTGTCAGATGTCGCGATCCCCTGACAGTTGGTCATAGTTCCAACAAAAAATCAGCAGACCCGTCCTAATCCAGTAACGCACTCAGCACCTTAAAACTCCCTTTTTCCACCAATCTCTTGCAAATATGCATTCATGTACTTTCAGCCTCATCCAGGAACAAAAAATGAGATATTTACGATTCTCTGTAATGCCGAATTAGAGCGCAGCTCTTGAGGAGGAGGAGGAGGAGAGGGTATGGAAGGGAGGGTTAGCTGCTCCTCCCCCTCCCCTCCTCCTCTTCTGCTCCCCTCCCATTTAGCGGGAAATTGTCGCTAAATTTTCCGGTACATTTAGCAGGAAAATTTTTCCACTAAAATATTTTTCCGACAAATTTAGCAGGGAAAATTTTTTGCTAAATTTAGTGGGGAATTTTTTCTGCTAACTTTAGAGGGGAAATCTATCTGCTAAATTTAGCGGGAAAATTTTTCTGCTAAATTTAACAGGGAAATTTATTTGCTAAATTTAGCAGGGAAATTTTTCCGCTAAACTTAGTGGGGAAATTTTCTGCTAAAACTAGTGGGAAAAGTTATCCGCTGAATATAGTGGGGTTAAATTTTTCCACTAAATATAGCGGGAAAATTTATTCGCTAAATTTAGCAAGGAAATTTTTTCCGTTAAATTTTGTGGGAAAATTTTTTCACTGAATTTAGTGGGGATATTTTTTCACTAAATTTAGTGGGGAAACTTTTCCAATAATGCAACGTGCGGTTACGTTCGCTTGCATTCTTCCCATGATTTAACGCATGCGGTTACGCCGATGGCGACGCCGCTCAAGCCGGAAACGGGCGCCTAAGAGCTGCATTCTGAAAAATTAAACGAGTATACTTAAGACTGCTTATGTGTAGGAAGGCAAAAGTATTATAGTCCCCAGGTAGAAATGTTTTTAAGTAATGTTTCTACACATATTAAAGTTTAGGACGACGTATTGGACAAAGTCGAGGATGATTTTCTAGAGATCGATGCCAAGTACAGCGTCCAAGTACAGGACGACCTCTAGGACGTCCAGGACGATGTTGGAGACGACGCCTAGGATGACTTCCAGGATGACCACTAGGATGACCTTAAGGATGACATCGAGATTGACACCAAGGACAACGCCTAGGACAACGCCGAGAACGGCACCTAGAGTACGACGTATAGGACCTCTAGGACGTCAAGATTGACGTCTAGGACAATTTCTAGGACGACATCTAGGATGACCTTTAGGACGAACTTAAAGATGCACTGAAGACATTTTTGAGATTGTCTGCTCTTAATGATAACTCATTCTACGGGATCTCAGCAACCCAAAATTCGAAAAATTATACTCATGCGACGTCTATTTCCTTACTAAAAATGTGATCGAAGTTTGTGCAACACCCCTTTCTAAGTGGAAAAATCTGGAGCACAGAATTCAGCGGAGGCACTGTCGGTGTGACGACAGGCGTGCGTCAGCTAATCGCAAGCGAAGGCGCCGGCAGCGGCATCCGCTGGTTCCCGTTTCAGACTTTTCCACTCAGAAAGGGGCGTGGCACAAACTTCAATCACGTTTTTAGTAGGGAAAGAGATGTCGCACGTGCATAATTTTTCGATTTCTAGGATGCTAAGATCCCGTAGAACGAGTTATCATCAAGAACAGACATATCAGAAATGCCTTAAGTGAACCTTTAGGGACGACATCTAGGACGACGTTGAGAACGACGCCTAGAGGAGGACACTTAAAGGGATGCTGAACCGAAATCTGGATTCCACAAAACATGCGACAAAAGCGCGCAACGGGATGCTAAAAACACTAAAACATCACTCGTACAGCGATATCTCGAACGGATGACCTTATTTTTAAAAAAAAGGAGGTGCATTTGACAGAAATGTTTACGTCATGTTTTTCCGAGAAAGAGAAAGAACAGACATGATTAAAATAGCGCAAACTTGACAAGGACAACAAAAAAGGCACACGTACAACAGGACTGGCGCTTCTGTCCCAAGCGCCAGTCCTGTTGTACGTGTGCCTTTTTTGTTGTCCTTGTCAAGTTTGCGCTATTTTAATCATGTCTAGTAAGAATCAACTAGCCCAAACAAAAGTCGTGTTACAAGAAAGAACAGCCTCGAGTCTTCTCCGCCTCGCCGCCTTGAGGCAGCGAAGCGAAAAGAGGAGGAAACGAGGTATCTACCTTGGCTTCTTTGGGATTTTTAAGGCCCTAATTTCCCAGACAAAAACCAAATCTTGGCCCCAAGAACAGTGCTACCTGGGTAAACGTGCATTCATTCGTTCATTCACGCGTATGAGACGCGTTTCAGGCGCAATACCAAGGAGACGCTTACCTGCGCCTCCTGGGGGGCCCCGAAGAAGGCGCACCCCCCGAGGCAGCCGCAGTGTCCCCCCGCACGGGGGTCCCCCCACAGGAACCAAAGGCGGCGGGAACTGCAGTCGTGGGTGCGCAGGAACCCTTCCTGCCCGCTCTGGGACGCCCCCTGGCTCCAGTGGTCCAGGCACACGGGGCCCAGCTCGAGCTTGCCTGCCTGCAGCCGGGGGAAGAACGGGACTGTCGAGGAACTTTCTGCACGGGGACACAGCACTGATGTGGGGCAGTGTGTCTGTAGTACAAACATTTCTTTTTAAGTACCCTCGATTGGACGCATAATATGCAACAAAATAAACTTTTACTAGAAAAAATATGTTTAGTGTAATATTTACATCACGAGACTCATTTTGAGTAGGGAGAGATTCAAAAACGTGCTTCGATTTCAAGACGGCAACCCCAAAATAGTTTAGGTATCGCTCAAATCAGTCTCGCAACACAAATATTGCGCTAATTCTTTTTTTTTTTTTTTTTTCGACAGTATTTTTGAGGCACGTCCGCTTTGACCTTGAGCAGCGCGTGCTTGATGACATATTATCGTGACCATCTTTCCGGCACAACGCCGACGCCTTTTCTCGTAATGGGATATATAAAGCTTTCGCCTTAAAAACACTATGCTACAAGTCGCACATGCGCCCAAGCCCAAAAGGACAATGTTTCTGTCCCCCTCGTGCCCACCTGCAGCCAGGGCCCGTCGACCGACAGCAGAAACTGCGAGACGCTGATGGCCCTCACTTGGAGGCTGAGCCCCGCGGTCGTCTGCTCGGAGTGAAGGTTGCATACGGACAGCTTGATGGGCGACACCTGCAGAGAAACGTATGGCTCAGAAACCGGCTACAGCCCCGTGAAGCCAAAGGAAGCCGGCGCATAACTCAGAAACCGGCTGGAGCACCGTGAATTCGAAGGAGGCAGGCGAATGGCTCGAAAATTAGCTAGAGCCCTGTGAATCCAAAGTAAGCCGGCAGAGGCCCGCGTCAGTAGCCTTAGACCCCAGAGTTCATACGATGAACCTATAGACACTGACAAAAAGAGAACAGCAAAGAAGAGGTTCAGTTGCCGTGCCTCCAGCGCAAACTTCCTACCTTCAAACATGCTTCATTGACTCATGCACCTCGAGCATGTGCATGCAGCCAAAGCATGGTGGAAGGCAAGCGCGCATGCTGGAGGCCAGGCGTTCAAAAGACACGCCCTGTCGTTCTTCCTCTGTCGGCGGCCATGAAGGAAAAGGTACATTCCTTAACTTTGTGTTCTGTCAAAATTGTTCAGCTTTCAACATTAACGAGCCCATCACTCTGTTATTTTACAGAATTCCCTAAATAAGGACTTAAAAAAAATTGTGGGGGGAGGGGGTGTTCCAACAGTGTGCTGAAACTTTTTCAAGGATACCGAAAACACTGGATCTGTCATTATAAGAAAGATAATGCTTCCAAGCACACTTTATTGAAGAGGAGTCACGAGAGCTATTCATATAAATTTATGTTTATTTTAAATTACTTGGGAGTAATTTCAGAATGATTGGAATAGCTTGACATTAGGTACTTGGTCGGACACAAAAGAAACAAGCAAGACTTACAGACACACGTGAATATTCTAATCTATTCAAAACCTCTTTTACAGCGGAGCTGTTAAAGGGACACTGACACCCCCCAAAAATTTTCTTTTATTTTTTGCCAGGCGCTTCATTATGGTGTCGGAGGACTACCCAATCAATATTTTGCAACAGAGTAGCGTATTTTTTTAATAAAGCCAAAAGACGCAACTGCTCAAAACCGAAACCGAAACCCGACGGAGGTCGGAGAAGTGGAGAGAAGAGATTGAGTGGCGGAAGCCACGTGGCTACACCCCACCGTGCGTTTTTTGTTTTTTTTTCTCCTCTTTGGTAGCAGACGACAGAACATGCGGCGTGCGATGCGGCGTGCGGGAACTGCTCGCCGTGCGATTCTTTTGCAGTTATGTTTGTTCCGCTCGTTGTTCTGTACTCCAATATGAGTTGTTTTGTACATTGAGGAGTCGGAGATGAGTAGTGAGTGCCCGTAGTGAATTTCCATGATCGGCTCCGAAAAGAATACACCCAAGGTGTTGCGTGAAGAGCTGGCTCACATGTCCTGCGTCCGAAAAGAAGTGGCATTGTGCGACAGAGTTTCCGAAAGATCAACGGGATCGGGACCAACGGCTGGCTGCAATTCCTGTAGAACATATACGGGCACCTCGGAAAGCGGACGTTACCTGATTTATATGCTCCTTGCATTTTGTGGGGAGTGATTACATTGAGTTCGCAGGTGTCAAAACGGAAATCCCATACCATTTAATTCAGCGAACTATCGTCCACAACATTAGTTTGTTATTTTTTTGTTTGTTTCTTCAGTGATGATTGTAAAAACATATATATATACATGAGTTGCACGTGACGTCATTCAAAGAGCGCTCCGATGACGACCAGAGAAGAGGGGAAGAAGGAGCTCCCAGCTTATCGAGACCCTCTTTTGTGCCTTCTGGATTTGCCCAGACGTCGCTATTCTCCCCCCAGAAGATTATAGAAGATTGTCCAGTCACTCAAAATTCTTACAAAAGTAGCTTCCCTCTCCTCCTCTTACATGGTGGTCAAAAGTATGCGATAGGACGTCAGTGCAACCCATGTATATGTAAACATCAAAAAATGTTTGAAAAAAAAAAAAAAAGTTTCACGGGGGATCGAACCCGGTCCTACCGCGTGGGAACCGGACGTCTTTCCCACTGAGCTACTGGGGCATCGCTTTTCTGGTGGATCTCTTTCCTTAGTAATAATTCAGCCGGTAAACTGTAAGTTGGAAAGTTTGCTGTCGATATTTCTCTAGCAAAAGCACTCCCGGGTCGAAGTCGGGAAGCACCACGCTTTGGGGACATTCGCACCTAGTAAAGAAATCGTACGCGTGCATATTCAACTCGAAGTAGACACGTCGTGCTTGACGTTTGGGCGAGCGATATCTTCAGCCACGAGAAGGGAGCGACGGCTCGGCGACGTCTTCGTGCAAATCGGCTTGGTGGCCGGGCGTGTCGTACGGGATGAATACCAATTCTTTTGATCAGTCCCAAATTTCTCTTTTAACAGTCGACAGAATTCGCCGGTACCGCGAACAACAGTTCTGAAATCGAGGTCCCACGCCCGTCGTCCGCTGCCATCGCCGTCCCCGCGAGTCCCACGATACGCGAAACGACGAACGCACAGAATGCTTCCGGTTGTCTGTGGAACTTTTTTTTTCAATCAACGTATTTACAGCTTTTTAAAAGCCACAAAAAATGGGTTTCATATTTTTTTCTATTTTTAATATTGAGTGTGTGCCTTCAGTGACCCACGACTTTGATTAAATTTGGTGGTCGCATCGATACCTTAGAAAACGGCCCGTGACCGCGAAAAAGAGAGTGAGCTAGACTCGAACCGGCCAGTTCTTGATCGGCGGTTTTCGGGCGGAAAGAAACCGAATTTCGAGCCGCAAATTCTGTTCTGGGTAGTTGAGCTCTCATATGTCACGTACAACTAAAAACCTCAGCGAGCATAAATACCCTGTCAGTGTCCCTTTAAGGGCTAGTTCCCTCAGGATCGTGTCCCCCGCAAAGAAATGTCCACACAAAACTCTGGTTGCCACCGTCGCTCATAGATGCGGTAGCAGTCCAGAGTGTTGTGTTTGCCGGTTGTCCACTTGCCACAGTCGCTCATAGATGGGGCAACCTTTCGACCCTTTTCACTCTGACTTGAAGACTTGCGGCCGGCCATTACTTCATTCCCACCATAGTACAGCTCTGCTGGTCTTCCTTCTTCACCAGAGTGGAAAGGCTGAATGTATTTTTTGCTAAAGTTTGATTTCATACAAACCTTCCTACGACGAGAATCCACTGGCGCTATCTAACAGGTAGCCCTGGAACACTCTGCATTTCCGTACATTTCCTACTTTTTTCGCGCAACATTATTTCTTTATGGACTAGAAAAACTTTTGACAATGTTATAAACTACCATTTCCCATGCATAGTACTATGTACATTTCACCTTGCAAGTGCCGCAAAACCTTCGCTCAAGTGAAGTGCAGTTCCAGGGCCATCTCATAGATGGCGCTGGAATTGATATTGCAAGAAATTGTGATGCACTCGTCGTAATCCAGTCGCAAATGTGTGAACCAGCCTAAGTGGATGTGGCAGACGCATGTTCTGCTGCAGGTCACTCTCCGGCTTGACAGTCCGCCGAAGCTTCTGCAGCCAGGAGTTGGGATGCCGTGGCAACTGCGACACTCGCGTTTGCTCGTAGTTTGTGCCGGAACTTCAATGACCAACTGCCAGGATCGCGACGTTCAACAACATGACATGCTGACTCTAGTGACGTCATTTGTTGTAACTTAGGGACCAAATTCGATGCATGGGCTGCAGGAGAGCTAAATGTTGCAGTCAAAGGTGCACTATGAGCGACACACCGAAAAGATACCTAAAGTTGCTCAAGGTTCCTCAAGAACCTCAAAATCCCTCAAGGTTCCTTAAAAATCTCAAGGTCCCTCAAGGTTCCTCAAGAACCTCGAGATGTCCAGTGACGCTTCTACGAGGTATGCCCTCACCTCCAGGCAGACGGCAGAGCTGGCCTCCTCGAGGCAGAAGTCGACAAAGTCCATGGAGAAGCGCGTCATGCGGTACTTGAGGGTGTCCGGCACGGGGCAGGGCTCCCCCCGAGAGCACTCGCTCTGGGGCAGGTCGTGCTGGCACCGGATGCGCCCCGGGGGCGCCTCCAGGGCACCGCTGGCATGCTGAGCTTGCTCCGCAAACAGCTCAGCACCTACCGCCAGGTCGTACAGCTGTGCAGGGCATTGAACAATCGATGGTAAAGAAGACAGCAAGAACATTTAATGCGTGTCTTGATCATATCTAATAAAGCTGGAGATGCACTGAATGTGTTGCAAATGAGCTGGGAACAAGCTAAGTGTGTGTACATTGTCATGAGGTCATGCGATGCCATGATGTCATGTGTGACATTACAATGTCACATGATGTCAAGGTGTCGCATGATGCCATGTGCCATCATGGTGCCACATGTTATGTGATGTCACAATGTCAGGATGTCACATCATGTCATGTGATGCCCATGTCACATGTCATGCAACATCATGGTGTCACATGATCACATGTGAGTCAGAGTCACTTGATGTCATAATGTCATGTTACATCACAGTATCGCATGATGCACATGTCACATGATGTCACTTGCATCATGGAGCTGCATGATGTCATGGTGTCACATGATGTCATGTAACATCACAGTGTCATATGTCATGTGACGTCAGTGTCTCATGACATCACAACGTCCCTGAAGTCAGTGTCATGTGACACCTCAGACGTCAAGGTCATATGAGCAATATTACCTCGACGGTAATGTTCAAGACTAACATGTCAGTTTTTTATGAAACCCAGCCCTACAACGCATCCCACGTTCAAATTGGCTGTCTCTTTGGCATTTCCAAAAGGCAACCTATACGTGTAGCATCTGTAGGGCCTCTTTGCCCTCTCATCCTTTTATAGGCGTAGTAAGGTCACTGAAGGTCACATTGCAGGGATTTTGTGAATATATAAAGCTGTCACAGCGTCATGTCACATCACATTGTAGCGTGACATCATGGTGTCCCTGCGCATATTGTTTGCCTGCGCACATGCATGCATTGTCACGTGGCAAGAAGGATAGCAGACAGAGAGGCTGAGCCATGCTTAGAGAGGGAGACTCTTGTAGATGACCAATGCTTTCTCTTCCCTCTCGAAGGTCATATTGCAAATGCGACCCATAAACCACTTAGCCTCGATCAGGCAGTTGGAAAAACTCTCAAATCAAAGTGCACCAACTCACCTGTGGCAGGGAGAGCCGTCCCGTTAGGTCGCCTGCCTGGAGCTCCACGAGCCAGGCGTATTCGAGGCTGTCACTGCCAAGGGGACGCCCGACCCCCGAGAACAGCGCCTGGCCACGCACCTGGAGAACGACATGCCAGGCTTGAATTTCACGGAGCTCCATGACTCCCCCCCCCCTCCCCTCGCTTTGTCCCAGAGACAAGGTAGGTAGGTAGTGTACGAATACATAAAAAAATAAAACATTGAGAACGGGGACGGAAAAAGAACATCTTTCCGTCCGCGTCCTCTATGTTTTATCCTTTCATGTATTTCAATGTATTCACCAACACGCTTGTTTTAAATTATTACGTAGTGTGAGTAGGCACTTATCTGCGCTTGTAAGTGCAAGTGCCACAAAAAGGCATGCAGCCCCTTACAATGAGTGCCTACTTGTGCAGCCACCCAACAAAAAGATTTGCGGAAGCACTTTGATCACACGTGACTAAATTGTTGTTTGTAGGATACAGCTTCGGGTCAATAAATCTTGGTGCAACTATTTATGTACGGCATGTCCTAAAAAAAATTATTTTCACCGCCAAAATAAATTATGCGTAGCCGAGCACTCATTATACGCCCAAATGTCGCGCTGGCGGTTCAAACCGGATGCCAAAGTTTCAGGACGAAACGTTATCTCATTCCAAAGTTATAAATGACTTTCTGAAAATTTCAATGGGGAAATGGGGGCCCATTCTCGGTAACTGGTGCCATTCAGCTCCATGTATTAGAGAGCTCCGTCGGCTGCCATTCTCCCATGGAAAATTTCAAGAAATCACTTATAACTTTCGAATAAGATAAAGGTTACTTCTGAAACTTTGGCCCCCGGTTCGGACAGCTAGCACTACAACTGGGCGGAAAATTAGTGTTTGGCGACGCATAGTTATTTTTTGCTGCGAAAAGAAAGCTGTTAGTTTTTTTGAGGGGGAAACCCTGTATACCGAGACTCGTACCGCGACCTTCAACGACAAAACCACCGGTTGTCGCTATGGTCGCATCACTGCTTACGCCAGCAAATGGAGGTGAGGCGCCCCCAGCAAGAGAGCTGTGTTGCGGTGGTGACACTACTGCAATGGCCTCAAACTCAATCGACATAACAAAATCTCATAAATTTGGCGAGCGGTGTCTCTCCCACCAATTTTAGTGCTTCATTCGTGCGACGCTTTTTCGCAACGCTGTAAAGTTCAAAGTCCTCCCCCCTAACAAAGTCCATGTTAAAAGTAACCAAGAGAGACTGCTCAGTGGCAACAGCCTGAAGGAAATTAAAATAACATGCGTTTTTTTCTGGGGACTGCGAGAAGAAAATATGAGCCTCCCGGAGCAGTGCTGCTCAAAGGTCCTAATAAAAGTCACAGCTGGCACAAAGGCTAACAATGTCACTCATGGGCTCCCAAAGCAACAAACTGCTCCGAGACCCGTTTCACAGTTAAGATGAAACTCAAACTAGAAGACGACGAGGCAGCGACCTTCAAGCAAAAGCCATTGCTTCCGTCTTCCCATAGAAGTGCTCACAACGACTGGCTGCACCCCGGTGTGCCCCAGCCAGTCAACTAACGCACTCCACAAGTCACCGTCACGGGCTACGGTCAAAAGCGACCCTGAGAAAGATGGAGGCCCCACCTGGAAGGACGAAAGTGCCAGGTGCCCCGGCCGCTCCCCCGGGCAGATGGCAACCAGCGGGGAGAGCAGCAGCTGCAGCTGACTCTCCCGGTGACCGCGCACGAGCTCCAGTTGCAGACGCTCCAGGAACAGAGAAGGACATGGGGCATCGCCTTCTCCGCAACCCTGCAGAAAGGAGAGCAAGGCTGTATTGACCCTCGAAGGTGTCACGACCTCCGCGAGTGGAGTAGTGTCCCTCAAAACACAATGCCGCCGGAGTGTATCGACGGTGGCTAGGTGCCTGGGACACCGATGTGTTTACCGCACCTTTTGGCTTCCGCCCAACGACACCACACCTGCATTGTGTCGTCGTCAGCTGAGGACCTGGCGGTGACACAGCGGCAGAGGTGGATGTAGCAGACGACCGTTATGCCGTACGTCGCTCTACAGAGCGACAGTTCAAGAAAACTGCAGCAGCCAGGGGTTGGGACGCATCTCGTCGTCTTTGCCTGAACTTGTACGACCAATCGCCAGCATTGCGACGTTCAAAAGCGTGGCGTGTCGGCTACTGTGACGTCGTCTGTTGCCGCTTCGGGACCACTTTCAATGTGTGGAGAGGAGAGGGCGGTAAACGCACCAGTCACAGATGCGTTTTTAGGTACTGTACTATAGCCTGTTGCAGGTCAAAAGAAAAGCGGGACAAGACCCTTCCACAAAGCTTTCTGCCTGCCACGATTAGTGGTTTCCTCCTTCCCAGCCTTCACTTTGCTGAAGTGTAAAGAGTGGGGGGCTTTGTGAAAGGAGCCTGTCCCACATTTCTTTTAACATGCAACAGGTTGAAGAGCTAGAGCTAGGGCAGACTGACTCTGCAAGGCATTGGGACTGCACTCGTTGCAGTGGAGTCAACATACTAAATATATAAGGCGCAAAGTCTGTCCTTTGCACTTTATATATTTAGCACATTGAAGCAACTAGCCCACCTTAATATTTTAGTGGGGTCCCCGTGCAAAGGCCTGCCCCGACCAGCAGCAGCTGACCTTCATGAGGTGTCCGTGCATGTCGTGCAGGATGACGGTGGCCCGCACGTCCAGGGGTCGGAAGCAGCGGGGGTCGAAGGCCCCCTCGGCGGGCCGCTCGGGGGGCGGGGCCTGGGCCTCCATGTCCACATACTCCTGCCAGGCCCCGAAGTAGTTCTCCTTCAGCTGCATCAGCAGGTGCAGCACCGAGCCATCCAGGGTCAAAACCTGCAACGGGGAAGGGGGGGGCCGTTCTCTGGTGTGCCGAAGTGTTCCGCCGCTCGCTCCCCACTAAAGCTATGTTTCGTAAGAGAAACTGGCCATCTCATTGGCATTTCCCAAAAATGTTCTAAATGCATAACACTTAGAACACCTTTGCTCACGTCCGCCCGAAACCACAGTCAGTCGCACGAGTTACACTCCGCACGAAACGAATTGTCCGTGAACTTGCTTCAAACGCCGGTCGGCCTCTGTGCAATGGCAACTGGCTTCCTGTTGCAGTTTGGCCCAGTGCTCATCATTTTGCAGCGGCGGCCCTCGATCCTTCCTCTCCACCTTGCTACACCCGCTATTGTCGCTCCTGCGCCGCCGCTTTGATGGTACACAAAGCACGCAAGCAAGAGCCTTTGTAGTAAGTGGGGTCCAACATGCTGTGGCCGAGCACACACCGAAGGAAGTCGCCACTCCAAGAGCAGTCGCCGATCGCACGCTCCACAAACAAGATTGTCAACTGCATGCTCCGCGCCGCATACTTTGTGCTGCACGCTCTGCCGAGGCTACACCTGAGGCTCAGACAGGAAAGCACTAAGAGTCAATACTATAAGTGCTGCACATTTAAAAGAAATTACACAAGTACACTTAAGACTGCTTACGTGTAGGAAGGCGAAAGGCAGTCAAGGACGACGCCTAGGATGACTCCTAGGATGAGCCCTAAGAAGACCTTAAGGACGTCTAGGATGTCGAGAATGACGCCTGGAGGACGTCTAGGATGACCTCTAGGATCACGTCAAGAATGGCATCTCGGACGACTTCTAGGGCGACCTCTCGGATAACTTCTAGGACGACCTCTAGGACGACTTCTAGAACGACCTTAAGGACGACGTCAACAACAATGCCTAGAGGAAGATGTCTAGGACAACGTCAAAAACGACACCTAGAGGAGGACAGTTAGGAGGCTGTGGCGTATTTGCCGTAGATGTAGACGCAGTCGCCTCCCAACGCACAAAGCACATGAGCACAGATAAAGTCCGAAGCGCACCTTTTGCACATGGCGCTCCAGCGGTGACATCACGCTGATAATGCATGATGATGTATTTTTATTGCCATCTTTCGGGAACAATGCCATTGACGATGACGCCGGTTGTCTTTCACATACTGTGAGAAGTGTGGTCATCCTAGAGGTCTAGACAACTTCTAGGACGACCGCAAGGACGATGCCAAGGACAGCGTCGTCCTTGAGCATACGTTTCAGCGGCGAATGCCGCGCAATCACATTTTTATAGCCATTTACTCCGAATTTTCACTCAATGAGGCAAATAAGGCTTTCGCTTTAAAACAGTTCCGCTTGGCAGAAGTGCTGATGGTTCTACGACTCATATTCTTTCCAGCCGCTTCTGCAATAAAACAGCCCAACAAACTGAGAGCTGTCAACTGCTGGCCAGCTTGTAGGCAAACTACAGATGGTACCACTACACTAACTTAGAAAAGCAGACACAGTGGTGTATGAGAAGTCAAAGTGCGATTCTCTTCCTGACCACAAACAATCTCGGCAAACCACTCGGGCGAGCTAGTTCGGCGCTTCACGGTCTACTCACGGAGGGCCCGATCTCCAGCTCGAGAGAGAGCACGTCGGGAGCCATGTTGCCGGGGTCGAAGTCCTCCGGGGGCAGCAGGGCAGCGCGTCCCTTGGGGGGTCGCATGGGCGACAGCAGCAACTCTTCCTTCTCCGGAGTGGTCACGTCAAAGTCCAGCGGGTGAGCAAAGTCCAGGGGAGGCACCGGGTGGTAGGTGTAGCCCAGGCTCAGGGCCACAATCGGCACGCTGCACACCTCCACCCAGCCTCGGCTGCGGGCAGTGAGTGCAACAATCTCAGAATATTGGAAGTCAGATGGCCTCGTTAGTATGCCGGGCATTCAACCGGGGCTCGAGACGACAGAAACACGCATTGAAATGCAACCCAAAACGGCTGCAGCGCCGTCGATCAGTTCTCAGGTCGACAATGCCGCAGCCTTCGAGCAGTATTCTTCCGTTCGAATTCTTCGGTATAACATCAATGCCACCACACTATCTACAAAAAAACAACTGATTGAACAAGACCATAAGCTGACTTGACCTGGACTGGGTTGAGGCAGTGTGTACCTAAGAACTGGGTTGTGGCACTGTCAATCTGGGAACTTTCTCAGGCACACAGTGCAACAACCCAGTACAGGTCAAGCCAGTTTATGGTTTTGATCTCTCGATTTCTCGCGGAGAAAGTGTGTTGCCGCAGACCTCACACCCGAGAATTCAAGCGGATGAATGAGACAGCATAGGTGCACTTCCCATCTGTCTACATATCCTCATTCCTCGTCTACATTCTCCCGTCTCGGACATCCAAAGGGGTCAGGTCGCGCTAGTTCCTGCCTCTCCTGACTTATGTTCGCAAATACCTTATACTCCAACAAAGTTATTGAAGTGTGTGCTAGAAACAAATGCTGCAGGACACGGTAGCAGCCCTCAAAGTCTGCCCGTCCTTCTTGGTGCCAACCGAAATCTCCGAGGGTTCATGCAGCGGCCGACTGGACGAAGGGCGTGCTCACCCAGAGTCTGCTAGGTGGTGCCACTTGTGGTCCCCCTGCGAGGGCTGCCGGGGCATCCCCGTGCGGTCCGTCGTCCGTGCGTGTTTCTCCAGGAGAAGCAGCAGCTCCCGGTGGGGGTTGCCCTCCGGTAGTTGGGCCAACACCGCCACACTCTCCGCCTACGCAGAGCACATTGTTGCTGCCTTTTTTTTTTTTTTTTTTTTTTTAATGTGTTAGCATTAGTGGCCTGGCACATGTACCAACCTTGGACGTGGCTGGAGGACATGTTTATAAAGTTTGCAACGTCGCTATGGGATGGCACAACCAAAGATAGCCGGCAATGTCCCCCTTCACCAATTTCGGCACACTGGGCCGCGTGTTAAACCCTCCCCGCCCCCTTGTTCTCTCTGCTTCGCGGCGACAATCTGTAGATGGCTCATTATAAAATATAACCCACCTTGGGCGCCCCGCCGGCGGTCCAAGTATGCCCTAGCCCCGCTGTCCCCCCCCTGCACCTCAGTTGCTAGGTGTTATGTCACGCCGTCGCTCTCTATAACCAGCCTATCCTGTGCGGCTGCCATCCTTCCTGTACATTCTAAGTGGACTGATCTGCTTGCACCAGGGAGAAGAGGGGTTTCGGGAACGTTCACCCCACGGAAAAGTGCTCAGAGGCTGCATTCACCATGCTTTGTTACATATAACCGCTGGACAAAATGCTATCACATTTATTCGAGAATCAGCGTAACAACAGCAGCAATTTCGACCCCCTTTTTCTTTTTTTTTTTTTTTTATTTCTCTACACTGCCAGCATTCTATATAAATGCCAAGGCAAGAAATACATACAACAAAAAAGACAATACAAATCATAGCAATGCAATGTGGGCACCAAGTGCTCAAGAAGGTAGTGCTTAAGTAGAGAGTCGTTAAAAACAGTAAGTGATTCTGAAATAGTAACACTTTTAGGAAGTTTGCTCCATTCACTTATCATGTTAGGGGAAGAAGGATGCCCTAAACAAAGTGGCTCTGCACAATGGTTCAACAATTGATATTATTGTTTGTTCCTTGTAGATAAATCTTTGTTAGTTGCCGAGACAAAAGCAAATTACTACAAACCTTTTTTTTTTAATTATTGAACCAACCTATTTTTGTAGTGTTGTCGTTCCGAATAATACGCTATTTGATATTCGTTTTCAGATGAACTCTGATATTCATGCATTTTTCTAAATGTTGACCACGACAGGTTAGCCCCATGGACCGCGCTTCTTACCGAGCATCGGTGCAATCCGGCGCGCGGAGCTCGCCTCCGCGGGGCCTGCTTCTCCGCAGTGCACCAGTGCTCGGTAAGAAGTGCACTTACCAGGGCTAACACGCCGCGATCAACAGTTCAAAAAGTACAAATATTGCAATCACATGCTTACAAGGAAAGCCCACTCTAAAAGTAGAGTGGCGCAAGCACGCGCTTGGTGTATTTAAAAAGAAATGGAAGCTTTGTGAATGTGGGTATTTGCGCTAAAGTAAAATTTTCAAAATTAAACTCTGGCTATTATGTGAGAGTATATGCCAGACAGAGATGTCCTGACAACCTGCGTTCTTCACGATTGTATTTTTTACTTTTCTCAAATCTGAGATCTAAGATCTGTATATAGCAAGATCTCCTTAATTAGGTGTAGCTGGGCATCTCTAAAGGTTTACTTTTATGTCAAATGCATTGTTTACTGGTCATTTTAACGTAGGCAGTGGACTTTTTGAGGCTACGGTCCACAAAAATGGCTGGATTAAAATTAACTCAGCTTAGAAATGGACAAGTGGAAGCTTGGGAGTAACTTTCATGAGTTCAGCTGTGTTTTCGTTTAAGCATGGTGCAACAGCAAAGGCCTGAAGAAACTATTCAATATTCTATTAAAAAATACTATTCCACCAAGACCACCATTTGCTTCGACTTCGCTTCAAACTCCAAATCCACCATTCGCACATGACTAATTTTTTGTTGTGTCGCTAAATCACGCAGTCTTGGCAAGACACATGTAGTTTGGAAATTGAAGACAAAAACTGAAAACCAAGGGAGGCCAGGGTAGGCTCTCGAGAGGTTACCTGTATCCAAAACTTGAGACTCAGTTGCGGCGGCAGGAAGTCCACAAAGGGCAGGTCGAAGGACAGGTCAAACACCTCCCCGCAGAAGGCCACGCGAGCTACAAACATGTGCGAACACACAATGGCTCTTACTACCGCGTGCCCAAGTGTCTGACGGTCACACATATTCTTTCAATTGCTGCCTCAGTGAAGTACGAGGCTGCAGGTGGTGCACTACAAAAGCTATGAACCAACATGCTGTTGACAAACAAGTCAGTGTTTGCCCATACCAAGTGTGGGCATTGAGCTTGCAAAACAAACAGATTTGTGTGAAATGAAGTGTCTTCATACCCATCCTGACATCAACAGCACCACTGTGGTGGCCAGACGTAGGGAAGTTGGGTTGGTGTGTACAAACCGTACTAAGGTAGCAAAGTAGGCCAGCTGGTAAACATTGTTTACCAGCTGATATTCATGCATTTTCAGCTCAGTAAATGCAGATGGCTTTGTCCTGTCGTGGTTTTCTTTTCTTCAACTGCACTTACTGAGCTGTTCACTCCCATCACAAAATAACTGTAGAGATCACTTTGAAGAATGGGTGCATGAATCCAACCTAGACCACGTTTAAAGAGAGTGCTACGCCCACACACATGGGCCTTCAGTAGGAAAGCAAGAAGAAATTTCTATACATGCTTCTACATATTTGTTAACAGCTGCTGTCTTCACAAAAGCTTGCTGTACCTAGAGTCACTGATTGTCCCCAGAGTACTGAAACCCCCAAGCTTCGTTTCAGAACCAAATCGCGGCGCAGCAGTTGCGGTACAGCCCACATCCAATATGGCGCTCCTCTGTGCGATCGAAGCGAACCGCATACCGTGTAGCATTCATTCTCATGCAAGCTCTTCAATCCACTTTTCTGGTTTGTGGCAACGCTGGTTTATATTTATTAAAGTTATTTACTTCATTTCGAGTGGTGCATGACTTGCTCCTCATTGTCTCATTTCTCTTGACTTGAAGCACATCGAAGTAGGTTAGGTTAGGTTAGGCTTAGCGTCTGAGACATAGCGTTTGAAACGCACCACCAGCGCAACTGGAGCAAGCAAACGAGCCGGCAATCTTCTCTTGCGAACCAGATTGCCGTTCACTCGATATAAAAAACCATTATAAAATCAACGCACCTTCCATTTGGTGCTAACTTATCGATGCTCAAATCTCCCACCCGTGCATACTCGTGGTAACGCGGAAACATTTTATAAACATTTTCGCGTTACCCTATCTCCAAAATGGCCGACTGAGAATTTCCCCGACAGGCTAAACCAGTAAATCAAAACTGGATTCCGCTGGATTGACTTCCGGTAAACGGACTAAATGAAATTCGGCATTCTGGGAAGATTCACTGATTCTAGCTGTACTCAGTTACAGAAGTGTTGTCAATGGATAGGTTCTGTAGTGGCCATTGAATCACAATAACAAATAAGTCGTGTGGCTTTTTTTTTTCTGTCTTTCCTACAGCTAGATTAAGATGCTCGACAAATTTGGGGGGTTTTACATGCCCAAACCAATCATCAGTGGATCCATACAGCGGCACCTGGCATGCGTCAACGCGTCTCGCGACGAGTGCGACGCTAGCACGCAACGTCGCCGAGACAGACGTGTCTGCCACTTGAGGCGGGTCGGGGATCCACTAACAATGACACCATGCCTTGTCTTCTACGCGGTACTGATCTGGCACACCCCAGCGAAAAACTGGGGGTTAGTTTTCACCGCCTGGAGACCTTTTGACGTGCCATAGAAATATCAGCCTCCTCTCGAATGCCCGAGAGACTATCCTCGAAACGGGCGAAGACGCAAACAGTGAAGAGAGGGGCGTGCCCCACCGTTCTCCTGGTGCGCGCAGTCGACCCAGTTGTACTCGTTGGCCAGAGTGACCAGCTCGAATTCGGTCAGCACCAGGTTGAGGTGCCAGGTGTACGGCACGAAGCGCAGCAGGTCCGGACGCGCCTTGCTGGCCCAGTCTTCCACCAGGGCTGCGGAAACGGGGAGCCCACATCGAGCACCGTCCGCTCCAAACGGTTCAATGATTAAAGCTACGGTCCCACAATGGTCATCTTGAATGGCTACAAAACTGTTCTTAATTTATTTTATAAAATCTAAAAATATCCACGTCAACGAGCTTTGCTAACAGCTTTGCTAACATATCCCCCTGTTCTTTGAGATTCTAGGGCAAGGCATTATAGTCATAGCTTAATTATTTATTTACATAACTAACGAGTAAGTACAGCCACAGGTTTCTCATTTTTTCTCCTCTGACATTAAAGTTAGGAGGGTTATTTATTTACGCCGCATGCTCGACATTAAAGTTAGGAGGGTTATCTATTTACGCCGCATGCTCCATACTATATATAATAAAAAGGTGGACGAGAGCTTTTCTGAAAATTATGTTTCAAAGTGTTTTAAAAATAAAGTAATTTGAGCCACAAAACTTTCTTTTTAGAACACTGTAACACAAAATTTTGAAAAACCTCTTGTTCGTTTCTTTACTATAACATATTGAGAATGCGCCGTAAAACTATAAACGTTCCATTCGTTTTCAGAACGCACCGTAAAACTTTCACCCTCCTATCATTAATATTGAAGGATAAAAATGAGAAGCTTGCTGCAATATTTTCTCGTTAATTATCTAGTCAACCTATGACTATAGTACCTTGCTCTGAAATCCCCAACTGAGAAAATATTATCCTAAGATAAACCGCGAAACCACAGGCAAAGAACGACATACTCCCTGAAAAGTCTCAACCTTTCTGTGTTTGCGCAACATTCAGTTCAGAAAAAATATGGTTAGCAAAGCTACTTTTCAGTATGTATTTTTATATTTCCTCTAATAAATGAGGATCCGTTCTGACGAACGCCGCAAGACCGGAGCCTCTAAAAGCTCGAGGGAGGTCCCGCCCACCGTGGAAGAAGCCCTTGTGAGCGTGCAGCAGCGTAAGGGAGCTCCGGCACCCGGCCAGGCTGCACTGCCAGTCCTGGTGGCCGTTCCACACCAGGGGGTACTGGCCCTGAACGTCGAACTGGAGGAGGGGACGAGATGAAAGGACCCGGTGAGGCCAGTTCGTGGTCGACGCTAGAGATGTCGCAAACCTACCAAGGTTAGAGTTCGACCAGGTTCGCCTTTTTCTCACTTCTAACGCAAAGTCGGACAAAAAGTAGACTGAGGCTTAACTTCTTTTTTTAAATTCTCTAAGCCTCTTTTTAAATTTCTAATTTAAGAACAAGCCGACGCCACTTGGTAAAGGACAAGTACAGTATTTGCTCATGTTAATGAACTAATTATGGCATTAAAAGTTCAGATTTTTGCTTTTACATTGTCTAAAGATTGGTAATCATTCTATAAAATATAAAATAAACTACTTTGTAAATCATTTGACTCCCAAAATTCAAAAGTTTTGTGTAGAAGTCTGACAACATTGTTCATAAGTCAAACATAAAAACTCCAAGCACTATGGAATTATGATAGATACGAAGTGGTCAGCGGTACCTATATGGAAAAGAGTAATGGTACCAGGACTGTTTTTTGGCAGTGGAGTACAGTGTGAGATCAGAGGTTCAATCAAGACTGGTAATTTGACAAAGAGCGCACGAGAACACACCAAACAAGGGAGTGCAGGCAGACATGGGCTGGTCGTCCTTTGAGAGCAGACAGGCAATAAGTGAATTGAAATTTGTAGAAAGGTTAGTAACTGAAATGGATGATGCCCGGTGGGTACGGAAAGTATTCGAGTATTTATACAGGAAAAGTTAAGGCCCGTTCACACTCTTGCAACTGCTTGCGACCTCTTAAACCTGGGTTCCTTAAAACTTCTTAAACCAGAGAACACACTGGCGCCATCTATTGGAAAGCAGTGTAAACTCGGCGGTCCGGCATATTTTTTTTTATTTCTCGCGCAATATCCTTTCCTTTTTGGCTCAAAAAGCTTTTGTCAATGTTATAAACGAGCCTTTCTATGGGTATTACGCACATTTGACCTCGGAAATCCCGCAAAACCTTCGCTTTTGTGAAATGCAGTTCTAGGATCACCGCATAGATGGCGCCACAATGTCAGTGTGTTCCCTCATTCTAGAAACATTTAAGAAGTTGTAAGAGATCTCGTCTCTCTCAGTCGTACTCGGTCGCAAGAGTGTGAACGGGCCTTTAAACACCAACTGAACAAAACGAATCCAAAAGCTGACATTTAAATACCTGCACACTCGTGATGGGGTTGAGCCAACGTTACTAGAACAACTCAGTTGGGAAACTGCCATAGAGCCTGCTTTTAGAAGTGGCTCTGATCCATACTCGAGAACCAAACTAATGGCGATCGCCACGCTGCCATTTCTTTCGCAGCAGCCATTCCAGGAACTGCACGGCAGCACATATTGGTTCAAGCCAACGTTACTAGAACAACTCAGTTGGGAAACTGCCATAGAGCCTGCTTTTAGAAGTGGCTCTGATCCATACTCGAAAACCAAACTAATGGCGATCGCCACGCTGCCATTTCTTTCGCAGCAGCCATTCCAGGAACTGCACGGCAGCACATATTGGTTCAGTTCGAGTCGCGCGAGGGCTTGTGGCGCCATCTTGAAGTTCTATTTTGCAGTAGCCATATAAATCAACTTTGATGTTTTGACTTGTCACTAAAGGGCGGCGCTGTTATCATATTTAGTTTGGTCTCGGTGGGTGCGAGCGGTCCGGGTTTCAAGGGCAAGTTTCCTAACTGAGTGCTTCAGTAATGTTGGGTTGAGCAGACCAGTTCAGTGAATAAAGGAGTGAAAGAGGCAGAAAGGAAAATGTGGGAGGAGAAGAATGCAAGAAAAATCAGCTTCAACAATGTACAGGGCACAAAAACAGGACATAAGAAAGGAAAAGGTGTTTGACAATTCACATGGAAGTTCTTTGCTGTTCAAGGAGAGAATGGGAGTGTTAAGGACAAAGACGTATAGGGCCAAATTTTAAGAAATAGATTATGTGCCATGTGCCATAGTCAGAGTGAGACGCTAGAACATTTGGTTTTGAAGTGCACAAAGCTTTTCCCTGCCCACCCAGAAGGGGTAACGGATCTGGCGGGCGTGCTGGATTCTGGTGGCGTGGATGGAAGAATGGATGAGGAAAGGATAGCAGTCACAAAAAGGAGGCTAGAAGGTTGGTGTAAATTATCCAGGGAAAACTGAACAAAGAAAAAACTAACTAGCATAGCTAGGGACAGGCGGGACAGAAAACATTTGGAACACCCTCTGACGTGGCTCCAGCCGGGGTCCGGTGTAGGGGTGACACCGACCAGGTTTGACCAGAGGAAACTTGGCGACTCCCTCGTTGGGAGAAGAAGAGAGGGGGTGATGTTTTTTAATTTTTTTGCCCGACCCTTCAAAGGTTATCCTGGCAATATCCCACACTCTCTGGGGATAATTAGAAAAATAAAGAGGAGGAGCAAACTGGCTCAGAAGGGTGAGGGGATGAATCATACTTTTGGTTTTTACCTAGGCTAGGTGGCGCAAGCAACAACCCATTACAAAACCTACAACCATCAGCATCCATTCATCCATCCATCGTTTAACTTCGCTGAAAGTTAGAAGGTTCGCCGAACCAGTTGAACCTCGGGTTCGACGAAAGTTTGCAACAGCCCTCGTCTACGCCTCCTGGTCCGAGATAAAGCGTCCCGTCTGGGCCTCACCCCCAAGATCTCGCTCTCGACGAAGCCTCGGAAGGGCAGGCTGGTGGAGGCGTCCAGGTGGAAGAGCTGCCCCATGACCCGCAGGGTGTAGCCCTCGGGCCCCATGACCCAGGGCACCGTCAGCTCCAGGTACGAGCCTTGCTTCACCGTCATGTGCACCGCATTCGTCTCCTGCACGGTCCCAGGCGCTCGGTAAATGTAACGACAGATGGTGCTCGAAAAAATGAGACAAAAAAAAAAGGAATGTGGGACAAACGGGAGCTGACCCACAACTGATATATACGAGGTGTCAAGAAAAAAAATGTAGTGTTTTTTTCACCGTAAAAGTAAACTATGCATTGCCAGACGCTCATTACCCCCCAAATGTAGCCCTGGCGGTCCAAACTAGAAGCCAAATTTTCAGAACTAAATGGTATCTTATTCAAAAGTCACGAGTGATTTTTTTAAATTTTTAAGGGGAAAATGGCGGCCGACGGAGGTCTCAAATACAAGGAACTGAATGGCACCAGTTACCAAAAAAGAGCCCCAATTTCTCATTGAATATTTAAAAAAAATTTCTTCTAGCTTTTGATTGAGTTTCGAAAGTTTCGGAACCGTTAGTTCCGAAACTTTGGTATCTGGTCCGAATCGCTAGCGTTACATTTGGGAGAAGAATGAGCGTTCAGCGATGCACAATTTATTTTTGCGGTGAAAAAAACACTGTAAACATTCTTTGCGGGGACACGCTGTACATTAATGACAGAGAAATGTTTGTCCTTTTGAGTGCCACTTTTCATTATGTTTAACGATCACCAACTGATTCAGCTTACCCCCTTACTCTAAAGCACCCGCTTCTTCAACAGCCCCTCCCGGCACGCTAGGAGCTCACTCGCTGCTCGCTCCCAGCCAAATTACAGCCAGGTAAGCTGAACGGAAGTATGCATATTGTAAACACCTCACTACCAAAGAGTATGAAATACTGCATCAATTTATTTTACTCCACTCAAGGTCTCTTTCCAGTTGCCAAGGCAATCTTTCGAATGTTGGTGCAAGCGCATCGGTACAAGCACATGTGCGCTTGTACCGACGAGCTGCATGCAATGATTTCATTTTGCCATCGTTGAAACTTAGAAAATTTGGAACGGTGAGTGAGCAGCCAATTACCATTGGCGCTCGACCACAGTTTACCACGCGACAGGTCACCCTCTAGCAGACCACAGCAATGGTGGAGTCTAAACAAACACAAGAATCAGATGACGTTTTGATTAAAAAAACTACCCGTCCCTTTGGTATATTCCAAAGGCACTCTAAATGTAGGGTGGCCATACTCCTGAGAGTTCAAAACGGGACATCAGGGGGAAGGGGAGGAAAGGGAAAGGGAGGAAGGAGACAGAAAGAAGCCCTGCTTCTATGCAGTTCATTGTGAAAACGCACACTTTTCTGGGGCTTTCGTTGAGTATACATCCACCTTCCTTACCCATTCTGCAAAACCCAAGCATGCCAAATGTTGTAATATAGAGAAGTGCCTCGTACACGTCTGCGTGAACAAAAGTTATTGGCAAGGGGAGTCGGAGAAAAAGCTACAAATCATACTCCATCGGAGATAACATTTTTATACTGTTTACTCATGAGTAATAATTTTTGTTGTCTTTCACTGACCTGGTACTGATTTCGCGAGCAAGTTCCCACAAAAACGGGACATTTAGCTATATTCAGACAAAACGACGGGACAGTAGAAATAAACCTCAAAATGGGACTGCCCGACCAAAAAAGGACGTCTGGTCACCCTATCTAAGCACGTAGCCTTTATAGGTCTTCTGCGATGTCACCTGACATCGCGGAGTTGCATCATGTTACATCAGGTTGCATCACATGATGACATGACACGACAGCACCATGCGACATCAAGGTGTCTTGCAATGCAATGGGATCATGTGACATTATTGAAGTTACATCCCAGGCGTGGGCACGAAAGTGCTAAGAACCAGTCTCGTAAATGCTACGCACTTATTAGATACTCAATCTTTCGGTACCCAATGATTTGTTAGCTTCGAAAAGAGACTACTGAAAACCGAGACGGAGGACTAATTCCCAATGTTTCATCACTTTAAGCTTGTACAAACATCTGCCCAAGACCAAAATAGGTGCATCAGCGGTTCCGGTGTCGCTCGCTCCAAGGGGAGCCCACCTTGTCCTTGGAGAAGAGCAGGTCGACGGTGGCATCGGCCGTGGTGCTCAGGCGCAGGTCGAACGACTGGAAGCGCCTGCGCTCCCCGACCTCGGGGGTAGGGGTCGGCTGCAGGGGCTGGAAGTCCTGAGGGTAGAAGAACTGCACCAGCTGGTCCCGCTGCCGGTCGGCCCAGGGCCCGTAGCTGAAGCTGGTGCCCCGGCCGCACTTGGCATCCAGGCCCCAGGTCGGGGCGCTGCGCCGCTCCACCAGGTCCCCGTTGGCCAGCTGGACCACCTCGGGCTCCGCTGGCACAAGCCCTGCGAGGGAGGAGGCACTCGTTGGTACCTCACCGGCTCGCTGATATTGGACCGGCTTAACGGCGCAAGCAGATAAGACACCGCAATCAGTTTGGTGGAAGACAGTCTTGATCTGGAAAATTAATTGCCCGGAACAATAGTTGTATGCATCAAAAATGGCGGTGGCTTTTCGGAGACTAACCTAACTTAATGGTAGGGGCTTTTCAGAAACTAGCCTAACCTAAACTAAACCACCACTGCCTGAATAACATCTGCTTAAACGCAAAGCTGGTACCATATCTAACAGATGCTTTGACTGCTATATCGAGAAAATAAATGCATTGTAAAGTGAAAAGTGATTTTTAGGCACTTCTTAAAAAGTTGCTTCTTCCAGTAATTATTGCTCGTATCTCTCAAGCATCAAATGCCTTCCACTACAGCAGTGGTTCTTGAATAGGGTTTCACGGATCCTTTGGGGTCCATGAAGGCCTTCTTAGGGTCCCCAAAACTCACAACTAAACAATTTTTTTTTATTGATGCTGATTTTTTTACATGTGCATTGAGTGAGTAGGGTTGATTAGTCTATGTTTTGAAGCTTCAAAGTTGGCTTACATGCATTTAGTTTTCTTTATTTACCCTTTTGTTGTTGTAATCGTCTATTATACCACCTCCCCCTCCCTGAAACATCAGTGGTTAAGAACCACTCTACTATAGACTAAACATGCTGTATTGTCTGAACTCCCAAAAGCGTAACTATGAAGGCCTGTGGTGGCGTCTAGGGACCGAACGCACAAGAGACCGACGTCCCACACCACCCTGGCACCTACCTGGCTCGTCCTGGTAGTAAAAAAGGTGGACCCGGTTGGACTGGAGCACCACGAACCCCTCGCCCATAAACCGGGGTGGCTCGTCGGGGATGCCGATGTACTTGGGACTCGGAGCCAGCATCACCTGGCACCGGAAATGACAGACGGTTTTTTTTCTCGCACACTTCTAGACCGGTCCCACCAGCTTAAATGATGCACTGGGCCCCGTGCAAAACATCCGTGGATGAGCAGGTGGCCGTTAGCGTATGCCTCCAGGATTCTGCCAATCTCAATGCTGCAGTCACTATTGCCACCTACAGGATGAAAACGGCAAGGAGGTCTTCCGGTTGCCAGTGCAAGCCTTCAACCTTCGATAACACTTTAGTGCCTCCGTACCTTCGAGCATGCGTGCACGTCCAAAGCGAGAAGAAAGGCAACAAGCACACACTGAAGGCCGGGCATTTGAAAGAAAGGCCCCGCCCTTCTCACCTTGGCAATGATTATATGGGCCATCATGTTCACCCCGTTGTCAGGAGACGGTGCCCCCGCACAACTCGTGGGGGCACGTCCCACAAGGGGAGAGGACTTTTTGTTGGGGGCCTGTATCAGACGCCAGAGCAGACTTTAGCCCATGGCTCTTTCTTGGACCCCCTTTAAGAAGACGTTGCCACCGGAGCTTAGTCGCGTAACCTTCGACCGTCGCTCTAGCAAAACTACACTCTGGAAGTATCCGTAATATATGTTTTCCTTGAAAAAAAAAACACCCAGATACAGTCGGGTTTCTTGGGGTGTCTTGCACAAAAGCATGAATTCGTAGTCACTAACAGAAGGAGAATGGCAGGGCGTCTCTTACGGCTTTCCGGCTTGCAGCACATGCTCGCTGCCGTCTGTCGGGTTTTGGCTGCGAGTGCTTGCTAGAGGCTCTCGAGGTACCGAAGCGTTATCGAAGGTAGGAAACTCGCGCTGGAGGCGGGACAACTGAAGCTCCTCCCCATCGTTCTCGCCTCGTCGGCGACTATGGTTCAAGACACAGGCGGGAAAGAACTGCGACACGTGGTGGGGCCACTTTTTGTGGCAAGAACGCACTTTGAAGCTGTCCAGGCGGCAGTCGAGAATGTGTTGAAACAGGTCGAGGCGGGAGGAGGCAGCCCGGGTCTTGTACGTGGCGTGGGCGTCCTCGAACCGTATCGACATTGTCGTCGGCAGCAGGCGGTTGCCAAACACCAGGCGCCCCGTCGACACCTCCACCTGCGAGACATTGCCGGAACGTTGAGACACGTCTGGTGTACGTACGGGGACAGTGAGCGGGTGGTGCAAGCACTGCCAGAGAAGAGTACTTTCTTAACGGTAATGACCATCTAGACAGCCAAGAAAACCAGATGTGTTTTGTCAATCGCAAGTTTCATGTGAATCAATCGTAAGTTTTAGCGAGACAGAAGATTGCCTGACTTAGACATTTCGTCAAATGCACTAAGATGTGATAGCACTAGCAAGCAGTTCCTACACTGTATGCAGACCCCGTTCCTATGCAGCGGGGGTGACCAATAGCAATGCTTCGTTCCACACACTCTCTCTCTCGTGGCCTTGCTACGGTGCAACCAACAAGAGCGAGCGAGGTTTGTGCGGGGTTTCCAAATGAGCTACCGCTTTAAAATAACAAGTTTTAGAGCAATAGCTTTATGGGCGGCACGTTGCAGAAATTTCGTCCTCGTCCCTTGTCGTCTCGGAGCGTGCGGGGAAAATAGAAAAACCCTTCGTCTCTCTCTTCTTGCCGCGAGGAGAGGGAAGTCGGGGCTTTCTGTCCACTGTGCAGCGCGCAGAGAGCAAAGAGGGCAGTCCTGGCGTCCTGCCAAGAATTGCGCAACGAAGAGAGATTTATTGTATCGTCTGCTTGAAAGACTTGTTTTCAGAGATTACTCGCGTCATGCGAAATCCCACTTTGGCAGTATCCAGCTGCTACGCATAATGTTGGATGGTTTTAGAAACTTTAACCGTGCTTACCCACTTGCTTCACGGATCACTGGTGGCAGTCGTCGGTGGCATCCACGACGGCTACGAGAATTAACCACGTCGCACCTCGGTCCTCAGGTATGTGACAACACCATTCTACCCGCATTGCCCGTGCTACAGCTATTGCTTTCATTTCTAAGCACATTGTGGGCGAAAAATACGACATTTTTACCTGCTTTTACACTGTGGAGTTTGTCAACGACAGCACTATTCAGTACGATCGCATGTGCCGAAGCCGCATCAGTGGCTCTGGTGGGTTCAAATCCTAACCGCGGTGCCCGCAATCTGACAGAAGCTTACTGCAGAGAAGGCACCGTGTAACCGAGATTTCGGTTCCATGTCGAAAGATCCCCAGGTGGTTGAAATTAATCCTCAATCCTCTGCTGGGGCGTGCCAGATGCCTTTCTTTAGTTTGACAAATAAAAATCCCAATTTTTTCCTCTTATTTTTTTTTTTATGTACCTAAGACAAGGTGCTGTTGCACAAGAGTGAACGGAGCTATTGTCAGCATATCAATGCACCCGAACGTGAACATCTGACAGTAATCTGTGTGGTTGGGGCAAAACTAATTAAAAAGGGGAAACATTAAAAGACATATGCAAAGAAAAAAAAAATTTTTAACCGCCTAGGTAGAAAAAGAATGCCAGAAATTAATTCACAACTAGAAAAAAACTTTTAGAGCCATATTTTTGGCGCGAAACGAATTTGTAGTTGGCACCCGCGGGAGCCGGCTATCAGTTTTCACGTGACTGGCCACTAGTCACATGGTACACCTGTACGCCGTCGCTGCATGCTGAGCCGTTCAGCGCCGCTGCCGAAGTCCACAGAATTCCCACGACACCGCCACCGCCGCCGCACGCTGAGCGTAGCGCGTCACCGGCTGAACGCATTTCTTTTTCTTTATACGCAGAAAGCAAATTAAAATATTGTTTCAAATAAAAATAAAAAAAAGCCTTCACAAGTCCCATTCAACCAAAAAAATTTAAAAATTAAAAATTCAGAAAAAAGTTTTTATCATCGTCATTATTTAGCGACTTTTCTCCACGCCGCCACCGGTAAGGAACACTTCTGCACGCTGCCGCCGTCAATTTCTGACCGGCGCACAGGTCTACCACGTGGTGCTTGCACTCTTTCAGGAGCTTGCTATGGGCTCTAAAAGTTACCTATTAATCTTTGTTTTTCTGTTGCACTTAAAACAAAGATTAATAAGCAACTTTTAGGGCCCATAGGAAGCTCCCGAAAAAGCGCAAGCACCACGTGACTGTAGTAGCCCTATTTCCACAGGCTCCCGCGGGCGCCAACTACAAATTCATGTCCCGTTGTAAATATAGCTCTGAATATTTTTTTTTTTCGTTGTATATTTTTTTTTATTATGACATCTTTTTTTAATCCAAACAGATTAAACAAAAAATTTTCCTTTGCATATGTTTTTTAATGCTACACACGCCGACAGACTGGTTCCAATAAAGTAGACTAGATCACCTCGAGTAGCTGATGGGCCATTTCCATCCCCAGCCAGGCTAATCGTACGACTGACCCAAGACACGTATTCTGCGGTTCTGATCTAACCGGGGACTTAGCCTGCCCACCTTGAGAACGGGCACAAGGTCCCTCCACGGGCGCTCCTCCTCGGTGCTGGGCACTGGAGCCGGCGGGGCTTTGGGACTGTCTGGAGGCAGCACGCTGGGCTCCAGCCCGAAGAGGCGCTCCAGCCTCGAGTAGAGCTGCGACCGGTTGTACACGTGGAGCTCCAGGCCGTTCAGCAGCAGCAGCACACGGGCCTCTGCATCCGTGCACGCTGCACAACCGCCGCGCCGCTTCGTCACGTACGCTTTCGTCGTCCATCGTCTGGTACAGACTCGTAAATAGGGTTTCGCATTTTGGTGGTTTATTCTTTTTGGAATTCAGGAGTGTTCCTTCGGAATTAATTCGATCCCGCCTTTTTCGGTGTCCATTCTCGTTGTGAGACAAAAAATGTGCGTTTTATCTGAGCTTATGCATAAAGAAAACAGGAGATGGGCATGGGATACCCTAACCACCAGGGAATATGCCTAAGTATTGGGAAACGTGCCGGCATTAATGAGAGAGGGAAAGGGGTAAAGGGGTTTGATTCCCAAAGAAAGAAGCAACCTTGTGGACAGTCGTTGGCAGCTGTGTTCCAAGTCAAAACAAAATAAAGCTGTAGATAAAACATTCATTTCCGTGAAGCTTGGCTTTCCGTGAAGCTTGGTTTTAGTCAGAGATAGCTTCCGTTCAGTCGCGATTTTCCTGCTTTCTCCGATTTTGATCAAAGTGACCCGGGGGTTACCTAAAAGAAGTGCGCATTGTTGCTAACAGAGGGTGCCACTGACCCGCATAAAAAGAAAATAAAAAGGACAACGACAACGGCATGGTTCCTCAATGGCGCAGAAGCTGTGCTGGTGGTTCGACAAACGAGAGGCTTGCGCCGAGTGCATGTGAGTCGGAGTTAATCTGGGAGAATAATAAACGGAAGAAAAGTTACCAGCTGGTCGACTACAGCATTTTCCCTCAAACGTCTACATACAGCCATTTAATTTTTGTTATTCTGCATTTTATTAGACGGGGAACATTGAGAAAAAAGCTGGAACAACAAAGTCGACTCCCTGCATTGACAGAGGGGGCAAACGTACTGCGGGGAAACTCCTTCTTGACGTAGGGTATCCACCAGCGGAAGACGAGCCATCCGTCCTGGGCCCGCACGGTGAAGTCCGGAGTCACGTAAGCCGCGTCACGGAACATCAACTTGCCCGAAAGTACGGACAAGGACACTGAGCCTGCGAAAAGGCGGGAGTCATGGGGTAAAAGCCTGTGCCGAGGTCAAGTTACGGCAAATAAGCCTGTCGTTCAGGGGCGCTATAGTCGGTGACAAGATAACAGAAGCTCCTCTCTTAACCTGCAACAGAACATAGTTTTTGAGACACTGCCTCCCATTCAAAAGGTGCTGACATGCACAATTTTAACCTATTACACAAAAAATGTGGTCAACAAACCATGCTTTATATAAATAAACTGCTACTCCTCCAGTTACTCTGCACTGCCTAAGTTTTATGTCAGAGCTAAACATGGATTCTAGAAGCCACACACTGGATCGGTCGGTAAGGCAGGCAGAGATGGTCAAATCCAGGATGATGTCCGAATTGCACTAGCATACCAATTCAATTGTTGCATTGTACTATTTCCCTGCCAGAAGCTCATGTAACATCTGCTCAGTGGCAAATCTTTTCAGCACTTGTACTGTCTTGCTTGCTTGACCATGTCCCACCTGTGCTATTTTATTTGTATAGAAAAACGTGCCAACTAGCCCAGCAACATACTTTACCAGAAAATGTTTAGTTTACCTAAATCATCCCAAAGTTTGATTCATTCTCCCGAAATTTATTTGCTGGACAATCTGCAGCATCGTAGAAACTACACACCACTGTGTTCATCCTATAGGCAGAAAATGGCATCCCCCAATAACTCGTGGGAGCCCATACCACCGAGGGCAAAGACTTTTTCTTGGGGGTCTGTATCAGATGCCAGGGCAGACTTTAGCCCGTGGCTCTTTCTTGGACCCCCTTCAAAACCACCTTCCCACTGCAACTAAGTCTACAACAGCCTTCAACTCCCATACAGAGCAAAACTACAATCTAAAAGTCAACCAGCACCTACCCAAGCAGCACGGATTTTGGCCAAGCAATGGCCAATGTGTGGCGATGGTCTTTTGGCCAGTGGCCAGAGAGTGGCCATTCATTGGCCAATGCTTGGCCGATGGCTGATGGCCAGTGGCCATTGGCCAATGGCCAGATAAAGGCCAGTCACCAGCCAGTCTCTGGCCACTGTCTGGCCACTTGGCCAAGGACCATCGCCAGCCATTGGCCGATGACTGGCCAACTCTGTGCTGCTTGGGTAGGTCCGTAACTGCAGAGGGTCGCTGCAGCCACGATCCTATGCTGCCACGCTACATACCGTCTCCGGACCGCCAAAAGAGAAGGCCATCAGCGGGTGCTTTGTCGTTCTTCCCTTGTCATAAATGTTGATGTGGCCTATGCCTTACAAAGTTAAGGTCCATACTTGTAAAAGAAATCCACGTAAGTTGCACCATTGTATGAAAAACATAACAAAAATTTGGGAAGAACATTCAATTTGTATGGTACAAATTATGGTATAGTATAACATTGAAAGTATAAACAGGGGAAGAGAGAAAACGGACAAACATGTTGTTTTGTTCGTCCACGCGTCTATAGCTTTCACGTACTGAAGCGACTTTGCGAAACCTACTTTGCGAAACCGAAACTTTGCGAAAGGAGCCTAGCGAAACCGTTCAGAAATCCAGCATCCTAGATTTCAGAATGCATCGAACTGCTTGATCGGGGTCCCATAATTTATGAGCCGCATTTAAAACATGAGCTGCAAAGAGGAAACAAAAGCATTGGAAAGGCGGAGTCTGCAAAAGACTCCGCCTTTCCTCCCCGCCGCACAACAATAGAATGCATGCGCGTGTGCGGCCATTCAGTGCAGGAGGCGTCCGCCATTAAAGGGATACTACAACGAAATTTTGGCACTCATTTTTTGGTCTATATGTGTTCAAAGGAGCAGTATCACATCGAACATACCAATATCTTGTTAAAAGAGTCACGAAAAGGAATTTTAAAATGAATTAAACGGTTAGCAGACAGCACCTGGTGGATGTTGCTAACGCCTCATTTGTAATGCCCGTCTAGGAACCTTGACAGCTGGTGACGGTGAGTGTCTCGCCTCCGGCCACGACGAGAGAAGCGGGGCAGGAGGAACTCCCCTCTTCCCGAGAATGCTTTTTGCGTGTCACAGAAGTCGCTATTGTCCCCCTACAAGATTATAGAAGATTAACCCATCACTCAAAATTCGTACAAAAGCAGCTGCTTCGGTGGCTGGAACGACTAGGCCATCTTCTCGACGTCAGCCTTGTTGTAGCTTTGTTCGTCCCGAGACGACTTACGTCACGATTGCGTTGGATGTCACGTGGTCTCCGCTGGGCCTTCTCCAGGCGCCTGCTAGAGTGGGCCGTTTATAACGAAAAATACAGCCACAAGGCTCAAAATACAAATGTGCGATTGTCATTTACGGATATTGTGGATCATATTCAACCTATTTTTGAACACGACGGGAATATTTCGTATTTCGTTGAAGTATCCCTTTAAATTGCAAACGCTCTTTGTGGGTTGAGTTGCTCAACCCTCTTAAATCCAGTCTCTCACCGATGCGGACGTAGGCATCGGCCACGAAGCGGTTGAGGACCTTGGTGAGCAGAAAGCCCAGGACGCGGGCATTGTAGAAGGTGACGTAGATGACCCAGGCAGTGGCGGCCAGCAGGGCGCACAGCAGCCAGGCAAAGTTGGAGTCCAGCGGCAGCTTCTCGAGGGGCGCCGTCGTGTTCCAGGCCGCCAGGTGTGCCATCCCGGCCTCCGGGCTGTCCGGGGGCAGCCCGGGTCTGCAAGCATGAACAGGGGTCACGCACGAGAAAACTGCACGTTTCAATTGACCGTTTTCAAAAGTGCACGCCATCTAGTGGCTGCTTTGCCAATGATCCAAGTATGCATTGTTTGGGCTCATACTCCGACGCAAGGGCTGCATCAGCATCAGGCATGAACTCGGCTCAGCTCATATAGGGAATGAGCACTGCGTTGGCGTTCGGCGAGACTCGGATACTATCACACACTTCGTGCCCGAGAATTGGAGACCATCAATGTGCTTCATGGTGTTTTGAAAAGGATCTTACAGAGCCTTCGTAGGAGAGATCTCATAGTGTATCCTTTATCACCTCCCACTGGCATAAATGGGAACTTTTTTTAGGGGAGTGAACAGGTACCTGGGTGTGAAGATTCAAGCCCCTCTTTCCTCCTCCTCCTCCTCCTCCTCCTCCTATTCCTCCTCCTCCTCCTCCTCCTCCTCCTCCCCCCCCCCCTCAACCCACCCTCTGCCTACATTGCTGCCACTTTCCCAAGGTTCCATGTTGCAGTTTGGGAGTGTTGATTTAACTACAAACCTTCTGGTACTGGAGATGCAGTCGTGGATCGCAGAGGTTCAAAATAGCTAGCCGAGTTTGGTCTTTTTCCTGAATAAAACACTGGCTAGACATCTGCGTAACGACGTACTTTCGCAGCTGAGCTGCGGCAATTCGTAGAAAAAGTTCAGCGCGTGCGTGCGCGAGTGTGAATTGGGTTGCGGTTGTCATGTATACCGAGTGCAGCGATTTCACGAATCCGGTGCCAAAGGATGCGTTCGAACTTCCAATGAGGTAGAAAAGTTCGTTTTATGAGCGAAGTCTCCGGGTTTCAGTGGGTAAATGTGCAGGCGCAAAAGCGGACCGTTAGAGACGGACACTCCAACACAAACACAAGCATCGCCAGCATCTCGTCCGCATTCACACGAAGTGAAGCACCTCTGCCAAGAGAGAACGCGAGAGAAAGGACGTTTGAGAAGCTCAGCAAGTCACAGGCACGACCATACGTACACTTGTGTAGAATTCATCGTGTGTTGAATCCCATCGGGCTGACAGATATCTCCCACTGGGGATCGCTCGCCATCGCAGCAGCAGAACACAGATCGCCGGACTTGGCCGGACAGACGGCCAAAGAAGTGTCTCAACCAATGGATTCATTTGAACACCAAGACCTCAGTTTCAGTTTCGTTTTGTCCTCCATCGCCGCTTTTTTGTACTAGTGCGAACTGTCGGCACGGACCAGGATCCAGTGACTTTAGCACAAACAAGCAAAAGTCCCGTGCTTATTTTTTTTTTTTTAACCGAAAGGACAAACAGGCGATTATTCTTTTTTTTTTATTCTTCCTTCTTGCCTTGTGCTTTTTTGCGACGGATGCCAAGTTCCCGTCATGTGGCACTGTGTACCACTTGTACCCTGCTTGTACCTAAAGCCCCTCGATGTGTTTGCGCTTCTCTTGCTATACTTCGTTTCAGCTTCGGTCCAGACGCAGCCCAAGCTACAAGCGCGAGCTCCGGGCTTTCAACATCCCTGCCAAGTACGCGCGCTCGTGCAATGCAAGCACTGTTCTGGGCCACATGCTCGCGCTTGTAGCATCGGCTGCGTCCGGACCGAAGCTGAAACGAAGTATAGTAGCGTCGGTAGCGTCAAATGCGCGAGTGCGCGAGGCCCATGTCTCGAGCCTCTCGAGCGGCCCTTGGAAGCAAATGGCGGCACAGCACTGAAATGAGCGGGCCTTGGAAGCGAATGGCGGCGGAGCACATGCTCATGGCACGTGTCTCGCGCGCTTCCACAACAATGGTTGGCGGTACTTGTAAAAAAACGCTTTTATCAAGGGGCTTTACTTGTACCGCACAAGATTCGGACGTTTTCGAATGCTCGTAAGCTGCATTATATCAAGACTGGCCCTTACGTTATGGTGGCTATACTTACGTATCCACTTACTCCACTTACGTATCCATGTGCCTTCCTCCTCCTGTTCCTGTTCCTCCTTTCGGCGGATTTATTACTTTTAAGTAGGATGGGCGGCAGACTATATTAGTGCACTGCAACCCAGAGAATGTCGAGTGAAAGTTTGCACTGCGCATAAGCCATGGGTTCCGCCCCTACAAGTTGACAAATATTGTAGTGCCATGGGGACATGTAATCGACATTGTTTATTGACCCCAGGAAGACCTAATCAGTTAAAAAAATGTTTAAAAAAAAAAAAAGCCATATTTTAAGGCAGACCAACTTCCTGCTACCTGAACATCCATAAAACCAAGCAGGGTGTGACAATGGCTCATTTCGTCCAGCGGGAGAAAATGGCAAGGATGTTCAGCATGCAACGTTAGCATCAATATGCTCGTAGCAGTGCCACAACAGCACTTCGCCACACCATGAACACCAATAAAGAAAAAAAAAAATGTCTTCACCGTTGGTCTCACTCGTAAGTGCCGCACAACGAATATTTACTTGTTAGCCATAACCAAAGTGGGCATGGCACATTGAGCTTGATGCAATGAAGACAGGCTGCAGTGAAGCTATGGTGGGCTAGTGAAGACCCTCTATGTACTTCTTCCACCTTCTATTCCCTGCGGCACAGGGTGGCATTGCTATCCACTTATCAAATCGACGGCTCTCCACCCCGCTATAATCCACCACAGCACCAAACGCCGAATCACTTTCGCAAGCACGATCGTCACACCTCCCCCACCTAGCCCACCGTTCTTCGGCAAGGCAATGAATCCTGGTGGCACCCTGAAGAACGCTTTGGACCAGTCAAAGTAAAATATAACAGCTTTATTTCCATTTCTCTCTCACTGGAAAAATTGTCAGGCACTTCAAGTGGGGAGGATTGCCCTTGTCACACACCAAGCAGTATGCCAGCATAGAGCAAAGTTCATGACAAGATGCAATGTTTCCCATCCGGGCAACCGATGTAAAGAACGGCCACAGACCCTGTCGGGTGGGAAGAGAATCATGTCGCACCAAAAGGCAACGCACTTCCTCCACGGTACAATGGAGAGCACCGAACCATGGGGGAAAATGGCGCAAGGAGAAAGGGCTGGCTCATCGGGTCAACAAAAGGCACGGCAGTGGGGGCTAGAAAGGCCCGCTCGAGGCAGCGTCCGGCCTCGAGACCCCTTCGGGACTCCAGCAAGAACACAAAAGCGTTGGCCTCCACTAAAGTTACCCACAAGACGAGAACAGCAGGCAGGTCTTTCGGTTGTCCCGGCCCCAGCACGAGCTTCCTACCTTTGACGACGCTTCAGCGTCCCTCAAGCTTAGAGCGTGAACACGCCGCCAAAGCACGGCTGAAGGCAACAAGCCCATGCTGGAGGCCAGGCGTTCCAAAGAAATGACCCGCCGTTCTCATCTCGTCAGTGACTATGGCATATTCACGAGCCTTCTTGAGTAGACCAGGCACTTTACAAGCGGGACTGAGGAGAAACTGACGATTGGCCATCAAATGTCACACATAGTGGGGCTCGAGGACGACTGTGGCTGTTACTCTAAACAGTGCACGGGACTACATACATCAGGCAGAGCTCTTTGAAGACATGGTTAGCTCACTTGTCAAAACTTTTTACAGGTCCTAAATACTGCACTGTCGCTGGTACCGGAAAGCGCACCACAAGGCTGACCCCACCTCAGCTCTGGTTAGCGGCGCAGCTCCTAGCATCGGCGACTATAAAAATACTCCTTTGTATCACAAGCGAGGGATATTTCGTTGAGCTCGACAACGGGGCCGGTTGGTCGGTTCCAACCGCTGCCGCGAGTCGTATTGTGCTTCAAGATCACACGGCTACTTTTGCCAGACTCTTTTTGTGCAGTGATCACAGTGTTAAAAGCTTGCCAGCCAGTATGGTCCCTACATAGACCCCAAAAAACGTGGTCAGTTTTCCTCCTGGTAGATTCTTTTACAGGTACTTGCCCTCCATGCAGTGCATGCACGAGCATACATACATACATACAGACATATACATACATACATATCTACAAGAGATGCATATTGCGGCACACCGGAGTTTAGAGAACCGTGCTCTAGTCACACTAAATTTGATGAGCTCTGTTAGCAAACCCTAGTTTAGGAAGAATAATCTTGGGAAAGTTTTTCTCGAGATAGACTACAACCAACCGTAATAATAGCAATCTCGCTGCAATTACGAAATTATGGGAGCAGACAAGCGTACACGTAAACATTGGTTGAGATGATTTTTCTCGGGAACAGCCAAATTCTCAAGTGCCAATGGTACTCCTCCAGATACACCAGTGCAGTTTGCACTGTGTGTGAGAAAAGCTAGTTTTAAGCTTAAGTATAGACACACAGAACCTTCCTATACTTTAATACAACTTTATCTGGCAAAAAAAAATCCTTGTGCAACTGCATCAGAAGATAGTACCCCGCAAGGTACAATGTACTCTGTAAATATTCCAGAATTTCATTGCCTATCTCTTTGATTACATTTCCATGCACAATTATCAATTATTATCTTAATTATTATTACTATTATTAAAATATTTTGACATGGGAAATACTTTCCAGATAAGTTGTGTGACACAGTACCAACACGAGTACCAACACGACATTAACACTTTTGACGCATTGTTCGTACAGTTTAGCGTTTACCGCTGAGTTGGCGCACCAGACAGGCGCATTCCAATCTACTACCGTAAAATCCCGAGAGATGCCCCATTCCCGAAAGGTAACCCACCCCTATTTTTGGCTTGATTTGCTATTTTCTTTTAAACACCGAAAGATAGCCCACTCCTAGAAATCAGTGTTCGGATCAACAATGTCCTTGGCGTAAATGCGTCTCGTAAGCTATGGCCGGATATAAGCGAACATTGCTGACTGGGAAGCAGAGTCACCTTTGCTTCATTGCCCCTCGCCGTGATAACAAGTTTGACAGAGATGCATGATCTAAAAATAGCCTTTTTCAACTTTTCTTGATTGCAAACCAAAAGTTAACCCACTCCTTATTTCCACGCAATTTTTTCTCGATTTTAGATGGGCTATTTCTCGGGATTTTACGGCATCCTTTGAGTTCTAAGAGGATAAGAAAATAGGGAGAGATTGCATATCACACCCTCCACATTATAGTATAGATATTCCTAAATTCTAAAACGTTTCCTAAAAGAAACACTTCCGTCCCGTCAAACGCAGCTCATTAAAAAGCACGAAGTGCAGTTTCCCGAAGTGATCAGCCCTCTCTAAAAGAAATCCACGCAGGGCCAATCTACACTCAAGGCCCAACTCGCACGGGCCGACGTCCCCAATTTGCAAAAACAACCGACGCAACAGCTTGACCTCTCCATGCGTCGCTCTTACGCGGGACCCCGAAAGCCGGACACGACAGTCGTCTCCAAAACGACGAGTGCAAGTGTGCGCTGCGGGTGCAAACGCCGCCCTATGTACAAAACCCAGCACCCTCCAAAGTGCGGGAGAAATCTCCGGTGCGCCCCACTTGGTCGGGCCCTCGCACTTCGGATTGAAGTGGTTATGGTCACTGAAAGGGTGAGAACAGGGAGGAGCTTCAGTTGCCTCGCATCCAACGCCAGCTTCCCACCTTCGACGGCCCACGCACCTCGAGCGCAAGCATGCGGTCAGCGGGGAGCGCGCGATGGAAACCGGGCAATCGAAAGACACACTCGGCCGTTCCCGCTCTGTCAGTGACTAGAGTGATGCTCTGGGTTTTAAGCTCGTAACTTTATACAAAATAAAACAAAATTAGGGTTAAAAAAAAGAGGCCTAGGCACACCATTTTCTACAACTTTTAAGTCAAGCACCGAGCAATCCGCACGTCGACGGATTCCCGGTGGCAGCGAAACTTGCCTTGCGCGCGCGATTGCGACAAGGTACCGGGTCGTAAAAATGAACGGGAGTGAACGTGCAGCGCGGTCTGGTGCCTGCACAGTGCAAACAGTCCAGAGGGCGCTGCCCGGAGGGTGCCGGGGGCACCGGCGAGATGGCCGGAGGTGGCAGCGTGGGCGGCTGTCAACTGCGCTGCATGATGGTGCGGCACTCCAGGTCCAGGGTGGGGGCACCACCTCTCGATCGACTCCTCGCTAGCTGGGCCTTGTTCGCTGCTGTGAAAAGCACCCCCATTCTAATTATTCTCTCGAAAGACTTCCCGACAAAAACGAGAGTCGACAATGCATTTTGTAAACCACCCAAAGCATGCGTCGCGTTGTAGAGGATACTGGTGCCTCGCAAACACACCAACTGCACTTGCAAGGCTGCATGACTTTAAAAAGTGATGTTACTTCCAAAATGCTGTGCGCAGCCTACGAAAAAGGGTCTAGAGGCAACTTTTCCAGTCTGGATTCATTACATTACTACCATTTTAAAAAGACTGCTCACATTGCAGGTACAATTTACCTGCAATGTAATCTTAAAAAGATTACACCTCCAACTTGTACAACTTGCAAATAAGACAGCCTTAGACAACTCAAAACCGTACATTCCGGCACTAAGAGTGGTTCTGTCCTCCCTCCCGTTCGCAATAACCAGACGCACTCACCGTTGGTGCTCCTGGGGGGCCTGCGCCTCTGCTTGTGCGAAAAGGCCGAGCCCGTCTTGAGCGCCTCCAGCAGGCTGTCCATGACCCCCTCTTGGTCTTGACCTGGGGAGGGAAATGTCGCATCAGTGCACGCCACCCCTCAAGTCCTAGGCAGTGCACATGACCTCTCAAGCACCTAAAGACCCTGAAGACTCTCCAAACCCTGAAAACTCTCATCAAGACCCCGAAGACTCTTAAGCCCCTCAAGACCCCCAACTCTTAAGACCTCAAGGACTTTAGAATCTCAAGTCCCTCAGGTCTCAAAACCCTCAAGCTCCTCAAAACTTTCAAGACCCTAAAGACTCAAGTCCCTAAAGACTCAAGCCCCTAAAGACTCAAGTCCCTAAAGACTCAAGCCCCTAAAGGCTCAAGCCCCTCAGGACTTAAACTCTCAGGTCGCACAAGACTCTCAAGCCCCACAAGACTCTCAACACTCTCAAGCCCCACAAGACTCTCAAGCCCCACAAGATGCTCAAAGCCCACAAGACTCTCAAGCCCCACAAGACTCTCAAGTCCCACAAGACTCTCAAGTCCCACAAGACTCTCAAGTCCCACAAGACTCTCAAGTTCCACAGGACACTCAAGCCCCTCAGACCTCCGTCAGTTCCCTCACCTGAGCTGATGTCGACAAGCTGCTGCTTCTTTGCCAGCCGCTCCTGTTTCTCCCGGTCCGCCTTTTCCCGTGCCTCCTTGTCCCGCACACGCTTTTCCTCCAGCTCCCTGGCACGTACATTCTCTGCATGGGCCGCCTGCACGCATACACACAGGGGCACAAATGAGCTCGCTTCTCCACTCTAACGCCCTGCTGAGGATGGGCAAGTGGGTACAAATACGGCACGAGCACAAGGTTAACTAGGAGACTTGTAAAGCCCTGCACGGATAACAGTTGGATCATCCGCATCTGCAGACTTTTTATCCACGTCCGAACCGCATCCGCAATGTTCTTAAATAATTGTATCCGCATGCCATTCGCATCTGCAAACTATGTATCCGTATCCAAACCGCATCCACGAAATTCGGAGCCGCATCCGACCCTCAATCCGTGCATTAATTTTACATCATAATATCAAGCCTGAAAAAAATTTAAAAAAAGCATCTGGATGGTACCCTATAAGCCGTCTGCTTACCTTTCTACAAAAAACTATTTGTGTCAGAATACGGTGAAAGTCATTTCATCGCATTTATAAAATAAGCTATCATCCTTCCAGAGACACTTCCATTGGTGGAAAGACAATTGCAGTTATGAGATTGTCTTGGGAGTCGGTCACACTGACACTATGTCCAGAAGACACACTCAAAAGGAAGGAAATTTATATTTATTTTCCTTCATGCTTTGTAAAACCCACTACAAGCAGACACATATTTCATGAACATCAAAATTGACAAAGGAGAGACTAATAACTTTGTGTCATTTTATTTAGGCCAAACAATAAAAAAGTGGGAGGAAAGGCGCTCACTTGCCGCAGTGAAATACTCGTATATATGTGGTACATCACTGGGAAAATAGCGCAATATTCAATAATGGCAAACACCTCCTATCACTTTCAGTTTTAAGCACAAAACGTCAACTGCATGCTCGGAACCATATACTTAAAAACAACTAAGTACCAACTGTGTAAAAAAGAAAAGATGCAGACATGCAGCGTTTTCTCATGTTGAGGTTGGTGTAGAAAAAGAAAACAGAATATCATACACATGGATGGATTCAGACTGGGTTGCCTCTCTTAAAGGGGTACTCCAGCGATTTTTTCATGGTCACTGATTTGCCTCAAAATTGGCTCAACACGCCGATAGACATGGCTCTACGAGTTCCCCAAGTTTTGTGTGAAAAGAAAAAAAATTTGCGTTGTTATTGAATTTTCGAATTTCGTTTTCATGGTGTTTCTCAAACCGGGAGCCCCTACTGGCAACATTGAAGTGTGACGACAGAAATGGTACAAAGTGGGCAGTAAGCCATGTTCCCAACTGATTACAAGACGTTTGATGGTAGGAAAAGAATGTTTGGTAACTGATTCACTGAGAAGCACACAAAAAACACTCGACATACTCTGTTTAAGACTACATGCACAACCTGAAAGTCTGTACCATGTGTGACGTCACACCACTGAAGAGCGCGCGAAAATTTGAATGCTGGTTTCGGCATCATCTTCATTTATGGTTTTCTCAATTGCTATCTTGAATTTCGAGAAAATAAATAGCATACCATGACGACTGAAGTCCGGGTAGTCAGAAAATGCAATTTTTTTAGGTACCTCAAAAAACGGCCGGAGTACCCCTTTAAATTAATACCTGCTATTGAGAAGTCTCTCTCCATTGGTTCACTTGATGCTGGGATGACATAGATGAACTGTGCTACAAGAATGAGGTCCAGAACCTCGTGCTGGCACGAGTTCCACCACTCCAGAGGATCAAATTTAGTCTCCTCAATATATACTTGTATTTGAACGGTACTAGCGCACGCGTATGAAGAAGAGAGAAGAGACAGAAAAGAGCGCTACTCACAACTGTATTTACAAAGATGAAGAAAAGGAAGAACATCGTCAAGATACCGTTCAAATGTCTAACTACCAACTAGCCCAGTTATCAACCCTTTTACAGTATATACTTGTAGGTGAAGAAGCCATTTGCAGGCTTCTACTTTCTTGTGGCTTGCACATTTCAGCTTGTCTTTGCCTAAAGAATGTTTTTTGCTCCTTCACTGCCAAACAAGAACACGTTTTCCGGGACGACCGGTACTTCTGCGTTCTTTACATTTTCTAGAAACAGCACTTTCGGCGAGATAGAACGTTCCAAAGCGACCTTTCGTGAAAATCGTATCTTTCTTGAGGTAACAATTTTCTCTCCGATTAGCAACTTTTATCTAAGAGAGTAGTTTGCCCCCGCAATACATTCAATGATGCACTTCATGGTATCGCTCACTTATGAACTCTACACTGTGCGGTCACACACGTTTCTGGGCCGCTTCGGCAAAAATGTAGATCCAAACCTGCGGGCATGCGATCCGCAATCCACCATATCTGATTCATTTCTATCCGAATTTGCTAATTTACTGCGGATATCCGTGGATGATCCACAGGTACGCAGGGCTCTAGGGACTTGGCGTCTAAAATAAAAAAATATCCTGGGTAAAATGCACACATACAATCACACTTAACTGTAATTAGACCAGCATGGCAGAATTTTCTTGAAATATTCCCTGTTCATACACTGTCCTGGCTATTAAATCCACAAAAGATGTTGCAAACAATTAGAGTAAAAAGTCATAAGTTAGTGTGACTTCTATCCCCTAAACTTAGCAGAATGCCTACAAAAGGAGCCCCAGAGCACATGAGGGTGGGGGTAGCTAGCCCCAATGGAATCAAAAAAGAACCTAGCGCATGACAACGTGCAAAATGTGTGCAAGCAGCAAAGCCCGCAAGGTCGCCAACGTACCGCAAACTGCTCCTTAAAGGTCTTGATGTCTCCAAAGAACTCGTCCAGGGTGTACTTCTTGGCCTCGAAGACAAAGAACTCGGCCAGGAACTCGTAGAGCTTCTTCATCTTGGCAAACATGCTCGAGAGCAGTTCATGTTCCTGCTGCGCTTGCTCATAGAAGCCCTGGCAAGCAGGTGGGTCAAGAAATTCACCGCCAGAAATCTGACAGAGGCAACAAATAAAACGAAACAAAGGCACTAGCCCTCAATTTACGGCTGCACCATCTTGAAAGTTGCGTCATTTGCGCAACAGACGTCAAATAGAAGTTGACCAGCACTCTTTAGTTGACATCTTCTCAATCTTAGCGTACACGCAAGTTTTCTTCAAGTTGACCTTTTTAGAGCATTTACGGAAGGTACAAACTTTGACAGTCTAGCTAGGCATTTGTCAAGTGGGTTGCAAATTATTCTGTATGATGGAAATGTGCAGTTCATCCAGTCTTGGGTAGGTTACTTTCAAAAAGGGATTTGTTTTTAGAGCTACTTTCAGATAAAATTAGCAAAGTTACCGTTACGGTCACCGCAACGACAGATTTGTTAGTTACATAAAGTAATGCCATTACTTTTAAATTACTTTTCCAAAAGACTACAAATAAAAACAGAGAGTGCCAATAAAGTTGGCGCAAGGCAACCATGAACCTAAAAATGCAAGAACGTATTTGAAAAATGCAAGGAATGTCTACATTGCAATTAATCAATATCTTATTGCTAAAGAAACTGAAAAGTAATGACAAAATTAATGTCATTACTCTCATCGTTACTTCAGAAAAGCAATACGTAGAACACAAGTCACCTTTCGAAAAGGTAGCGCTTTACAGTTAAGTGTTACCAAAAAAAAGTAACGAAGTTGCAGTAACGCGTCACTTGTAACACGTTACTACCCAAGACTGAGTTCATTGCTCACATCTCGTGGTGAACATGGAAACGAAGAAAGGATACGGCCATGACATCGCCAAACCGATCGTTGGGCTCTTGTGGCTTGAAGGTCTTGAGGTCGGTGCCTAGCTGAGTGATGCACTTCTTCATCTGGTTCAGCTGTTTCTCCAGCTGCTCAGGGGACACTGCACAATTCAAAGGACAAGTTAGCACCAGCCTCTTCAAGGCTTTCTATGACAGAAGGTCCTTTTGGGATATTAAATTTTTGCATATGTCAATTTAGTTTCATAAACAGTCCCACACCCCTTGCTTTCGTGAACTTTCACGTCCTTGCTAGTACAGTTAGCACTTGTCCTGCGTCGCTGGTTTCTTCCCCCCCATCCGCGAGTTTCTTTGCGCTGTTCAAACCATATGTATAATGAATACTAACTAGCCCAGTTCTCGACCTTATTACAAATTAAAGAAATGGCAAAGTATTTTACCCAAACCTTTATAGCGACCCATCACCGGTTTTGCAAATCCAACATGTTTTTGATATGCAGATTACTAACGTAGATGTTTATTGTGCCAATCTGTCTTTAGAAACCAGAATTTATGCATGGTATAAACTGATTTGTACATACATGTTTGTGAGCTTCACAAGCTTTACAAGGCTTACAAGCTGTTGTAATAAAAATAAATAAACGTTGCCTGATCGATCGAGTGAAATTGAAGGCCGTCGTAGCTACACTCACCCCTGGCCGCCTTCTCTGTGTAGCTCAGCTCGTCGCCAAAGGTCAGCGTCTCGGGAAACTTCTTCTCCATCGTCTCGGCCAAGAAGTGCACGAGCGTCGTCTTCTGGTCGTGCGCCTTGGTGCTGGACAGCTGCAACAAGAGACAGAAATCACCACTGGCACCGGAGCACTCGCGCGAAGGGTCCAACGCCGTCGCACGGGGTCACAGTCGGTGCCACAGATACCAATATAAAAATAAACCAGAGCCAAAACTAAAATTTAAGCATGCCTTGGTCATATCTGGTAGACCCGGAGATGCACAGAATGTGTTGTGAATCAGCTGGGCACATGTGTGTGCATCGAGTCACGTGGCTCTGGCATCACATGACGTCATGATATATCAGACGATGTCAGGGTGTAACGCACCAACCTGACATAAAGGTAATGGAAACAGTATAGCCCCTACAGGGCTTTACGGCTCATATCATCCAGACCTGTGCGTCAATAGAGCTTAAAAGTCAAGCATGTGTAGTTTTTCTCATAAAACGCAGCCCTACAACACACTCTCCGTTAAAAGCAATCCAGGAAACAAAAGGCAATATGGATCAGGGAGTGTTTGAGGGCTGTGAAGCCAGGTGTGCAACGCAGAAGAGAGGAGGAGAGTTTGGAGACCTTTGGCAGGAAGCTGATGTCGAATCCGATGGCCTGCGCATTACGGGAACCCGTGTTCATGTAGTTCCCCAGGAGCAGGACCAGCTCCAGGACCTTGGCGAACTTCCGGCTGGAGCGCACTTCCTCGCAGGCTTCCGTCGCAGCCACGATACCCTGCAGAAAGGAAAAAAGAAGGGTGGTGCCGGTGGAAACCCCGGCACGGGCGCGCAATCTTGGAACGAGGATTTTTCACTCACGGGCTTGATGTCCTGCACCATCTCCGAGAAGCGGAGCTTGAAGCTGATGGACTCCAGCCTCGAGTGAAGTCTCTTAATGCTCCCGATCTGAAATGTCACCGCTGCATCAGTGCTGCGACGTTTGAGAAAAACTTCCAGCAGGCCCCTCTGCTAGCACCATCCTACCTTCGATTGGTCCCCCCTTCACCATCATTCTCCGTCTTTCTTAGGAGGGGGCTGGCTGAAATTGCCTCGAGGCTCATTCACACATTCGCACTCCAGCGTGCTCAAGCGCATTGCATTCAATTGTAAAGTCATACGCTGGGTATAACTGAACTGAAGGTTTTGCAGTAGAGTCGACTCTCATTAATTCAAACCCTCTTTAATTCAAATTTGTGGATAATTTAAACTTACATGCAGGTCCCATCCTATGCGTCTCTATGGGATGAAACTCCCAGTAATTTAAACTTTGCTTTATTCAAACAAATTTTCGGTCACCCTCAAGTTTGAGTTAACGAGATTCGACTGTATTTGCAAGACAAAACCTGGGCACCACCAATGAAAAAATGCCACTTGCAACACTGTTGGGATTATTTCGGACCCACAATTAAAAAAGCAGGCGTAAAAATTTATGGAGATATATACGCAGATGAGAAGCATTCTAGGGCTACCTAATAGATGACATCAGTGTGCCATCTAATGAATACAAAGGTCACTTGGCAAGCCTGCCAAAGTGACCTCCGCACGCATGCTGCAGGCATCCAATGTTGGTACATGTCAATAGTTTCCGTTAGTATCTCTAGTGGAACTCGAGCATTAAGGCCCATTCACAAACTTGCGTTTGCTTGCAACTGAGCTCTTGCAATCTCTTACAATGAGAAAAAATGCCACCACGCTGGCTTCACCTATGAAGTGTCCTGGAACTGCATTTCACTACAGTTAAGGTGTTGCAGTATTTGCAAGAAAACATATATATATACTATTTATGAGAAATGGTGGTTTATAACATTGTCGATAGTTTTTCGAGCCTATAAAAAAAAAGAATGATGAGAAAACACAAAAGAAGAAATACACGAGAACCTCAGCTGTTCAGTGTCTACCCGATATTTGGCGCCACCGTGTCCTCGCGTCGTAAGAAACCAAGACACTCGGTCGTATGCTGTTGCGAATGTATGAACGAGTTTTTACGTGGGAATGCAATGCACTCGAGCATACTCAAATGCCAAGGTGTGAGCCAGCCTTGAGCTGCAGGCTCCAAAAGAGCCGATTCTTGTCGATGCGCGAGCGAGAGGCCGCAGCTCACCGCGACGGCAAACTGCTCGGCCTCCGCCAGGTCTGCCAGGTTGTCCTTGAGCTCGGCGAGCTTCTTGAGCTGATCCGCCTCGGGCATGTACTTGATGAGTTGCTGCAACATCGCCTCCGTCAGGTGCTCCTCGTCCACCTCCAGCAGGTAGTCGCGGATCGTCGACGCCGACATCTTGAGCGAACCTTGCAGGATCACTGCAAACCAGACGGGAAGGCTTTGGGAGGTCCGCACGTGCGTGCAAGAGAACGCTTCCTTGCAAAATGCAGCCTGCTGAAAAGCGACATTCGTAAGGTTGACGTCCGCGCCCGATGACCCGCATAACCACTCGGTTGTGCAGGTTTCGTGGAAAGACGTGCAAGAGTCGAGAACAACTAAAAGCGCAACGAGTCGGCAGTTTCAAAATATCCCGAACTACTGCCCAAACGCCCCAAGTTATAACGTTTGGGCTTGTTCGATGCTCAAGCAATGTTTGATGTTGGGGTGATGTCTGTTGTTTGAGCAATGTTTGAATGTTCGCGCAATGTTTGACTGTTCAATGTCCAAGTGATGTTTGGCGTTTGAGCAATGTTTGATGTTTGAGTGTTTGATGTCTGAATGATGTTTGAGTGCTCAATGTCAGTGTGATGGTCAATATTGAAGCGAGGTTCTAGGGGGATCGGTGGCTGAGTGAGCTAGCGCACACCAGCTCGGAGCACGTGGAGCGAAAGCTCGCGCTGCAGAACCCAGGGATCCTGGGTTCGATCCTCACCCCTGCCGTTTCAATCTAAATGAGCATTGTACCAGCGTGCGGTCGTGTATCACAACTGCATGGTGCACAATAAAGACCCCAGGCTAGCGGTTGCATTGCACTGGCTAAATTGCTGATCTACAGCTAGGACACCAGACGCCCACCGAGGCAGACTAACCTCCAGCTGTATAAACATACTGCAGTGTTTGTATTCTGATAAACAAATAGCTGGATCATCGCTATGTTTCTATGCTAGGGCGCCGCCCCCTTCATCCTGCCTCCATCGATATAAGCACTGCATGGCTTGCTGTACGGGAGTGCTTGACCAGTGATACGCGCGATGGCTGACAATAAACCCATGTTGTTGTGACTACTTGGCTGGCGTCTTCCTTCTAAGACACAACACATACACACAACAATTTGCTTTTGTTTGCGAGGTTCTATGTTCAAGCAACATTCGAGTAATGTTCAACGTTCGAGTGACGTTCGAGCAATGAACGCTTCACTGTCCCATCGGGGCTTCGGGAGACCCGGTGCAAAGGAGCCACTCACTGAGGTTCTGCGCGGCCTTCCCGTCCAGCACCTTGAGCTCCTTGGACTTCTTGGTGGTGCGGACGCTCTCTTCGGGCGCCTTGTCCTTCTTGGCCGGAGGAGCCGACGAGAACTTCGAGACGAGGCCCTCGAAGATGTCCTCGCTCTCAAGCTCATCCTCGCACACGCGCAGCCAGAATGCCTTCTCCGACACCTGCACCACGAGGCGTGCAATTGGGCACGGAAACATTCACGCGCATTACCCATTACGTGCACAAGTCATGTTACGTGCACCGTTAAGCGTTTTCATCGTTGCATACATTTTCGTAGAAAACATTTCTGGGGCACATCTATGAGAGCTACTGCACAGAAAGGTTACAAAGACACACCTCCTCTCAAAATAGTTTTCCCGCATGCTTACAAAATGCCAATTAAAACTAACTCTATTTGGGGGGGGGGGGGGGGGGCGGAATTCCTTCCCCCCCCCCCCCCCCCCCCCCTAGGTGGAGGGGGAAACATATTCCCTCCTCGACCTATTCCAATATTTTATTTTTATTGCAGTACTGAAAAGGCGCGTGCCCCAAATTGTGGCGGTTGAGTTAAACCTTGTTCACACACTTGCATTTGCTTACGATAGAGTTCTGGTGATCTCATACGCAAGCGAACACACTTGCACGCTGGCACCATCTATGAGGTTGCCCTGGAAGTAAATTTCACTAGAGCGAAGGTTTTGCAAAATTTGCAGGATCAAGTATACATAGTATCTATGAGAATTGGTCGTTTATAACAATCTCAGAAGTCCCTCAAGCCCACAAAGTAAAGAATAATCTACAAAAAAAAGAGCGAATATACAGAAATCCCAAGCATTCTATGGGTAGCCGTGGAATGCATGTGTATAAAAACGCACCAAAGAAATCCGGGTGCCCGACCCACCTTTTGGGGTGCCACCTTCTTCCAGTTGGCCCTCTTGAGGGTGGTGCCCACGGTGTACTTCTTCTTGGGCTTCATCCCGTGGGGCAGCATGTCCCCTCCGCCCAGCGGGGCCATGGGTCCCCCGTTGGGCATCTGGCCCAGCATGCCCCCCAGCCCGGGAGGGGGCGGTGGAGGGGGTCCCATGCCGGGCATGGGCGGGGGAGGAGGGGGCCCCCCCATGCCCGGCATGGGAGGGGGCGGGGGTATGCCCATGCCGGGCATGGGGGGAGGAGGAGGAACGCCCCCTCCCATGCCGGGCATGGGCGGAGGAGGGGGAATGCCGCCTGGCATGGGGGGGAGGGGGAGGGGGCGGAGGTGGGGGCGCACCCCCCGTTGGTGCCAGGCCGGGCGGAACGCTCAGTTTGGCACCGTTTGGGTTCTGGAAGTGACGGAAGCAACAAACCGAGGAAGGGTTAAAATGTATTCGTCCATGTACCGTCGTGTTTCAGCAAAATTGTTCAGCTGTCCACATTAATGAAGCATGAACCAACTAGCTCAACTAAAGCCCATAAAAAGCTAGGAACAGTTTGTTCGAGCACGCTTCGTTTGTGAACCTTGTCATCGCCTAAGCTATGCATCTGAGAAGCTGACAAATCAAGCTTCCACCTAAATCCACTGGTCGAAATAAACCCTTCATAAAAAAAGTTTTAACCCTACACCTGGCATACTTTCGTAAACAGCAGCACCTCCTGTAGCATAATCTTTTCACAAAGATGCCGCCATCTTGAAAAATCGTCACTTCCAGTATGGGCAAAAACACTGTTTTGCCGTTGCCACACCAGCAGACTACATTTAGGGTATAAGCGTAACCGTCACCCATTCTCAATTTGCCTCCACTCCATTTTTTTACTATTCGCAGGTTGAAATGTTTTATTATTCTTTCGTCGCCCATACAGGATATTCCTAAATTGTTGCTGGGGGCAAGTCAACGAAAAAGGTCTACAAGTTACACCATACCCGTCAACCTTTCACCTCAGGGTGACCGACCAGTAAGCCAGCTGAACGCTGCTGAAAACAGGTGTGACGTGGCCATTTTAGTGCACGCTTCAGGGGTGTTTCGGTATTTCTAAATTTTCCCATAGTCGCACGTTCAAACACGATGTCAAAAAGTTGTTGCACCATACCGTCGTAATAAAAACAAGAACAGCACAAAGACGAGGACAAAGTAAAAGGTGGCCGGCAGGACACAGCACTGTCGGTTACCTTCCACTTTGTCCTCATCTTTGCACTGTTTTCGCTTTTATTTCCTGTATACCAACTAGCCCAAACGTTGCTAATTGTACCGTCGCGTTAAAGGGGCTTATCAAGTGCCGCGCAACGAGCCGTTACAAGGCGAGCGATACCCTTGATTTCTCTGAAGCAAAGAATGGCCTTTGCCATGCAACGGACACGGGCTTTCACATAGTGCCACCGCACAGAGGTCATGCACACTCCTATGCTCGCCACATTTGCGACCTGCTCAACGTTAAATTAACGGGACTAACGGAACTTTATGAACAGCTGTACCCCAACAATATGCCCGAAATTTAAGAACTGTCGTGACGAGGCGAGGGCGGCAGCGCGAGCTTCCTAACGTCGACAAAGATTCGCCGTCTCGTGCGGCGAGCGTGGAGGGCGTGCTGGAACCTGGGTGTTCGAAAGCAACGCCCTGCCATCCTCGTTCTGTCGGGGATTACGGTTCGGTTATCTCGCATCAGCTCGGCTGGCACCAGCGTGGAAGAGAAGGAACGATCGAATTTCCCCCGCCGCACTTGGCACCCCACCCACCCACTCCCAACCGCGGAGCGCGTCGAAGGAGAGGCGTCTCTACCTGCAGGCGTGCCTCGTAGTTGGCCAGCTTGGCCTCGCACTCCTGCTTCTGGGTGAGTGCCTCCTCCAGCTTCTTCTGCAGCTGCTCCACGTGGTCCCGCTCCTCGCTTCTGGAGCCTTCCACTATGCTCTCTGGAGAGGAGAGCGGGCACAACGGCCCGTCTGCAGGTCACGTCTCTGGCTTCGACCACGTTCAGCGAGCGGCTTTCGCGCGAGAGGCTCGTTTTCTTTCTCAGGCATTTAATGGGAATGTCTATGGCATTTTAATCGACAAAACAACCTTTCTATAGTAATATCAGATTTTTGTTTTTTTTAAAGCTATGTTTGCACATTTTTATTTGTATCAAAACCCTAAATAAGCAACGAACATTCTTCAACTTTGCCTCACAATGTCCATATCATAGCTACGTCAGCTTTTATTACATTAAAGCTTTACCGCGTGACATCTATTGAGTTAGTGTTCTTTTTATGTGTATTATTAAGGGGAGACATGAATCTTGGAAACCAAAAATTCCATAAAAAACTGTTTTTTTTGGGAAAATGATGATCTCAAAATCTACAGGTATTTTACTTTTGATCTGCCAAGTTTCTTCTTTGAAGTTTAATATTTGCACCATAATATCACTTTATAGTATCTATATTGCACTGAAGCTGATGATAAAACAACACTTTCTCAAAACACAAATTTTGGACTCCTTATAAATTTTCAGAAGGGATGTCTCAGCAGCATCTACGGCAGGCAGAAAGATAACTTTTTTCAGCACCATGCAGCTAAATGTGCAAAGCATGCAAGGTTGGAAGCAGATTTTTCAACATAGCTGTAGGAAAATTTTTAACTGAAATAATGATTTTATTGTTTGGTAGCCACGCATCGAGCACTGAACTTCAATCTGCTGTAAAGTCACTAATAGTGGTTCAATCTAAAAAGTGCTTCCAAAATTGCACTCTTGATAATTTGTAGTATTCAACTATCCGTTAAAACATCCTTTAAAAATAAAAAAAAAATGTTCTCTATTGTTTTTGGAAACAAAGTCTGGTTAATTATAATTATCCGGAAAAGTTCCATACTCATTTTTAAAAAATATAACAGATATTTGAAATTAGTTTAAAGATGTGAACAAGCTTGTCCTGTTTCACTGGGCTTGGCCAAAAAAATAAGAAAGAAGGCCCCAAGACCAGTGTTTCCCCTTAACTGGATTGAGGAGTGATTTACTGCTCTTACCACTTTCCTTTTTTTCTTTTCAGGTTCCTTCTTGCTGCCTTTGCACAGTGATGATGCTTCCACACCCTCCTTTTATTTTTGGTGCAAATCACTACCAGCTATGGAATTTTGCTCCTATGAAGTACTTCTAGCATGACATGAAATTACCATAAATAATTAAATGAACACTGCCTCCCGCACGAGGCTGGCCATGAAAGGCCGGCCGCGCCACGAAAGGCTGGCCAAGGGATTGACGATGAGCATGCGTGAAAGCTTACCGAGAAGCATCTCCATGTCCACAGTGAAGCGGGCAGGCTTGCGGAAGTCTGGGTCATAGCCGTTTTTGTGCAGCACAATCTGGGAGATGCAGCCCTCAATGAGCTTGTAGTAGGCTGGCCTGCAGCACCGAGACCATTTTTTATGACCTCAAAGATTGCAAATGTATCCTCACCTCAAAAGGTGAAATCAATTCATATAATATGATATAGTATTCAAGTGTTTCATTTTAATTCAAACATATTTCGAAGACAAACTCCATCTTCAGTGCATTCCTATAGGACTCGGCGGACGTTACAGGGGGGAAAACCATAACGACTAGTTGCGTAAATGTCCGATTAACATTTTTTTGTAATGGTTCAATGAGTCAAGCTTTAATTACAGGTTTGAAGGCTACGATTGTTAAAGGTGAAACGAACCGAAACAATTTGCAAAAGAGTCAACGGGCTTTTAGATATGCAGAGATCAGCTTTTACAATTTTCGTCACCAGTCTTCGAAACTGGATGCAGAAGCCCTGCCCAGAGTCGCACACAGGAAAGTGACATTCTTGCGACGGCCACTTTGTCATCATCTCAACAGCGACACATCAGTAGATGTGTCGCTGTCGAAACAAGAAAGTGGTACCTGAAACAATTACATCGCTCTTATATGCACCACTTCAGGCAGGGACCACGGCGTCGGAGACGAACAAGAGGGAGAATACGAGACTTTGTCGAGGTTTAAAGTTATCCATTGTCGAGAGTTCAAATCTTCAACCTCGACAAAACCTTTTCTAGGCTTACGACAACAGTTCCTCGACGATCCTGAACGAGCACCAAGAGACAAGATATCTCGGACGGGAGCTAGATCGGAAAACCCGCCAAGCGGAACGGGCACCGCGAGAACGGAAAGGGAGGCTTGCCTGACTTGAACGTCGTCTCGTATGCAGAGCAGGTGCTGGAGCATAGACAGCAGGGACATCTCGCACGGCGTGCCCTTCAGCGTGTTCCTCAGCAGCTCGAAGCACTCCAGGGGGTCGGTGCGGGACGCGGTCAAGGAACCCAACTCCCCATCGGTTTTAACCGACCGAGACTGCAAACCGACGCCACCGGCACCCACGCCCCGAGAAGATATTCCACCTCCCACGAAACGCTATAAGTCGCCGACAGGATGCGGACGACAAAGCGTCCTTTTTGCCCTTTAGATGTGCACACGATTTGGTTGCACGTGCACGCTAGAAGCTCGCGAGAAGTCGAAGCGTCATTGGGGGTTGTAAGCTCGTACTGGAGACAACTGGAAGACCTCCCTGCCATTCTTGTCACGTCGGCGTCTATGGAGGACGAAGAAAACATGGACCGGCTCCATGCTGCAGTTAAGTAGTTCCGGCAGAATTCTCCTTCCTTCGCAAATGAACCGGCAGCCAAGGAAACCTGCTCGCTTCTGCACGTCACTTTCGGGAACTTGCCGAGTAATTCTCGCACGAGGGTATCTTGCACAGTTGGTCTACCGAACGTGTCCACAGACGACATTTGGTGCTACGTCACAACGAGCCACTCGTTTCACCGTTTCGTTCCTATTTCACGAGTGTCCAATGGCCCCAAAGCTTGCTACGGGGATGTCTCGTTAATACGAACACCTACATTCCCCAAAAAATTGTCCATAACGCGAGTCGTCCACGATGAAAAAACAAAAATTCGCGCATTTAGCCAATTCGTGCCCAAAACCTCTGTCTATACAGGGGGTATTCACTCTATGCCATATTTGGGTGCACTATTCCCTGTGCTCACTCATAACAAGCTTGGACCTATAGGCAGCCAAGACCAGCAATCCTGATGGTGCGGAGTGCACGTTGCGAAAGTACCGTAAAAGCTCGCCATCAGCCAAGGACTCGGCTATGGCCGCCAATGAATAGAGTCACGTCCCGTTGGTACGGACCCCACTAATGAGGATACCTCACAACATAGACACAATTTTCGGAGATGAACTGGGTAAATGCGTGCCTTTTGGCCTCGTTATTACGGACAACTCAAATTATGGACGCTTTTGTGTTGGGAACGGAAGTGTTTACATTACCGAGAAATCACTGAACTTCCTGTAAGTGGGGTATCCATATTAATGAGGTCGGTATTAGTGAGACGCGACTGTCTAATATCATTCCGAGTGAAAGGATATTTCAACTCCTGGGTGATGCTCTCGCAGCGTTGGGACAGCTCCTCAAAGTCGAAGTCCTTGGTCTCCTTGAAGACATTGAGCTGCACCGACAGCTCTGGGCTCTCCACCACCTCGTTCTGGAGGCTCTGCCACAAAGTAAGATGTGTAACCCCACCTCATTCTACTGCCTCAAGAAAGAAAGAGAGAGAGACTGGCCCTACCTCGTAGATGTCCATCATCCCCGTGCGCATGAACTCGTTTCTCAGGTGAACCCGAAAGTCAAAGTCCTCCGTGCCCGAGACCAAGGCGTTGATGAGCTGGATGGACGCCGTCTGCAACACAGCAAGCCCGTCACTGTTGGCAGCAACATCGCATTCAGAGCCAACGGAGCAGACTCAAAGCCACGGGTTTCGTAATGACGGGGCTTTTTGTGTTTAAAACATTATTCGTTGAGCACGAAACCTGCTTGCAAATCGAAAAATGCTTTCTCAATTTCTGTACCAAATCATCTTCATCAGCTCATTTATCCCAAGTGTGAACTGTCCATATTCTCAGTGAGCTCAGTTCTTGTCCATGTGCCCACTCATTTAAAAAGCAAACGAGGGCATTTTGCCTGCGCATCCCGACGTACTAAATCGTTTCTCTCTCAAAACCGATCACTCCTCGCACTTTCGCTTGCACCTCGCCCAAATCCAGAGAATTTGGGACCTAATCCCCGCAAAAAAGAGGATGGGTATTCTCCATTCAGGCAATGAAAGAAAAGTCACAGTGGTTTCCTTCTTTCTGCATAGCACATTACCGTGGTAGAAAATGCCTTCAGCAAGAACTGGTAGGAGGGTCACTTCGAGTGCTGGCTAAGCAACTTACAATAACATGCTGCTGATCTAGCAAACTCTTCCCTCGGGCAGCTGACCGCTACGTGAGGGTACGACGCTACTTGTGGGAACGCCCTTTGTGCCCTTGCTCTGTCGGGTCACGGTACTGCCCCGGAGAGTTATTCGAAGGGTTATTAGCTCTCGAGGTTTATGTCAAAGGCAACGGAGGAAGTGCACACGGCCTGAGGGGCCCGCTCACCCGCAGAGCGTCGTTCTCCTTGCAGCCCAGGCCGGCAACAATGGGCGCAAACCGCTCGTGCTCCTCGGCCTCCGCACACTCCGTGATGGCGCGGAGCACCTGTTCGTGCCTGCAACGAAAGATCTCCATCAAGACACGTGTCGAGCATTGTGCAGGGCCATTTCTGCGTCACTCCAACCACTCTTTCTGCTATCACAAGCTCTTCGCTGGATGGAATTACAACCCAATTACGATGCGAAAGAAAGACACCCGGAAACAGCAACTCGAGAGCAGAAAAGGTGCAAATCATGTCTCTGCTTCCAACATTCACTTTATGTGATATATCAAGTTAAAAAAGTGAAAAAGAAGGATGGACGGCAAAACTTCTTCAATAGACCGCCCACCCTGCTGCACCTTTTTTGTCTCTGTATTTCTGTTCAAGTTAGCTAGACCAACACGCACATCTTCTTTCCATCTTTCGTCACGCAACACGAGAAATTGCACATTAGTAGAACGCCACGGGTGGAGCCTACACGCCGCGTTATTATGAAAAAGATACTGTCCATTTTTTTATTTTTTAATGTGAGTGCATTGGTATAGTGTAAATAAGAATAAAATGTAAAAGGGCAGAACACAAACTGCACAGTCCAAGTTCTTAAGTTTCTAATAGTGTTGCACGAATATTTGAATTTTCAAATAGTAGTATCTAACAACACGCAATTCGATATTCGCCTCGAGGTGAACTGCATATTTGTACTTTTTGGATTGTTGATTGCAATGGGTTAGCCCCAATAAGTGCACTTCTCACCGAGCACTTGTGCACTGCGGAAAAGCAATGCCTGCGGAGCATGCAGGCTTCGTGGGTATTGCTTCCCCACAGTGCACTGGTAGTCGGTGAGAAGCACACTCAACTAGGCAAACCTGCCTCGCTTACAAGGAGTATATGTTAGGCAGCAATGTCTTGACAGCTAGCATTCATATTAGTGCATCTGTTTTTTTTTTGTTTTTTTTTTGTCATGTTTGAAATAGAAAAATATTTGCACACAGCAAGCAATTTATGATTCCCCTCAATTAGGAGAGCTGCAACAAAATCTTGTTTAAATATCACAGTTTATAGTATACTGTAAAACCCTTATGTTCACAAATCCCCAATTTTCGCAAATTTCACAATTCGCAAACTTTAGTGGGTGCAAATATTTCTATTGTCTAAAGAGGTCAATTCTGGCCTTTACAAATCGTGAAATTTAATAGTCGTAAATATGACCCCGTTGCCCAATTCTCAAAAAATCAGGACCACGAAAATATAGGGTTTTACAGTAGTTTTGTTCAATCTACCTACACCTCCTACACCGGTGCAGAAATGTGTAGGGCGGTGTACTTCCGGTCGTATCTCAATACACATACCAGAGGTACATTGCCCCACACTTTTCTGCACCGGTACAGAAGGTGTAGGTTAACCGAACAAAGCTAGCAGTTATACTAAAATTAATTGAGCTTAGAAGTGGACAAGTGCTAGGTTGGGAACAACTTTCACGAGTTCAGCTATGAGTTCAGCTGAATCTTCATTTAAGTATGGTGCACGGTAGTGAAGGACTAAAAAGCTATTCGATACTCGATTCAAATATATTCGGCCAAAACCACTATTCGCTTCAAACTCAAAATCCACTAGTCACACATGCCTAGTTTTTAAAAAAGAATGGTTTATCAGCCAAATTCCATGAGAAAGCTATTGCAAAGAACTGTCACGTCAACCGCCCTACTAAATATAGTTGTGAAATCGACATCATGTGACCAACTCTGGTGACCTCAAGTGAGGCGACGCCAATATCCCCGCTAAATTTAATGGGAAAATTGACGTCGCCGACGCCAATTTCCTTGTTAATTTAATGCAAAAATCGACACTTTGCGGCCACGTCACGTTACCTCGGGTCACGCGACGTCAACGTCTGCGAGGTGGTAGTTTGCGCACAACACGTTTCGTTCTTTCCCGTCTTTGTCGGCATGATCGAGCTCGCGCAATTTTTACTCCCCACCTCTAGGTTGATCTTCCCCTTGCCAAGACAAAGGAGGCCGAAGCGACCGGGAGAATGCGCATCCTCTCGGGAGCGATTACACACCCGTTGGGGGGCACGATGGAGACCGCCGCCAGGAGCTTCATCACGTCCACCATGACGTACGGCCGGGCCACGTTCATGCTGGCCGACACGATCGTCAGCGCTGAGACGTGCTCGTAGACGTACTTGAGACCGGGCTGCGAAAGGGAGCCCCAGAACCACTCTTGGTGCGTGCAACACCCTGCTAAACGCGCCCCTACAGCCCGGAAGACACTCCCACGTGGAAAAAAGATAAAAAAGATCTCCGGAGACGACGACAGCCGAAATCGGATTCCAGGAGGGGACACTGGCAGCAACACTGAAGGTGGGTTCGCACATTTGCGTTCCGAGGTGAGCTGCGCTCGCTCGTAACCGGTTACGAGAGAACACACTGATGTTATCTATCGGATAGCCCTGCAACTCTTCCAATAAGCATATATAGTTTCATCAACTTCTATGCATCTTTCTTTCACCGTGGGCTTCAAATAATGCTGAGAGTGTTAGAAGAAAACATTACTCATAGACAGAGCGCAGATTGCACCTCGGAAAAACTGCGAAACCTTCAGTATATTTAAATGCAAACCGCAAGCGTTCCAAGGAAAGCTGATAGTAGACAGCACCAGCGTGAGTTCTCTCGTCGTCAGCGGTAGCAAGCGAGAACGGCGCACTCTAACATACTCAAGTGAAGATGTGTGAACCAGTCTCAACACGTGACAATGCGAAGCAAAGGGCACGTTAAAGTGCTTCGGTAGACGAGGACGTACACTCTAAGCGAGGCGAGCTATACATGTCAAATCGAACAAAGAGACTGGAGACAGAAAAACTAAAGGAAAGAAAAACACTTGCAGCAAAAAGAATAGTGCTGCAGGAAGTTGTTTTCATGTTAACCCTTTCAGACACTGTGTACACAAATGTTTACATCTGAAATCCTTGCCTTTTGGGGGGAACATTATATTATATATAGAATGATTTAAACTATTTTAGTGGCATTCCATACTCTATCTGGCAACCAAAGTTTGTGAAGCAAATGTTTTCCGCAATAAATGATGTGCGACATTCGAAAGGGTTAAGATCCTTTCTGTTCCCTTAAAACAGAGCATGCTCTTCAAGTTCATGCATCACTTCTTTCATTTTTGAACGGATAATTGTTTGTTGGTGTAGCCAGTGGTACGACGGCCGGCAAAATATGAGAGAGAAAAGGCGAGCCCACCGTGTTGTTCATGAGGGCTCGCACGCACCGGATGACCTCGTGCTCTATCCGCTCGTACCGGTTGTCCCTACTGTGCCTGGAAAAGAAATCAATGTGAGGGTTCGGTCTCCGGCCAAAACCACAATCGAGGGTTACTTACTGTTTGCACCGCTGCAGGATCTTCAGCAGCTTGTCCATTCCTTCCTGGAGGAATTCCTTGAGCCAGCTGCACGAAAGAAAGTGAACATTGCGCAAAAGAAACCTGGCATCAAGCACCACTGCGACGCTGCTACAACGGTCGTGGCGATTGAATCATGTTGAGAATGTGCAGTCCACCAGATTGCTAAGCCACGGCAGTGTACGGAGAGAGTTGCAACTTTCGCTGGAAGTAGCAGTTTTATAGAGAAAACATCACTGGGGGAAAAGCCTGACAGGTGGCAAAAATATTGGGGGAGGGGGAGGGGAAGGGGGGGGCAAAAATGTTTGTATGCTAGGTGGCACAAGCTGCCGCTCGATATAGAGTACAGTCACGAGCAACCATTCATCCCTCCATCCATCCATCCACCAGGAAACTGCATGTTCCCTTTGCCATTTTGTGCTGCCGACGCACAACTCACAGCCATCTCCCAGTAAGATGGCACGTCATGTTGTTTTCTCGCAAAGTCTGCTTGTTTTAGCTGGTCGCAAGATTCACTTATCGGTCAAACTCTCTCGGCACAAACAGCTCTGCAGAAGGACCAAAGACACTCTTGCCTGACAGGGTTGTTGGTGAGGGCGACGCGGAGGGACTCGATGCCCCGGAACAGCTTGTCCGCCGACATGTTCTCAGAGCTGAGGAAGTTGACGTAGTCCAGGGGGGTCTCGCAACGACTGCTCCTCTTGCCTCCCTGCGGGCAGGACGAGGGGGTGTTCGAACTTTGCCGCTTGGGTGCACACGTGGGGTTCTTACCGTCGTTCCCTTGTGGTGCATCGACAACATCTCACGCTTCTCCATCAGGGTCCTGTTGCGCAGGGGGGCCCGTTTCTCGTCCGTCAGGTTCATGTCGTCCTGCAAGGGACAACAAACTTTCTCTATTAAATGTGAACATACTTGAGGGATGTCTGTCTGGATGAGTTAAAATCATGATAAAAGAAAGTAACCATAGTAATTGACAGGTTGAGGACAGCAGGGAGGAGTTTCAGTCGTCCCTTCTCGAGCGCACAGCCAAAGCACGGTGAAAGGCAACGAGTGTGTGCTGGAGGCTAGGTGTTCGAAAGAGATGCGCTGCTGAAGGGACTGTACCAAGCAATCCCCAAAAGGGGGGGGGGGAAGTGGGCAATGGTATAAAACCTAACTTGTTCCTTCCTTATCTTCCTCCGCTTCTGAGAGCAGGCACAACCAGTGAACGGCAGCAGTTTCTTACTCTTCCAAGAGGTTGCCTCCTCCACATTTTTTTGCCTTTATCACACGGCGCCTCATGCCTCCTGCGCCGACGCTTTGAACAAACTGTGGCGCCCTCATTTTGGGTAGTACGAGCTCACGTGACTGGGTCTCGCACCACTCGTGGCACCTTCGCTGAGCTTTTTTTTTTTTTTTTCTGTGTAATGCTGAAGAACGAAAAAAAAGAAAAAAAAGAACACCTTTCGACTTCCGAAATTGCCTAGATTCAATGCCGTAAGACAATCGAAGGTGCCAGATTCGTGCCACCACCACTAGGGTATGCATCTTTTATCTCTGGCTGGTGACACCAAAAATATCAGCATCCCGACACTTTCTTATCTTTCTCCTTTTTATTTTGGAATCCGTGAAACAATATCTCTTGGTTCGCACTTTTAGCGTCATAGCTTTAACCTGTGCTTCGACGGCGTTCGAATTCTTGTTGTTTCTTTGTATTTTCCTCGTGATCGCATTCCGCACCAGAGCAAGCACGCTTCTGCAGAGTGACAGTTTGAGCGTTCAAGTTTGTACCACCCAAAACAAGTTCCTTTTTGCAGCGCCCTCTGGGCAATGTAGGAGGCCTATCCGTCGATGTGTACAGAAAGTGAATTGCCAAGGCCTCTGTTGATGTTTCTTGATGTAGTCTGAATGAGCCACGACTCTCGGAAGTCCCCGTAAAGGGTTAGTCTCGATGGCGAGGATGAACCACCGCCGATCTCACGTTCGGTAGGAGTCGGTACCACAAAGGTGCCCCAGAAATGGGTTCCCTCTTGGTGTCAAATTTTAGGAAATACAAAGTATGCTAATGATCATTTATGCTTGATACAAGCTTGACTGTGAGCTAAGAGAGCAGGCATTTGTCAATTTGCCTCGACAAATTTGTCGTTTGTCAAGCTGTACAGTGCATGAACATCTTTTTATGTGCCCTCTTAGTCATATATGCGGACTATGCACGGGGTGTAGACTACCCATCTAAGAAAAAATGTGTATTTCTCAGTTGAAATCTACCTGCATGGACCACGCCCCAAGTGCAGACTACGGACTGAAAAACATGGTACAATGCATTCCCCGGGCCACCTCCTGCAGTGCACGAGAGCAGAGCACAACCCACCAGCATGTTTTCGAAGGCCTGGTTGACCTCCTCGTCGAGCAGGCTGTTCAGGTAGATGTCCACGTCTGCCGACAGGTTCTCCGACAGGGGCCGCGGCTGGGACGACGGGTACGCCGCCTGGCCCCCCTTGGGGGGCTTCTTGCGCCCACGGCTCCCAAACATGTCCAGCTGGTGACACACACGTCTCATGCGTCAGTGCTGGCCCCGAAGCAAGCAGCCCCAGACCAAGGGCCTTGCTCAGGGTTCGTTTTTCAGCAAATTCGGGTGTGTTTTTCCCGCAGATTCTGTGTTTTTCCACGTCAATTTTTGGTTTAAGACACAGCATAGGGATTTACAGGAAAGTGTGCCGAAAGAAAATAGGGAACGGACATAAAATTCCCCAACCTTCGGGGAACATACCCACGGGTCGAACGCTTGGGAAAGTGTCCCCGTATTTATAATAAAGGAAAACGAAATCAAAAGCTGTGTGCCAAACAAACCAAAAAGAAAAGAAAAAAAGAAAACATAAATAAAGACTTTGTTATTTGAAGCTTGGATTTTTCCGCTTCCGGGGGGCTTGAATTCGGGATTTTTCGGTTTTCCCCAATTGCGATAAAACCGGCTAGGGAGTCGATCTTCGGGACTTAATGATATTTACCGAAGATACGAAACCCCACTTACAAGTCTTGTAACACTTGCGCGGAGCCGGCACGAAGCCTCCGAGCCACCACATTACCGGTTCCAAACTGAAGCAACGACAGTGCATCCTGATCTGGCCTTCGCCTAACACCCTGCCCTATTGCTACCAGAAAACTATGTGGCCTTAATCTCAAATTTTAAAGTGCATTGTACATACCATGACACTGTTAGCGCGAAAGAGCGATGGCAGGTTTTTCGTGTTTTTTTCTCGGAATTAAACGGCTCACATAAAATTTTTACTAACATGGCGGAAAGTCCTTGTTTGGGGCAGCAACCCGAGCGGTAAAGTTTGGTGCCTGTCGGTACATCCTTCGAGTGAAATGTAGAAAAGCGCCGATGTTACACTTGCGCTAATGGTGTCGCTCAGTGCACACCCTCGAGATTTTTTTAACAATATCACGCAAGTGCCGACCAAATGGTAGACTGGAAAATCATCATGGCGCTAAGTGGCAATGTCAACGAGAGTAAGTGCATGTGCAAAAGGCAAGCGCCAAAGTTGGCGTCGTCTGCTAGGCTGTTGCCCCAAGCATGATCCACCCCTGCTCCTTTGATCCATGCATTTATTAGGATTATTTTTTTTTTTTCTATGCATGAAAGCGTTAAGCAATTTTACGAAAAAGAAAGTGAATGGTGGGAAATATTGCTACCCTTAACACCGGCTAACAGTTGATAGGTGGCGGCGTGGATAACGGGAGTAGGGATGCATCGTGCTCTAGGGAACAGCATAGCAGAAGACAGAGACTTTGGCGCTTGCCTTCTGCCAGTCATGAGCATGTTACAGCTAAAATGTAACAGTGTGCAGTTACGGTTACTCAGGGGAAAAAAGTAACCCTGCTACAGTTAGTTACAAAGTTGAAAAGTAACTTGGTACAGTTAGTTACTCTTTACAAAAAATATTAGAAAATATTCAAAAGGAACCTTCCTTACCATGCCTTTAAATTAGCATAGATTTTTTTTTTATAAGATATTGTGCTGTTCACAGTAGTGAATCTGATTTTTTTTAGAAAAAGATTTTCCAAGTAATCAATATTAACATGTTTGGTTCTTGCTATTTCAATTTTTACCGTGAATAGGTCCCTGAACAAGATCATAATTTAAGACAATATTGGGTTAGATCCACTATATGATAAAGCATTTGTAGTTTTTTTTCTTTGTCAAAATATGCAGGCGACTTTAGTTTTTCAAAATTTTAAGCTAGCGGATACCTGCTGATGATCCACGAAGAACTTTAAAATAAGCACAACCACCATAAGGTATACACGAATACAACAGCACACGTCTAGATCTCGGGTATTTCTGATCACGGCGAGAGTTTACCATCGGTCAATTCTAATTTTGGATTTCTTTGGTGAGGCGAAATTAGACAGAAACAATAAAAATCATGCAAATGTAAAGTCAGTAATAATATAAATCATACCTTGCAATCAGCTTTGTGGATGTTTTCTTATGCCACTCCTATCTAGTAATCGATCCAATTGTTTTCTATGCGTGCGCACAATCCTTTATAAAACACGAAGCCTCTCTTGAAAATTTGGAGAGCAATGTTGTGGCACCATTTCTCGGTCAAACCCGCTGAACACGGCAGCGGTACAAGAGAAGAACTGGTCGAGGTACAAACGACCACTGTGCATAAAATTCCAAACGGCTGTTGCAATGTTTACTCCGCCACTTCCTAACGAGATCGGACACGTTTGTGTTCCTCCATCTTACAACCCCACCTAGACGAGACCACCCGGAAAGTCCACGACGCGTATATCTTTATATCAACTGATGCAAAATGCCCCTGGTCCCGGCTAAGTGTGGTCTTTTAATTTCAAGAAAACACTCAAACAAGCAGAACGACAAATACGTTTAGAGCAAATACTCTTTCTCAAATGACAGACCCGAGAGGCAGAGCAATGGGAGACAAGTGGGTGACGGGAGGCACCCACTTGTCTCCCAAAGGGAGGGGAAAGAAAATGAGGCTGATGCACCCCGCAAGAGTGCATCTGGGAGTTGGACGATTCAAATTAGAGGGGAAAAAAACATATGCTTGGCAGCAAAGAGGTTGAAAAATCTGTTGTACCGTAATTCTGTGGGCATTTGGGGTGACAATCACCAAAAACTATTCTCCGCGAAAAGCACTCGCTCCCTCCGCCGGTCGAAGAAAAGAGAAATTCTAGGGATGCCACGCTTTGTTACACCTGTGTGCATTCTGAACGACGTACCATGCACGGCGGGTACTGACACAAACGTCCCCCATCCTCCCAATTCGCAAAACCAATTTCTTTTTTTTTTTTTTTTTGCTTTAGACGTTTTTTGCAGCAGCTTTTGCTGTGCCCTTTTCGTATCAGACATCGGGACTCTCTCACGAGTTGCAAAACGATTTGGTGGTGGCCGAGTTTGCAATATTTTTGCACATAAATATGAGAAGTAACTGTAACGACGTTACTCTTTGCAGTTAATTTCAAAAAGTAGTAACCCTGTTAGTTACAAGTTATTTTCACTAAGCAGTAACAAGTTACAGTTACAAGTTACTGAAAATATAACTAGTTACCAGTAACATGTTTCTACGAACTAGTTACTGCCCAAGACTGCCTTTTCAACATGCACTTACTCTCGTTGATTTCGCCACTTCACGCCAATGCAAAACAATCTTGAGGGTATTCGCTGTACGATGCTGTTAGCGTGAATGCAACATCGGCGCTTTTCTGCCTTTTACTCGGACAAAGTACAGACAAGGGCCAAATTTCACCGCTCTGGTTGCTACCCTGAACGAGGCCTTTCCACCGCGCTGTACTTTGTTTTACCTTACGACCGCCTGCAGTGGATATGCTACAAGCCATTCGAGCCAATCTAAGGCAGGGACAGATGCTAAGTAGCAGGGACAGATGACGTCGTCTGTCCCTGATACTTTCTCTTCCACTATAAAAACTCTTTCCTCCTCCTGTCCCAGTGTCAGGTTAGAATTATCATGGCCGCTTACTGTGTTCACAGGGTTGGATTAGCTGAGATAGCTCATAGCATCCGCTGCGGTCAGACGCAAGGTGAAATGGAGTATAGTATGTTTCATGACAGCCATTTAATTTCAAGGTTAAAAACCTGCCATCACTTTTTCACACTGTGTGCAATGCACTTTAGAACGGATTAGATTAAGATCACATATGTTTCTATTTCCAATAGGGCAGAGTGCTTTAAGCGCTACAGAAAAGATACAAAAGGTAGGAGGCTTTGCGAGTATCTGCCAAGACGTAGGAAGGCAACTCCAGTGGATGTCAGTTCTTAAAATATGATGACACCTTTGCTTACTACATCAGACTGACAATGTTCTACCACTCAAGTTAGAACTCAGACGAAAATTATATAGCTCACTTACAGACTTCTGAAAGAAAGATTGCAGCTCGAGACATTTGTATGTTTGCGTTATACTGCAGAGCTGCCAAATATATGTAGATTTCCGCAAAGCAGCCTCAGAACTCCTTTCTAAGATCTCTACCAGCTTGTAAGCATTCAGACAAATAGCGTTTCATTCCTTGCTGCAAGACAATTCTTTTTTCGTTTTTTTTTAATTACTATGTGGAGGCAACACACTGTTTTCCTCGCAGCCAAATTATTTTGATTTGGCCTCGAGAAATGCCCATTGGGCATTTGGCTAGCTTGAACACCGATAATGAGGAGAGGCACTGAACAATCCTTTTGTTAAATAGCAGGACACACCCCAACCCAGGCGAAAATCAGCCCACTGGCAGCTGGATTACGGAACTGATCCCAGCTGGAAATGAGACAGTCTAGCTGGAGTCTAGCTGGACCGTCTCATTTCCAGCTGGGACCACTTCATAATACAGCTGCCAGTGGGCCGATTTTTGCCTGGGAACCTTGTGACAAGAAACTGGTTTGGAACCAAGCTTTCTTAGGAAACAAAACCGAGCAAACTTTGAAAGCGAGCATTCATATTAGCCGGTTCCAGGTGCTTGCCGAGCTCTACAGCTACCATACCTGGTCATCCACAAACACTAGAGCCAAGGATATCCTGGCAACATGCTCCACCACACACCCACACACCTGTCCCGTGCGCCCGGCAGTCCACAGCAGCACAGCGTCACTCAACAAAAACAGCGTTCCCGGCAAAAGGATGCAACCCGAATTGCCTCACACCGAAAGACTGCATTCATTCGTGAGAGCAAAGTGGAGTGTCGGCTGTCACCGTCGCAGAAGAACAGCCGCCAACCAGAAACGGGGAATCCAGAAATAGCACCGAGGTGGGAGACGCGTTTTTAGCAGCCAGGATGGAACTAAAGCAGCCTTTACACCACGTCCCCGGAGGAGCAGACAGAGCAGAAGCAGCTTGGGTTCCACATGCGATGTCGCGCGCGGGGGCAGTCAACTTACCAGCATGGCTGATGACTTTTTATTAGACATGACAGCCAGAGTTCATGGCGTCTTAACTCGCTAAAAGAGAGAGGTGAGGGAGGACAGCACGTTAAGCACACGGTAACGATCCACGTCCACGAACAAGCATGCCGAAAGACACTTGCGTTCAGCTTGGCTCTCCCGAGACGGGGTAGAGCCACGGCGGAAAAGACACATACAGCCGTTTCTGGAACGCGACAACACAGCAGAGTTTGCGGACTCCGCTCACGTACTAGACCACGCACGTCCGTGGCGCGAGACTAGCAGGACACGCTGACATGTAGACGCGTTTGGCGAGGCAGCAGGGCGGCGTTAGAACTTTTTCTCCGTATCGTGGGGTTGGGAAACGCGGAGTTGTTTGAAAAAGACGGGAACCTCGGCACCGTGTCACGCCGAGAGTTACCCACTTCCTGCTACTGCTGACAACGGCAGCAGTAAACGGACATTGACTCCGCCTCCCCTCGCGACACGTTCGCTAGAGATATGCGGCGCGTCCACCGGGTTATCTCTGAGGCAGAAAATTAGAAACGCCGGCGAACCGCCGAGGGTTTAGATGCCAGTTATGGAACGTTGACGGTTGGTGGGAACGGCGCGTACCTCACCATGGCAATCGGGGCAAATGCGTCTAGGACCACGGACCTGTCAACGCCAGCGGTCGACATGCAGCTCGTCCCGTGACTCGCTTTTTTCGTGAACCTCCTGCCACACTCACTTGGAATGCTTTCCTGGGCTGGGGTTATCCTACTTCCGAGATTTCTTCGGCGGACACGATCACACCGCCCAGAACAACCACCATGACCTGCTCCGAGAATGTGCTCATTTATTCAATTCCAAGAGTAATGACGTCACGTTTACCGACCCGCGAGTGACTCTTACAAGCTCTTAGCTGACTTTTACGCGCTAAATGCTTGCTATAATGTGACGTCACGGATGTTTTTGTGCTAAAAAGAGTCACTATTTACGACTCTTCTTTGCAATAATAAAACACACTTTTGCGACACGCGTCTCCCTGGTGGTGCAAACGGAAAGCAGCGGTATCCTTTTTTTATATTTTTGTCCGGCGGGTCCGGCGAAACCAGGAAGAAAGTAGTTGGCCAACAGGCCAACGGAGCAGGAAAAAGCGGGTCATCTCGAGCACCTTATGAGAGTTCCGATGCGGACGGAATCGGCACCTCTATTATCGGCGCAATAGCGCCATTAACGTTTTTTTAGGTCAGCACGATTATCCGTTATGTTGGAAATTTCCTGCGTTCCAACCACCGCGGTCCCAACCAAACGGACATGGGACGGGTCGAGAAAGCATCTCGCGACCTTGGACCAATGGAATGAAAGTAAATAAACAGGATACAAGGTTTTTTTTTCACCGCAAAAATGCGCGACGAACCGCCGAACGCCCATTCTCCACCCAAATGTAGCCGATTTCAAAAGGGACTTTCCTGCAAGACTCGGCCGGCTTTGTGCACTGCTTTGTGATTTTATTCATGACCTGCACACTATACCTTGAATGTCATACTCAGACTGATGCCGTTTTTCTTGATTTCTCAACAGCATTTGACCGTGTCCCTCGTCAACCCCTTTTCTGTAAGATTTTATCTCTTCGTCTTGATCCATGTTGAAAAACAGCGGGACTGGGAAGAGGACAAAAAGACGGAGAGAACTTGCCCAGTTATCTATCCTTCTCAATTTCATTTCTTCTACAAAGGGCTCTTTTGTATACTGTTTTTCAACATGAACTCTCCCCAACTTGCCCGGTTATCTATCCTTATCGTCTTGATCCACTCACACTTTCATGGATACGTGACTTTCTCTCGTCCCGCGTGCAGCTGACGTTCATTAATGACCAAGAATGTTCCCTAACAAACGTGTCTTCTGGTGTTCCGTAGGGGTCCGTTTTAAAACGTCTATTGTTTTTAATATATATAAATGACCTCCCTAGCGCTATTTTCTCTAAAATACGTCTTTTTGCAGATGACTGTGCCGTCTATAACAAAGTAAGAAGTGTGCAAGATAACATCCAGCTTCAATGTGACCTAATTAAAATTAACAAATGGTACAATGACTGGTTGATGTCGCTCAACAAACCTCAATGCAAACGAATTCGCTTCACTAGAACACAATCTGTTCGAGACTGTTATAGTCCGTTGCAGCCAAGGTTATACGTTGCAATATTGGTGAAGCCTAGTCATAAAAAGTTTAAACAGTATTGTGCCCAACGTGACCGCAGATCTCTCTGGAGATTGGTGCGCGTGACATGTCACGTGCGAGATGGATGGTTGATTGTAGAAGGATTCCTAGCAGGCTTGCGCGCGCTCCGTCCGGTAGGTTAGGCTTTATCAGATCGAAGGCTATTAGCCCCGAGAGCGAACACAAGCGTCGCTGCGGTCGCCGCGCCCGGATTGGGTGAGGTGTACCGTGACGTCAGGGGGAGTACTCCGCTCCGCGATCTCGCATCGGCTCGCTTCCCAGCACCGGTTTTCTGGTTTGGCGTTGTGTGCCGCAAGCTCTTCGAGGAGCTGGACTTCGTTTACCTGGTGTGCAAGACGTTGAGTTAGGCCGATGTTCCGTACATTTTATAAGCCTGCTTGTCCCTTTTAACTTTAAAATTGGGTTAAAAGTCCCGAAAGCTATCGGCGGAGGCAATTCCGCCGATGAACCACCCCGTCCGTCCACACGACACAAGGCAATCTTGCGAGGGGTCGGTGAAGCGATGGCGCGAGTGTTACAGACGCTGGAATTCTGTTCCTTGCACGTTCATGATTTAAGACGATATTACATCCCGCTTTCAAGGCATTTGAAGTGGCATTTATATCATGGGCCTTTGGGTGGTCGGCAAATTAGCTCGCGACCCTGACTGTGCGCTGCCACTCTGCATGCGCTGGTTCGCAGATGTTTTAAAGGCCCTGCGTCTGATGATCTTGAAAGTGCTCGTGAAAGAGGGTTGTTTAAATAAATGTAGCTTCTTCGTGAACTAATTATATAGTTTACACACGCATGCAGGCATATTTCTTAGAAGCTGCACAATTACTGGAAATTAGTTTTTATGGTAGCAGCAAAAACGGCCGAACTGCCCTCAGTCGTCTGTATGATTATATTGAACTGCCGAACTATGCACGGCAATAGTGCCGTAATATGCAATGTTTATACTTTTTCCTGACATTCTTTATTCCAGCCTTGGGTATTCCGAAAATACACCGTTTAGTCTGAATTGTCATTTCCGATTAAAAGGGACACTGCTGCAGGTCCCCAAAAGCTTCCTCAGCCTCCAAACTCCCTAGAGCTGGACTCTCTGACATCAGAGGAAAACAGGAGTAAAATCAAGCATTCGAACGTCTGTCCAGTGGTAGATGCAGCACTAGCAGCAGAAAATGTGGAACCTGTGAAGGGCGACCGTCTGCGTGAGAAAAGCTTCTGGTATTTTAGCTTCAGGACAATTGGATTTAAGTAAAATTTCAATTTTAGGGCTTAAGGGGCTAATAACGAGCTAGACACCTTCGCTTACGTTTGTTATACATTACTTGAGGGTTGATATAAACAAGTCCACAGATACCACCCGTGTAGTCCATTGAAATACTATCCGAATCCAGCAAAGGTCAAATGCGAGCAATGTATATAAAAAATGTTCCTTGTTTTTTTTTTTTTTTTTTTTTACTTTGCCCCTGCACTTGGGCTGTCTTACTTGTAATTCTCTCTTCATGGCCCAGACTGTATTTAACATGTTGCTCGAGCAGCATGCAGCTTTTCTGCTTCGGCGATCTTGTTTAAAAACAGAGGTACAAAAAAAATAATATACATAACCTGCCAATTCATTCAGACCATCAGCAGCATTTATTGTGCAAAATGTAAATCTATAGTGATGCTCCTGCAATTGTGGCCATATTTCTTTATTTTCATATACCAGCTGTGATTCATGCGTTGCCTGTCCTGTCAACCATGCTTAAAATATTGGTTGAAGTTTCGCCTGTAGCAACAGGCCATACCTCAATAAAGGCTCATATAAAAATTTACACTTCCTACGAAAAACACGCCAAAAAAAAAATTAAATAGAAACGAGCGCGCCGTCAGCTAGCGTCGTCACAGTCTCCACAGGGCGAGCGGGCCGAGTCGGGGAAAAATTCTCTCCTCGCCGTGACGTCACCCCGGTTCGCCGTGAGAGGGCGCCACGCGAACTTCTCGGGGCTAATACGAAGGCTAGCTACGGTCACGTGATGCGGTCACGTTGGCCGGATAAGTGAGGAGAGTAAGGAGGAAAATGAGAAAGAGGCGAGGCGGCAGGGAGCCATGGCACGTCATGCCCTCTCCTACCCTTCTATCCTTCTTGGTTGCAGCTCAAGAAGGTGGGGCGAGGGTAAAACGGGCAGGGGAGGAGGAAGCAGACGGAACGCTGGAGAAAAGAGGGGGAAACCTTCTTCTCTCTTTAGCGTTCCGTCTACTTCCTCCTCCCCGGCCCGTCTTACCCTCGCCCTACCTTCTTGAGTAGCGGCCAGGCTCTTTAAATCGACCGAGAAAATCGGCTGCACAAAATCGCGCTGCGATTTTGTGCAGCGTTTCCCACAGGTGGGGTATTTTTTCTATAAAATTTGCCAAGATCAAACTTACGTGAGGAAAAAGTAAAAAAATAAATAAATAGGCTGAACTCCTATGAAAACGTAGCGGAGACACTGGTCTGATCCACCCATCACCGTGCGGTTCCAGTGCGTTGCGTCTCACTGGATCCGACTGGTTACACCCAGAACCGCGAGGGTACCAGATCGGATCCGCGCGGATCTGAACTGTCCACAAGTTTAGAACCGCGCGGATCCGAACTGGAACCGCTTCTATCTGACATTTTCGTACGGGACGCTTCCACACAATTCGATCTGGGTCTCAAGGCGAATACTTTTATTTCAAATGCCTTAAAAATATATTTTCAGGCGCTAGAAAAATCGCAATGCTCGCGGGTAAATTTTTTTATGGAGTTAATTGGTTGTGTCATTTTTCTTGCTTGCTTTCCGTCTTAATTTGTTAATCTCAACCGGGGCATCATTAACGTAAATGACGCGTCTTTTTTTATTTTTTTCATTCACGCTCTTTTTATTATTATTTACGTGACGCGGTTTTTGAAGTGCCCAGCACTCGAAACAGCCTCTACTTTTAGGAGGGGCACGCAGAGATCAGTGGGCACGCCTATCAGAGAGGACGCTCGTGGAAGACGCGATCACGATGCAGCCAAGTGAGCACCGTCATCGGTCGAAGTCGGAGATATATAAAATCACGTGGTCACATTTGGCGGGTAAACAAACGCACGAAGTGCGCAAAGCAGACGAACTTTCACTCGCAACAGCCAACGCGGATAAAGCAAGCTAAAGCAACACCCACTCAAAAAAAAAAAAGGGTTTCCCCCTCCCCTGTCCAGCGTTCCGTCTGCTTCCTCCTCCCCGGTCTTCCTTTCCCTCGCCCTGCTTTCTCGAGTAAGTGCCAACGTTGGTAGGTGCTGAATTTTCCTGCGTTACAGGAAAGCCACCGTAGGCCACAGATTGGAGACCAGTGTTGCGTCTGCGTACGGCTGGAACTCGTGTCCAATCAGTAAGAACACCACTCCTAGCCGTACGCTGACGCCGTAGTCGTGTTCAGTGGCGTACCAACTTGTTTTTAAGTGTGTGTGTGTGTGTGTGGGGGGGGGGGGGGGGGGCAAGCCAGACCCCCATCCCCTTCCCCAGGGCCGGGGGGCGGTGCCCTTAGTATCCCTTGGGTGCCGCCAGCCAATATTTGCCCTGCCCAGTGGCGGCTGTTTCGGGGGGGGGGGGGGGGGGGGGGGAGGGGGGCAAAACACATGCCTTGCCCCACCACTCTGAAAACTGGGGGGGGGGGGGGGGTGTACGTCCATGGTCATGTTCGATCTCTGGCCTACGGCCGCCTTCGTTAGTTACAAAGGAAAGTTCATCGGTTAGAAGTACTAGGAGGGGGCACGTTGCAATATTGGTGAAGCCTAGTCATAAAAAGTTTAAACGATTTTTGCCCAGCGTGACCGCAGATCTCTCTGGCGATTGGTGCGCGTGACATGTCACGTGTGAGATGGATGGTTGATTGTAGAAGGACTCCTTGCAGGCTTGCGCGCGCTCCGTCCGGTAGGTTTTATCAGGTCGAAGTCTAGATTGTGGTGTATTCTAGTACCCCACAGCAAGACGAAGTCTAGCTACGGTCACGTGATGTGGTCACGTTGGCATGGTAAGCGAGGAGAGTAAGGAGGAAAATGAGAAAGAGGCGAGGCGTCAAGGGAGCGTGGCTTGTGGAGGCTACGCGGCCGACGTCATGCCCTCTCCTACTCTTCTATTCTCCATGATCACTGCTTTATCTAGGAGGCACGGGTAGAGGATGGATGGATGCGGCTGAACCCTTTGAATTAGACGGCAACTTGCGCCATCTAGCCATTTTTTTTTAAACATTAGGTTTATTCTTAAAAGCTATATTAGGCAACTGTATATACGATATACGATCCGTACGAAGCACAGCGCAGCTGCGAAACGGGGAGGCAGAGATGGAGAAAAGGCGACGCGGATGGCACGCCGTACGGCCATGGCACGCAACAGCCACAAAATCCCAACTTAATTTCCGTTCAAATACGTTCCGGATTAGGAACTTCTGTAAGGTGCCTTGAAGACATGTCTTGTTTTTAGTGGGTGCTGCCATTTTGTTCTGCGTATCGGTGCTCATTTCATCTGCCTTAAAATATTGGGATTCTGGATTCGGTGAACTTCCAAAATTACTGTTACGCCTTTTATTGGCACGTGAGTTGCGCATTAAAAATTAACGAGATTTCAGCTCTTTCCAGTAGGTAAATGAATCAACTTCAGCTTTGAAGCCTCCTTCCGACGAGTTCGTGCCGACACATAGTACTACCTGAACTTCTTTACCTGTGCTCAGATGGCCCGTTCGCTATCACGCAAACTCACCTCCAGTGCCGCAGGTGAGCACGAGACGCTTGCAAGAAGAAATAGGTTGAGCAGGCATGAGGAAAAACGCGCAAAGAATTAGCTACCAATAAATCGTGTAGTACCAATACCACCTAGAAGACAAGGCCTGCGCATGACGTCATCGTTAGTAGATCCCCGACCCGCCCCAAGCAGCAAACAGGCAGAAGCTTGACGAGAGTATGGGCCACGTGACAACTACGTCACATTCACACTCGTAAGCGTAGATTATTGGCAACCCAGACACAGTTCACGAGATACACAAGTCAAGAACGTAATCGGACACGACGGTCCCTTTATTAATAGAAAAATAGTTTTATTTTCCTCGAGTAAAAAAATGACCGCGTCGGAGGAGGCGTCGGGATAAAAAGGCACTGGGATAGAAAGATTCGGCTGCACCGCTGGCGATCCTCGTCGTCCTTCTTTTTCGCTGAAGGATTTTTAAAATCGGACGTCCACCTCGCGGTCCGGATTGTTAAAATCTAGATTTTACAAAAAGGTTTTCACACGTGAAGTTGGCACACGGCGTTAAAACGTCAAAGCAAATGGCGGCATGGTGGGCGGCAGTGCGGCAGCTCACTGGGGAGTTTTGGTAGATCCTTCCGATGACTCCGATACCGATACGCCACCTTTCCGCATGCATAGTATCGTTATCGGGTACCGTTACCGGATGTATCAGAACGATCTACTAAAGCTCTATTGCAAAAACGCCTTCCCCAATCGTCAGGGCGACCTATCCACTCCCGACTCGGAAACCGTCATATAAATAGGGAGTTTTAGTAGAACGTTCCGAGATTTCTGATAACAATACCCGATAACGATACCATGCATGCGCAAAGGCACCGGAAAAGTATCGGGTCTCGTTATCGGAACGATCTACTAAAAGGCTCAAATTCAGGAATGGGAACACAGACAGAGTTTCTGATATCCGTTTCCCAGCCATCAATACGACCAAGATCGATTGGGAAACATACCCAACCGATTTCAGAGCGATGATGACGGGCTACCCACAGGCAAAAAGTTTACAATTCCCTTGGGGGGGTGCCGACGGTTCCCCCCTTCCGGGGGGAATTGTCGGCACGAAAGGGTCACCGTCGTCTCCTCTCCTGTTTGTGAAGGAACGGGACGCTCGAATAGGCCAAGCTGGGCCCTGGATTTGCTCTATGGTTTTACTCCGTGAGGAAGTTGGAATCCGCCGCCGGCGGGGGGAGCGAAACTCGAGCCTCCGTGCCCTCTCGTAGTCGGCGCCTATGGGGCTACCCGCTTGCCTCTGTGCGCTATACGCTCTCAGCAACGAAGTTTTGGGGAAGGTATATCGCAGTAGCAGGCCAGACAGCGTCTTGCACCGATCGTACGATATTGCTTCGGTAACGCGAAAAAAAGTTTCCTTAAATGCTTTCTAATGTTGAGAACGATGCTGAGTCACGATGTATACTAAAGCACCCTTTAGCGGCTGGTTTCTGGTAAGCACATTCCGACATCATCGTCGAGATTGTTCCGGCTATATGAGCAGCCCTCTGAGGACAGTGCAAGACAGCAAGGCATACCGCTCCCCGCAACTGAGAGTTGCGTCTGGACGGAGACACTTCAGTCCCGCGTGCTCTTGTCTTCGAGGATGGCATGCAGGCGAACGGCAAGGGACAGACTCCCGCGCACCAGCGGCTGTCAGAGCGCAATGTCTCGGATGCTGTGGCTGGAGCTCGTGTCCGAGTCCCCGATCCTGAGCACGGAGCCCGGTCTGTCTAGGTACTGGAAGGGCCGCTCAGGCAACCGCTCCAGGGTCACGTCCCCAAAGCCCCTGACGTCAAGTTCCTCCAGCGACGACCATCGGTTCCGGCCTTGTTTCCTGAACTTGGGCCTGTCCAAACTCTGCGTGGCGTAGTCTACCACGGACGTCCCTGCCCCCGTTGTCCAGCAGGGCTCGCGGTGCAGGTCAGACGTAGACTTGGAGAGGTTGTAGTCGCTGAGCACCACGCCGCCGTTGGCCGCGCCCGCCGCGCCGCGGGCCACAAAGTCCGCGAACGAGGACGCGTCGAACTCGGACCTGGGACCGGGACCCCAGAGGGCCGGGTTGGGCGCGTAGAAGTCCGGGCTTCCCGGTCCCAGGACCCCGTTGGAGGCGCCGTTGCAGAAGGCCCCATTGCCGAAGGAGGACGGGCCGAACGAGCCGCCGTTGCTGATCCGGCCGCTCCGGCTCACCAGACCCGAGACAGACGAGCTGCTCCGCTTGAGCGCGGAGTTGTGGGCCACGATGTACGTGGGCTCGGTGTCGGCCAGGAACCGCGCCCGGGACGAGATGCTGGTGCCATTTGCGTGGGCGCCCGAGCTCGACGGGCTCTTGGACGGACCCAGGTCTCGGTACGAGGTCACCTGCGGACCGAGAAGTGGCATCCGGTAAAGTCGTTGTTCAGGGCAAGACGCGCTCGCACTCCATTGATGTAAACTTTTAGCGTTCTGAAAAACTGTGACTGGTGAAGCAGGAGGTAACACTAAAAAACATGTCGCTTCATCAGTATTTACGACATGACCCACAGACCCACCTTTCATGGGGGAGGTGGCACAGTGACATCAAAGAAAAGCGCTATCTCTATGCCGTGGGTTCTCAAACTGGGTTCCAAAAGATCCAGGGGTTCGCCAGAGCACCCTATGTGTTTCTCGACCTCCCAAATTTCCTCTACCGTGCCCCCCCCCCCCCCTTCTTTTTTTTTTCTTTCTCTTTAACGTAGGCAGCATTTTAGCAGGTGTCAGCCAACAACTATGAGCCAAACGAGTTTTGCGTTACTGTTTAGGATGTCTGGGCTTCTGCACTGCTTTATCGGATCGATCGAGAGAGCGACATTCAAGGCGGCGTTCCCGAGACCCTATGCCCGCAAGCGGCCGCCATACACCATTCCGCCGCTTATCACGCACGCGGAAAGTGAGCGCGTCGTCTGACATAGCGCGAAACAGGGCATGCTCAGCACATATTCCACAGCCGAGTGGACAAATATGGCAGCGCGCAGATTACTACGGCGTGCTCACCACATTGAGGTTTTGCAGCCTCCTCATGACGGCCTTCTCTTGTTTCCACTGCGTGTACAGCGACTGCACGCACACGATGCACACCACCTGGAGGCAAACACCGAGCGCGTCAGGCCTATATTAGCCGCCAGTCAGACAGCGGTCGACAGAGCGTCGCTTACGTTCACCACGGCTCGGACGATGTAGAAGGCCAGCTCCGTGATGCCCTTGCTGTTCAGCTTCTGCGCGGGTGGGAAGCGGACGCGCGAGCACCGTGAACAAACCACAGCGCTCCCACAAAACAGAATTCCGCGACTGCATGTACCTACCCAGTGCTGGAGGCTCATGAAGAGCGCCAGTCCGCATTCCGGGAAAAAGAAGAGCACGGACACGAAGAGCCAGCCCAGCAGGTACTTGGACTTGCGCTGAAAGGAAGTTTTATTTTAGATCGCCCGAAGCCTCCGAATAAGGAGTGCATATACCCAAACTAAAAATGCGCAAATGCTGCACCAACAGAGCTCCTGCAAAACGTGTAGCGCCCTACACGCGGCGCCGAGAGGGATAGTGGGAACTGGCTGTATAAAGCCCTCGACCTTGAGGCCGACGGTGCCAAGGAACTATGGGAACGCAAAGGCGCTCCCATAGTTCTTTGCGCGCTTGGCATGGAGATTTTTAGCACTTTTTCAATTCGTCTATTGCAGAACTTGTCTTTCTTTTTCTTCACATTTTCTCCAGCTCGATCGTGGTGTCAAAAGCGGAGAAAAATCGTGATCTGACACAAAACGAGTTTCAGAAAGGGAAACATACGAGTGGAACAAAAGATGTTTTGGCCGCAGCCACCGCATCTGTTAGAGCGTTTAGCCTGTGGAGAGCTTGGACAGCTGGCAGGCTGTGAAGTCGGACGAAACGATGTGTCATGCCCGTAACCGTCACGGCGCTGCTGTCGGTACCTGCTCATACGCTTCCTCTTACGCCAACCTGGTTTCTGCGCATGCGCAGATATCGCGTCAGAGGAAGCGTCTGCGCATTTGACAAACATGTTTGTCCACACCATGGTGCACTGCGTGTGGACAAACCAGATTCGCATGTGCGGCGCAGTAGCCACAGCAGCGCCCCCGCAGCGGGCGTCACGTCAGAGCCCATCCGAATCCTCCAAATGTGACGCAGCGCTCTCTGAATAGAGACTTACGAGAAAGAGTCCCGCCAGCAGGAACAGGGAGACGAGGAAGTTGGAAAAGTAGCCCGCCGCCAGCACATAGGCGGGCACGGGCAGCTGGACTGAAACGGAAGGGGAGAGAGAGTCAGCCGCAAGAGAAGACGCCGGACAAACAAAGCAGCCTCTCGCTTACACGCCCCGCGGGCTGCACACAAAGACGACCTGAGTGCGAGGCGAAAGTGAAAACGTCGCCGTCGCGAGAGCAGCGAAGCTTCACCGAGGGCTCACTTTCGACGTCGCTGCAACCGGAATGACCACGAAGACAATACCGCTGTGAGAGACTCAGTCACAGGCTGGGTTTACACGAATGCCATCATAACGCATCCAATCGAACAGGGTTAAAAAAGGTTACGAGGAAAAGGAGGGCTGGGGAGGGAGAAGCAAACGGAATGCCTGAGCTAGATGACAGGAGGAAACCTCCTCCTGTCTACAGCGTTCCGTCTGCTTCCTCCTCCACCAGCCTTCCTTTCCCTCGAAAACTTTTCTCAACCTGTAACCGACTATAATCAAAATTGCCAAATCTCGATTCGATGCACTACGGTCGCATCGAATCGAGATTTGACAATTCTGATTGGGAGCAGATGGGTAGAAGAACAAGTAGGAAGACAGGCTGCGTGCGATTGGTCCCTGCTTGATTCGATGCGATCATTCATGTAAACGCAGCAATAGCTCACGAGTCACCACCGAAGCCAAATGCAAAGGACGCCACGAGCCCTCTGGGTGTCACGCGACTTTCGGGAGTGGGTGCAGCGACCAATGATTAGAGACCACCCCTTTCCACTTTTGTAGAGCTAACGCTGGAGAGGGGGCCGCCTCCTCTCCGGGAGTGTCCCCCAAACAGCGTAGGGAATCTCACTGCGCATGCGCAGAATTTATGCGCGTGCGTAGTGCGAGTGCGACGCCCCAAGCTGCTCGGGGAACTCAAAGCGCTGGGTCCCCTATGCTAAAACTCTCTATCGAGTTGGGAGTACGTTTAGTGTGCTGTCTCTGCTTTAGATGAGAAATTTAGCCGGTGAACTGCTAGCCCGAGGTCTTTAACGTGCACCACGCACTATTGAGTGATACACGACCGCACGCCGGTATATGTTCATCCAGAACGAAACGGGCAGGGGAATTAGCTCATGGTTATGCCCCGGGCCCTGGGCAGTGGCGTCACAAGGAGCGGACCTCCCCGGGCGTCGCTGACCCTAGTGACGCCACTGACCCTGGGTTCTGTAGCGCGAGCTTTCGCCCCACGTGCTCCGATCTGCGATGCGTTCACACCAACGTTAGTTTACACACTCAATCCCCCAGGCAGCAATGAGCGGGGCATGTAGTCAGGCGATACTTTCACACAGTCGGATTGGCTTGTGGCATCTTCTGCGGCCCATCGTAGAACAAAAAAGAGTACAGCTGCCCCGGACACTTTTTGTTTTGTTTGTTTGCTTGCTTCAAACACGCGCACCAAGAGACACCAGGCATTAAGAGACAAATGGCGGCTCACTGTTGTACTCGATGATCCACCAGAGCTCCATGATGAAGGCGCCGAGGTACACCATCTGGAAAGGGACAAAGGCGCAGAAATCAGGGACACGTCGCGACAAGGATTAACGCGGATTTCAAGTCTCGGAATCGGGGGTTACCCTCCCGTAACACATTTATTCGTATTTAAAGTGGAGTGAAAAGGGGGGGGGGGGGGGGGGGGGGAGGTGCACCTCCTGGCACCAACCTCTGCGCATGCGTACACCCTTTCCCCTGACCCTTGTTACCCGCTGCCGCCAGTTTCGGAGTGCACTGTCCCACACGACCAACCTTGTCAGCAGTGGCGTAGCCGGGAATTTTTTTCTGGGGGAAGGGGGAGGGGGGGGGGGGGGGGGGTGAGGTGGGGATATCCATGACCTGTCCCTCCAAACCGGAAGCCTCCCCCGGCTTCACCTCTGGTGGCGTCATGACGTACCCAGAAGCTTCCTAACTCCGTGCACGACGCCAATGTGTTCTAACAGGTGGAGGAACGTCATATGGTACCGCGTACCAGACGCCATTGCTCCATACCATGCACGCTCCTTTGTCCATACCTTCTGAAGCATAAATTTCGTACCATCGAATTCGTTCTCGCCAACCCTTGGCGAGAACAAATTCGATGGTTCCAAATGTATGCTTCAGAAGGTACGGGCAAAGGAGCGTGAAACGGATAAATGGCGGATGATGTGACGTCAATGCAAGCTATATGTATTGACGAAAAGATAAATGTTTACTGCTGTGCTACGCGCGCAGGCTTGTCAGCGCCGATTGTGGGAAGATAAATGGACCATTTTCGGAGATCGCCGGTGCAGGAGGTTTTGGTATGAAAATGCGCGAACATGTTTTCATGTGAGCACAGGCACTCCTTCGGCCAATGGAGAATGATCCTGCTGGATTTATTCAGCTGCAGTGACCTAGATTGGACTTCCCCAAAGCTCTTTGTTTTCCTATTTTAACTTCAGCTTTCAAGGTATAGTCCGTTGCAACTCGAGACGGTAGGGCGAGAGGGAAAGGAAGGCCGGGGAGAAGGAAGCAGACGGAACGCTGGAGAGCGGAGGAGGTTTCCCTCCCTCCTCTCCAGCGTTCCGTCTGCTTCCTCCTCCACGACCTTTCCCTCGCCCTACCTTCTTGAGTTGCAACGAACTTAAGTGCCTTTCATTTGGCCAATGTGCCCTACCTACACCTAGGATTGTATGCCCCCTAATGCCCCACGTGGGCATTTAAGGGATTAATAAATAAACGAAATGAAACGAAACGTGTTTATTGCATCTCCTTCCGAATGCGCGCATGTTTCATCCACAGAATCCTCGAAACCAGTTTTCGGCGATCAGGAGCCAGTTATAATCTCGTGGATTGTGCCAAAAAGGGGAAAGAGGACAAGGAGAAAGAGTTCAGTACACGTCCGTCCAGCAGGTCGTGAGTCAATTAACGGATCCGCGCGGGATGTTCGAGGGCGCCGGTAGTCGCCGGGGACAAAGAAAAACACAATTTTCTGGTCGGATGACGGGATCCGACATCCGACCATTGGGAATCGGGTGGTCGGGCGCCTTTCGTCGTCCACACTGGTCTCTGCGCGTTGTTTCCCGGACGCTCAGTGGAGAGTCACGTTGCTCCGTGTTCCCTCAGTACCGCACTAACAGGCCGGAGGACTTTAAGTGAGTGCTTTGAGTGCTCTGCCGATCTGGTTCCTCTTGGCTACAAAAGGTCCTCGAGGCAGTCGCAGACAACGACCACAGATGGCGCTCGTTACACGAAAAGGGTCTATTGGGCCCGAGTCCGCTCGATCTCACTCTGATGACGTCAGAATTCTCGTGCACAGGGCTTCGATTATTCTCGGTGGTGTTGGCCGAGATGGCCATCGCCGCTCGGGGGCGGCTTTCCTGGTCCCGAGGACGGCGGCGCGTGACGGCGGCCCCGTTTGACATTGGGGCGCCTTTGTTCGGGTCGCCCTTTATCGGCGCGCGTCGCCGTCCGAGCGAGGAAACGGGCCGTCCTTTCACGGCGGGGCCACAAAGCCGCCACTTCTTGACTTGCGCCGTAAAACGGGACACTCGAAAACCGGGAAGTTATCGCCCCGGTGGAGGACCCGGAGGGGGCCGTTCATCGCCGGCAGACGTCCGCGGGACATGATCCGGACGTCGGGCACGCGGATGGAAGCTCCGTGCGACGTGAACCGCCCGGGATCTAAACACATCCGCCAGTAATTTATATAGACCCTTTTGCTGTTTACAAACATGAACTGCCACTTGCGTCCCAAGCGACTTCCGGTCGCACCGTCTTTGCAAGCCCGTCGAGCTTGCTTATGTCACCGGTGCTCGAAAGCATAAATGCTACACGGACAACTAACTTGGAGATTTAACGAGGCCTTCGGCTTCACAGTATTACATCTTGGAGGAAGCAAGCTGGTTTACAAGAATACTCAAAACATTTTAACGAACCTCGCACTCCTTCGTTCTTTTGGCGTTCACGGGAAGAATCGCTGGTTAAATGTTCCATCCACTTATCAAGCAGCGGTATTAAAGTGGCCTTTGTTCATTCTTTTCATCAACCGGAAGTTCCCTGGGACGGCAAAGACTGGAGCACCAACTGGGGGCGCTGGCCATAAAATGGGTCTGTACGCCCCAGGCTGAGTCTAACACCCCTCCTCCCCAGAACTCATGTTTACAAACAAACCGGAGCGCCCGGAGCGCCCCTAGCGGACGCCACCGGCGCCGCGCATGCGCGAGGGGGGTGTGGGCAAAAAGCTCGCCGTCGCCCATAAGCAAACCATTGAAATGCGATGTTGTCGGCGCCGGCGTGAGTCCCCGCGCTCTTTTTCGCGTTGGAATTGTTGATTCTACGTCCTCCTAACGATGCCTGACTACTTGAGCAGCGTCAGCGAAATTAACGAGGCCCGTTACACCGCAAAACTTCGCGTGAATAATCTGATATGCGGCGATTCATTCCGCGTGGACGCCGCAGAACGTACGCCTGATTCATATGATGAGATTTCGCTCGCAATTTTCAGTAGCGACGTCGCTCGGACTGCAAAAGCGTGAACCGTAGCTGAGATGGTCGACGTCGATACTGAAAATCGGAAGCAGAATCTAACCAAGTGAATCAGGCATAACAAGTCGGTGATGGCCAGTGGTAACAAGGATCAACATCTTCTTGTATCTACTGTTTACGTCGAGCCTGCTTACCAACCTTCAAACTTAAGTCTTTTGAGGCCTGCACTTAACTCTTATTGCAAGTACCGGGCCCGCGTTTGGTCTACGGGCCGGTGTCCTCTAAAAGAGCAGACGACAAGCAGAAACGTTTGAAAGAGCAGACGACAGTTCGAACGATCAGGCGACCGTTTGAACTTGAAGACGCACTGAACGTAGTTCGCAGGTGGTCCGTACAACTTGACGGTTTTCCGGCGTTCATTGTGGAACAAAACAAATAAATTTGATGGCCAGTAGTATCCGTGAATTTAACCCAAAATGCTTCCCGCCCAAGCAATCGTGGTCCGACGGCGTCTGGTTTTCCCTTTTCACTGGACATATCCGCGTTCTCAGACGAACCGAGCGCATGAAAACTGACCTTCAAACCTTTCTGGATACTCTTAGTACAGCCCCAGTCGCAGCATTTTGACGAGAAGGCAAATTTTTGTCTAGTTCCTTTCAAAACAACGCAGGAATACACGTCTCAGATGGGCACTTCCGCCCACAGCCCCGGACCGGAAGTGCGTCCGACGCGCCACCACCGCGCCGTGACGTAACAGAGATGAGTTCGTGTTATCCCCCCTCCCCTCTCAAGCCTCTCCCAAAAATATATACCCTCCGCCACCCAAATTGACAATCCTGAATAAAACTCTATCCCGGAACATGACGCTTTACGGGTAGAGTTCTAGTAGATCGTCCCGATACCTCCGATAACGATACCCAATAACCATACCATGCATGCGCAAAGGCGTCAGCGGAGTGTCGGGTATCGCTATCGGAGTGATCGGAACGATCTACTAAAACTCCCTACAATGGAGTTTTAGTAGATCAGGTGCTCTACGGAAACACCACTGCAAAAGACACGTTTCCCCAGCTAGAAGAAAAAGGTTTTTAACTGCAGCGTGTCTGCTCTGTTTTTTTTTGTTTTTTTAATATTATTGGCAATAAAAGTGTTTTAACAAATAATCCGTTTTTTTTTTCTATTAAGCTCGGGGGTGAATTTCAAATGAAATGTAACCTCACGCTTTACCCTTGACCACGTGACGCCAAGGCGTCACGTGACCTGACGGAACATGACGTGGTCACGCCACCTGACGGCACATGACCACGTGACATCCGTTTACAGGAGTTTGGCGCGAGCCTAAGAGCTGTCGCATTTCTTCTATCTCACACTAGTGACGGAATGTATGTACATATCTAAATATTACTAAAAAGCTTGAACAGATTTCATAAACGTTTCGGGAAAAGACTCCCCCCCTTCGAGCTAAAGTTGTACGCTCATTTTGTAACACGGTGCAGGAGAGAGAGAGAAAGAAGGAACGCCCAGGAATATAAACAAACCACGAGAAACACCGTGAACAGAAAAATAACCAAACTTAAACATCGTTTATATTCTTTTTTTGTTTTGTTTCTGTGAGCGTATACGCCTCGCAAGTGGGCTCATTTTCGTCTTCTGCGCATAAGAAAGGAAGTGGTGGTGACGTCAGAACACCGAGCCCTGATTGGCGGATCGCGACCCCCTATCTCAGCGTTGTCTGCTCCTTTGCAACGTCGTCTGCTCGCAACACCGTCTGCGTCTGTCTCACCTTTCCTGCAACTTTCGGAAGTGCAGGTCTTTACAAGCGGTACGTTGTTTTTATCTAACAACTAGCAGACGCGCATCAAGGAGGGAAGTCAAAGGACTCACTGGCGAGGTGTCCCGGGGCGCCGAGGTTTGTTTGCTTAGAACCGAGAGTGGGCGTGTTAGTGTCCGCAAGTTCCCTCCCAAATACTTTTTTCCCTCCTTTCGTGTGCGGCGAGACCCATCACTCTTTAACGGCGCCGGCGGGTTGGCGCAGTTAACGTCGTCTGCT